TCTGGATGCTGCACGCCAGCTGGGCCATTTTCGTTGTTGCATTCGGCTGCTTCCTCACAGTTGCTGGAACCTATGGATCTCTCGTAGGCATAATCGCCTCGTATAAAACGATAGGTGGTACCGCTGCGTGGACATGTGCTGATAATTCAAACTCCGTTTAATTATGAGTACACACGACAGCACGGAATGAAGTCAAATGTGGTGTGTACTATACTATTGTATATAACTCTGCAACTTTCTGTAATCCTTCGGCTCGCTATGGCAATTTTATCGGATAAGAGATTAGTAGAACACAACCTTCTGTCACTTGGATGTGGAACTGATATCCAAGTCGGCGGATATGCCGCAGCCTAGTTAGCAACATAGGACTCGATCCCTTCTTCCTTTCCATGGCAAATAGTGGCAGGTGTTGTTGTCAAGGAACCCCATGATCCTAGGACATTCTCTTTTTGTCTCTCTCTCCCCAATTTCGCTACCTTCGTTATCAGCACAGAAATCCATCCCTTCTGCCTTCCTCTTGGCGATTAACACAAAGGTTGCACGAGGCTAGGTCTATTCTCGGACTGAATGTGCTCATTATGCTGGAATTAGCCTGAGACCAAGGATTCCCTTTTGCTGGGATCCATTGTCCTCAAGTAACTACTCCTCATCGTGACGATCAGCGGACATGTCGAATAGCACAAGAACAAAAGCTCGATAAGAACTGTGGCAGAGCGCCGAGTTCGAAGAAGGCCGGTTGTCTGTATGGATTTTAGGGATCTCAGACTCGGGCGTCTTGCACCTAGAGATAGCACGATATATATATAGTGGCGGGTCTATACTTTAGGATGTCAGACGCCTCATTCCCGGAAGCCGTACGAGCCGATAAGTCTATCAAGAGTTAGGCGCACGCCTCCTAAATAATACGAGCAATGGAAATGTTTGTTAGATACTATTCAGCACTACGGGATGAAAATATCCTGTAGGGAGCATCAACGCAGCGCAACACCTAAAGGTCCACTCCGTGCTCCACCACATGTATAGGAGATTGTCACCAATGAAAAGTACGCGTAATACCCAACTCGGGTATATTCCGCTGACTCAGCGCATTTACATGTGTCAAGCCGCAATTACATCACCACAAGGCTGACTCTGAATAGCCCAGTCGGTCCATGGGCCGATGATCACCAGCACTCGGGATCGGAACAAAAGTGCGTTCTTCCCGAGAGCTAAACCTGGATTCTGGCTCATCCAGCCTGTCCGGGAATTCATAATCCGTCTATAAGCTGCTGACTAAGCGGCTCTGCTCATCCCATCTTCAACAGATAAGGGCCTTCTAACGCGCTGTTTTTTATCCGAGAAATATTCCGGAAACACCCAGGTAATCATATACTTGCACAGATAGTGGATTGCCTGGAAGAAACTCGGCTCAGTCGGGGAAAGAAACCACCGTTTCTCCTACGCCGTTCTCCGACACCAAAAAGGGGCACTTTCCGACGTCGCCTTCCTGTGAGATGCATTGGTTAATGATGTTTTTCGTATCGGCGCCTCCGAGACATCTCCCGTAGAATAGCACTGCGAACGTAGCCGCCCTCCAATTAAAACTTGTATCGTAGGGCATATCGTAGGAAACACGTCCAACAATATGTCCAAAGATATACCCTCCGGAGCATATAAAATATAGTGCTGAGATGATTGCGATTATATGCCCCACGAACTCCACTTTGTAGATGAACCCTTTGCTAATTTCATTCCAGATGATGGCTTTCACGTGTGCGACCCCATAATATCTCCCACAGGCTAGCACTGCAAATACAGCCGCTTTCCAACTGAACTTCGCATCATAGTGAGGCGGGGCATATTCGCTAGAATCCGTTTTAGCCATCTTTGCCTAAGCGTTAGTTAAATATTGCCAAATGTCTCTTACAATAGAGTCATATACTTGCCTTGGAGTTCTTGTCAACGATCTGTGCTACCTTGGGTCGGTCAAGAAGACGAGAAACAACAATGTCAAGGGGACGTGACGAATTAGTTGGCGGGTACTTAGCAAATGGGTATTACCCTAGTTTGTATAAGTAGTGTTTACAAGGATCGTTCTCAGCAATGTAACCATAAGTCATGGACACATGAGCCGACACCCACTAGGAGCCTATTGGTGGTCTAGTGGCGATTGAAAAGTCCCTTAATACCTGGGTTGCTCTCAAGCTCCTTAACCGTATTCTTCACTGATAAATGGCTGCTTTGCAAGAGTAGTTTGATTGTATCATCAGAGTCGAATTTGTTGACTGGGAAAGATTTTCCTAGTTCAGTCAACGTTTGGAGCCGATAAGTAATAAGAATGGAGCCGTGATCGGCCGCGAGGAGGAATTCTCCAATATCATATGCATCATCAGCAGCGCTATGGACGGGACAGTATTGATCGATGTTGTCAAAACTGATTAGCCAGCATGAGTTTCCCTCTAGTGAGAGCCAACGTAATACATGCCTGGCTCGTTGCTCCACCTCCTCGTCATTGACCGCCTCGGTATTCTGTGACTGTCCTGGTAATCGGTGAAAGATAAAACTCAAAGATTGCAAGAGCGTGTTTCGATCGTTGCCACTCAGCCAAAAGATGGCAGTGAAATCGTGTTTGTGGTCTCGTGCGAAGCGAATCGCTAGCTGCGTCTTTCCTATCCCTCCAAGCCCATGAAGGATCGCAACTTTTCGTGACTGCGAACTTGTCGGCTGTAAATACTGCCATAGCTTGCCTAGTTCGTCTTGCCGTCCCAAGAAATTTTCAATCACCGGCACAGCGGTAAGGTCTAATGGTACGTCAAAGCGGTGAACTATATAATACAAAAGACCATTTAGCGATGAATTCGAGCAATTAGCAACAGTATGACTAAATAATCGTCTCCTTACCTGACTGCCGTCTAATGGTGCGGATGGTATATTCCTGTACTCTTCAGCAAGAAACAGGCTGGCCGGCAGCAAGGCACATACATGTATAACGGTGGCAAAAGAAGTCTCAGGCTTGTCTGCAAACATCAGCTAAATGCTTTTATTCGCTAAGCAAAGTCTTCCAGATGCACACTCTGCTTGATTCTCATGTCCTGAATGCAGTCCCGCACACGGAACTTCTGTGCCATATGCGTGAGGTAGTTCTCCGTCGCCGCCTCCAGACAGGGATTTATAATGTATAATGCTAAGCTGAAGCCAATATAAACTGATCCACAAAATCTATCAGGCAGCAGGCTACAGAGCCAGAGCCAGTCCAAGGATACCAGCCACGCCAGCAATGCCCGCAGCAACACCACCGGTAGCAATCGGAGCGCCACCAGTCGAGGTCGAAGACGAAGGAGCCGACTTTTTAGTACTAGAGGCACCGGTTCTAGTCGCGGCCGCAGTGCTCATAGTAGAAGCAGTATTATGCGCAGGAACACCAGTAGCAGGAGCATTAGAAGAAGCCGCGCCAACAAGCGTAGGAGTCTGTTCAGCGCCCATAAAGACGTCGATGTAGACACCCTCAGACGAAGCCCAGGCCTTGACACTGCTAGGCAGAGAGTTGTACCAAGCAGGCAGGGTGCCAGCCTGGATTTCACTCTCGATGGAAGAGCGGAACGTGGGTTGCAAGATATCGGTGTACCATGAGGGCGGGATGGCGGATTCAAGCGCCGTGAGGATGGAGTGCGGGACGACCATGGAGCTGCTGTCCTGGTTCGTTTCGGACGAATTGGAGGAGCCGGACCAGGCGACTGCTGAAGCGGTTATGGTTGCGGGCTGGGCGTCGTAGGCAGAGGCCAGGGCCGTGGAGGAGAGAAGGAGGGTGGCGATGACCTTGAACTGCATTGTGGCGGCGGTATTAAATGATGTGTAACGAATGTAGAGAATATTATTTGCAAGAAGACAAGAAACGAATGGCTTGTGGTACAATTGATCTTGAGAAATAGAGTAGAGGGAGACCTCTATAATAGTCCCCATGAGAAGAGCCTCAAAAGGTCTCTCGGCCGAAATACCCATCTTTTACTTTTGGTTTCGCTAGCCAGGGGCTTAGACCCCGTCTTTTTCCCCTTTTCAGCGCCCACCACGCTTTTTCTCGCTACGCCGTCGGTCTCTATCTTATCACCGAAATCATTGGAGAGATCCAGTTGCTTATCCAGCTGTCGGCATCTGCTCACGGACGCGAACCCAATGTGTGGAGATAAAATTTAGCTATCGCCATTTACATGCGAGGCAATCTATGATCTATGAACTGCCGACCGACTGAATCGCAGAGATGAAACAGACAGCTGCATTTGGAGACACGCGGTAGTTACCAAGCAATGTAACAACCAGTCATTGGCCAGTCAGGAGCAGGCCAATGACCCAGGCTCTCGGATCGCAGTACAGTACAGCTGAGTTGATCCTGTCCTTTCTTCTGGGGGGTGAATACGAGGGTGCTGGGTCTAACCTTCTGTAACACGCCGGCAAATATAACTTGTTTTGGTGTAGCTTCATTTGAAGGCTTTGCAGGGGTGGAATGGGTAGTCACGAGTTCATCGCCTTATCTACCCCCTTATCAGTGGTGACGCGAGGGTGGGTCATGAGTTGAACCCCCATAATAGGAAAGAGCATTTTCTCGACTATTAACGCGTCGAAATCGCCCGGGTGAACGTGTTGTTCCGTGTCTATCGAATGTTTTGTAGTTTATCTAATCCTTAGAACGAAGTGCGGGCACAAATTGGCTTTCTAAAACAGGGGAAAATCTCTGGTCCGGATGCTTGTTAAGTTGTTCCGAAGTCTCATATGGATATATATATATCTATGCCGGCCGGTGGTAGCGACAGGGATAACCAATACTCCAAAAACAGGTCCACTAACTCACACTGATCATATAAAGCAGACATCTCGTAACAGATCAAGGCCATACGTACATCTTTCAAACCATAGATACTGCAAATAGGAGGAGAAAAAGGATACGTTGCTCAGACACAATCCAGTAATCGCCATTTGTGCACAAGTGGTCATGCCCCGTGTCAAGCCCCTTTGATCCCGCCCAGCTGTCATCCGACATTAGACAGCCCGCTCTCCTGAAGGAGAAAAAGTTCTCCATCTCGGTCGGTCTGCAAGCTCCGGATTTTTAGAATGAATGATTTCACGTTATCCGGGGTTCCAGAACGAAGCTTAACCACGGCGTAGAGCAGTGCTTGACGCAATGTGGATGGTTCACGGCTATAAGATTTGCGCCTGCGATCACTGCTTTGATCATAGATGCATTGACAACCTTTCGCTGTACAGTTCGCGCATGGAGTCGTACCAGAACACTAGTTCTTGTTAGCACTGGGATAGAACGAATTCATTAGTTCTAACCTTGGTCTTTTTTTGGCGACACTCTGTACAAGCAAGAGAGACATTCCGTCGCTTTCGACATGATGAACATGGTGTCTGCGGTTGGGGGAAAGAGCCTTTCTCGATCGGGCACAGCGGTCGCAGCGGCCGCAAGGAGGTTTTCGTTGTCATAGCTGTTAACTGAGACCCAAACACGTCGGAAAATTTTATTCAGTGCGTGTGTCCAGGGGGAGGAGGTGGGGTGATGCGATGGAATTAAATGACTAATTCGCAGTGCTCGTTCTCTTTGTTTGCTAGATAAAAAGCACCTTGGAGGCTTCACAGAGAGAAAGAGCCCGAAAGCCCGCGACCATTTTTGAGACCAGCCCCATGCAAATTCCCGACCCCGACCCCGGCCCCAGCGATTGCAGTCTCCATAGCAAACAAAGAAACCCGGCGGTACTAAAATTTGACCTGCCAGCCTTGATTTTGGAGTCGTGTGACTGGACGCTTCCATGTAGAGTAGTCTAACCAAAGTTTCTCTTTAGGACCAGGAATACCATATATGGTGCTGAAGTCGTCGGAGTATCGAATCACCCCAGCAAAAACTCCAAGAAAGTCTCCTTCCTAGACTGAGATTATGGGGCAAACTGAAAGGTTTTCCTCTTTAGGGAGTAGAGTAACAAATATAGACTTGTTTCTCATTCCCTCTGTACCTGGATTTAAGTCAAAGAACCCACCAAGCTGTGTGGCTGACGGCTCATGTGGACCGTTCGATTGGAAAGCGGCTTCTTCCGTACTGGAAAACCAGGGGTTACCCGCACTGTTCCATGTATGTTCTTGAATATCCAGTCTCTCCGCCACATGCGGTTGACTCAGCCATAATCTTCCAGTAGAGTCGCCCTGACTCTCTTGTGCCACCCGACTCTCAATCTGTTTGATGTGTAAGCCGTACTTTTCTTCCCAGAGCCGAACCATTTCTACAAGGGACAGCCCTGCTTCTGGGGTATATCCCTTGCAGAAGCGGTCGAATTCTTTTGTGCGATAAAGGAGAATCTTATCGACGCCCGCTTTCCGTATCTCAAATAGTCTCTTCCAGAAAATGCGGCACTGCCGCTGATTAGCGAGGCTGAGCCCATAGCCCGCCTCTCTCATGAATCGCTCGGTTGCGACCTTCTCAGCCACTGTAAATTCATCAAGAGGTCCTTTAGGGGTTGGTAGAGTCTCTGGATCTAGGAGCTCTGCGCCTTTCTTGATAATTTCCCAGTATACCGTTTCGTTACTCCGAGTTTGGATGTCCTTGCTCGCCGAAAAAGCGTTCTCTTGTTTGATCACCTGGATCGCATCTGTATATCGTAACTAGACTATCTCATCCACAAAGCTCTGAATCTTCTCAATCCTGGTTGTCACAGCAGTTTGCTTCGTTCGGTGCCCGTATCTGCCAAGCGGATCATTCAGCCTTATGCAGTTAACAAGTATCTTCTCCACGATGTCGTGAGGCATAGACTCGGCCCGAGGGGCACTCATTTCGATAGCGGACTGACTTTCATGACAATCGGCAGGAGGTAAGGACTCGCAGACGGACAACGGCAGTGTAGGCTGAAATGAGCTACTAGCCGCCATGCACGCCTCACTAGGACCCTCGATATCAGTTGTCAGTGGGCGTGCGACTGGGGTATTGCCTTCCAGGGTTGCTCTAGTGGTTTTGTCCTTCCGGATGGTATCTTTGCTGGTAGTGCTGTCTTTGATTTTCTTTTTCCTCCTCTTAGATAGCCCATCTAACCCCGTGTAGTCCACTCTGCCTCGTTTCCCGGCGGTCGGCAGGAACCGGTATGAGCCAAGGAGTACGTTCGCAGTCGTCTCAAGAATCGGACTATTTTTTGGGGTGAGAAGAGGTGGAGCATCTTTCATTCCCACCTGGAGCCTCATTTCACGGACAATAATGTGTATCAGCAGTGTGTCTCCCACGCAGTAATCGGGTGCTCACCAAAGCTCGAAATTCCGAGGATGTGGTGCTGAATGGGCTCATCACTGCAATCACCGATCCCACAAAGTACTAACAACTCACGAATTTTTTCTGCTGTCAAAGACTGAAGGACGTCTTCCATGACTTTCTTGAGGAGTGGAAGCCAGATAAGTCGGGGGGAGCTGGGGCTGACCCTTCCCTTCATCGTCCGGGGGCACTAGCCTAAAACTGGTAAGTTGGTGCCTAGACTACCCCTTCAGAATCAGACCGAAAGAAAGAGAAAACACATACAGTACTGTACGTACTAGAAGACCTTTGAAGCAAAAAAACAGAGGACGACAGCTCTAGGTGAAATTTCCCCACTGATATCGTCAGTAAGCTTAACATCAACACAGCTATGCGACCAGCTATTGACCATGGTTTGGGTTCATGGCCCCTTACGTCCTGTTTCCTCGGCTATAGTGGTTCCCTGAGTATATGATATGGTCCTCCGGAGTTGTCACGGATATACATAGGAAATGGATGTATACGTGATGACGGGAATCGCATAGCTTATTTGGATTCCTCTGGATGCGAGGAAGCTCCGAAGCTCTCTGTCTTTGCTTCCTCGCGCTACTTCTTGTACTGTATCTAGAGTCAAAGATAGCTGTTCTGATATCGATTATTATTTTCCGGAGCACGCTGTCCATCTCGTTGCTCGAGTGAGACCCTCACAGGAGTCAGAATACCTTCTAGGATTACACAGATCAGCACTCGGGATCTCAGGCCGTTCCCTGGGAGATGTGAGGGTCTCACGTATCCGCAGATGCGGACGGTACGTTTCATATGAATAATCAATATTAAGAACAGCTATAGTCGACTCTAGATACAAGACATTGCGCGAGGAAGCAAAAGAACAGTAGCTTCCCCGCGTTCAGGGAACCCAGATTTACTATGTGGATCCCGCATATCCTATCTCCACTCATCGTGTATGCTTCATGTATATCCCAGACAGGAGAGGGGATGGTCCCTGGGAATACACCAGAGTCTCCTCAGGAGATCCACAGGTCGAATAAGGAGAACAGAGCTTGGGAATCGTCCACGAATATCTCCGGTGTGGAAGTATCCTTTGGAATGAAGAGATCGGACGGGCGTTGATTATCGACTTTCACCTCTCTACATTGAAACGTCACCCAACTTCACTGCGACCACGCACATCGAAGAGACAACTCCGCCGGACGGAGCCAAGAGATGTACATTCATTCTCTAAATCGGCTTACAGTACCAAGACCCGTCTGGTCTGTCAACACTGATCTAAGCTAGAGAGGGAGGTTCAGCTAGCCCCTGTCCAAACGGACGCCCTCGATTTTTTTTATTCTGTATTTTCTTGGCAAGTCGTTACTGTACCCCGCCATGCCGTTGGCCCTCTCTTAAACCCCCACTTCCCTTTCTTGATACCCGTCCTTTTCACGCTCTCTGTATTATTCGGGAAAGACATATTCTCCTGAATAGAAATCCACCTGTTATTAAGAGTTTTACGTTGACTCATGGGGGCCTCTTTAGCTTGCACCAGAGATCATTCTCCATCTTTAATAAAGCCTAATTGAGATTGAGAAGACTACCCTTGTAGTGATAACCCCTTGAGCATTGACTCGACCAGCCATAACCAACAATTATCCTTCAGTCCCGATGGTTATCCCAGGAGGAATCAGGAATCACCCTATTTCCCAACTAAATATGTTGCTGAAGGCCTGACTTCTTACACTAATTAGGATCACAATAGGCATAAAATGACGGTCCGGTGGTTATCAGACTTACGCGTTCCCTAGCGGTCTAAGCCAAAGCAGCAGAAAGCTGAGGGGCTTCATCGTCATCGATGTTGAAATAGGCGGGGAGTTTATCGTTGACTTTGTTGCTGCCAGGACAGACATGGGGCCCACCACTAGTTTTGATCCACTCGCCGCAGACAGAGCATCGGTCAGCCATGGTTTATCTTGTGATTTGAAGCTTGTGAATGGTAAAATTCGAAGTATTTGTGGGCACTTGTAAATGCAGATGAGAGTGATGATTGAAAGGACATATCGAAGCCCCTTTTAAATAGCCGTTTCCCGGGTATGTTTGCCTGACACCTGCTACGTAATGGAGCGTACATATGTTACAGTGTTATCAAATTGATATGGAGAGGTCTGGCTGATTGGACACACACTCCTGTTCGCTAAGCGCCTAGTATCTCAAAATAGCTGGGCGCCAAAGTGCGGGGTAATGTGCTAGAATTCGAGCCGGTACAGCGTTTCAGGTGCCATAGCGCCGCTTTAATTAAATTTAAATGAAACACTTTACTTTATAGTTAATCAAAGTTTGTTTCTACGCGCTTCGGGTTGTGGCGCGTTCCGTGTCACCGCTCTGCCCAGGTATTGACGACTGCGTCGCTGTGCATTTTCAGTACATCCCCCGTGACCGCTACTTCTCATGGGACGTGTCAAATTGCATCTTTCTCGTCAGATGCTACCACATTAATTTCTCACTCATGTCTGCTTCAACCATGAATCCATATGCCACGGAGGTAGACAAAATCCCCCAAACTGATAAATATCTGGACGTACCACTTTACGGCCGGTACCGTCCCAAACCGGACGACTTTCACGTTGACCGTCAGCACCTCAATTCCCAGTCCTCAGATTCTCTGCAATACTGGGCTTCAGTGGTCGGACTCTGCGATGAGTCAGTCAGAATTTACCCGGCGGACGAGGGTGGTCGCGACGTATTCGCTCTTGGAAACGTCATAGTCAAATCAAGCCATCTACACACGGGAGAAGATGCTCAGTATACAGAGATTGACTACTCGTACGCTGATGCCAACGAAATTCAGGCTATTGCTATTGCGAAGACAGCCCTACCAAACGTTAGAGTACCAGAGATTTATTTTGCCGGCAAGGTCCTTATACCTCTTTGTTTCTATCTCCTTAGTCACGCTCCTGGCCACTAATAACGTTCTAGATTAATGGTCGTCAGGTATTGCTCCAGGAAAGGCTCCCAGGTGTTGTGTTGGCCGTCGCGAGGCCATATCTCAACCCGGGACAAAAGAAGTCTTTCAAAAAGCAGGCAAGGGACATGCTTCGGCGCATGCAGGCCATCAAGCCTCCTGATAGCTGCCAGGTCCGCACCCATGTCGTTCGAGATCCCAACATCCTCAATAACGGTCGTATCCAACCTTTGGAAGGAGATATCCTCTTTTCAGAGGCTAACCTGGACCCTGACATGAGCTTCATGCACAATGATTTGACAGAATCGAACTGTATAGTTGACAATGACAAGATTGTGGGACTTATTGATTGGGAAATGGCTGGGTTCTTTGGGTGGAAGACGGCTGGGGAGATCCACCGTAGGATCAGAACTCCTCAAAGAGAGAATTTTGCAAATCTAGGTCTGAGTGAGGAGACGCTTCAGGACATTTGTTTTTGGAATGACCTTTATGAGGACGACATACCATAGCAACACGAAGCAGCTGATTGGGCGGCATACTCTGGTGCTGCTGCGGTGCAGAACCACGGGTCTACAGAGTTCTTTCACCGATACTGGGACATGTTTGATGACTTGATATAATCCGAAAGGTACAGACAGATATCTTGTTTCACCACTTCAAAATTGTGATTATGAGAACCCAATCAGACTTGGAGCAAATCGTAGCGGTTGTATGGATTTATCGTGGCTGTAACCATTGGTAGACAAGATTCTTCGCTCATTGCTATGAAGTCTACGTCTCAGCCTGTCGCAACACGATCCCCAGACGGCAGACTCCTTGAGGAAGAACAAGATACAAACATTCTCTTCATTAACAACAAGAAAAGGTCTAATTTGATGGGGATGCGACTGTAAAGATATGGATAACTCGGCTGGTCGACAGCTTCGTACAGTTGCCCATGAACGTGCCCAAAAGTCAAGCAAAAGGCCTCCGCAAGACAAAAGGCGCTGTGCTATGTCATCTTTGTATCTCATAAATTAGGAATATGCGAGATGAATTCTGCTATGTGTTAATGACGTCCAGGCCCAAGTTAGAGAGATAGCGTACCTGTCAGCTTTCCCGGATGGAAAGTTTCAAGCCCTCTCAGCCACAAACATAACATCAGTATCCATTTATCCATACATTTCATATCCAGAGATCCCAAAGGTCCTTTAAGCTGCTTTGTATCAACGTTGTGCAATATGATGAAAAGGGCATTCCTTTGGTCTTCTGCAATTAGCAAACATGAAAACCCAGTGAGCCCTGGTCCAACATACCACAATCTTGGGATATAGATGAATGCATATACCTCCATACTCTCAGGGCATCTGCACATGCCTGGTCGCTCAACATCGCAAAGGCTGCTTTATAGAAAAGTCCTATGCAAGTTACATCGATTTCTCGAAGGTAATTAAATATTTCTGTGACAATTGTACGGTCACTCTCTGGAATTTGGTTGATCCATGACCATTTCAAGTTAGCCCTTGGTTGGACAATACCAAAGGCTGCGTGGTTTGCAAATGGTGGAGTCCTAGAAAGGGATCTGCTCTCGGGATGACCGCCGCCACCGAAGAGAGCAATCGCGGAGTCATTTGGTGTGTCTGTCCCGGTAGTTAAGTGCCGGTTTTTCTTGTGACATGGAGCTGTCAATAGAACTTTGGACTTTAAATTGAGCTCTATGATCACATCCGGCATGCACTGCGGAAAGTTGGCTCCAATTATGCCTGGTGGTTCATCGAGACACCATGCTGATACGAGTTTTGTTGCTATTCGTATCGAGAATGCTCTTCACTCTACTCTTCACTCTATTAGACCCATTCAGAGATTGGGTAGAATATTTACTTACACGCAGCAATCAGCAACAGGACTGTTGGTCTCATGATTAGTAAATAAATCCTTGGCAGTAGATTGGGAGCATACCCGTCTTGAACGATTACCATTGGTTGTCCAACATGCGGATATTTCGTCAAGCTCTCAGCCACGCACGGGTCCAGTAGCCAAGGATGAATCGCTTTTTCAGCCCTAACTACTTTCCCTCCTTCCAAAGTCACCCAATGAACAGATGCATCGCACCTTCTCTTCATTAGCGTAGTTGAAACCTGCCGAAAGCAAAGTCACTTACTTTGGCTGCCCCTGCAAAGGCCATACTTGCCATTCGATATAGATAGAGTGTCTGAAGTCCGCCTCAAATCCTTCGCGTGTTGGTTCCGTTTCAATAAGTATGACACGATATGATGGCTTCTTATCAACCTGAGATTGGTTATTTTGGGAATTATCTAGATAATTTCTGAATGATTTTTGGGTGTAAGATGCGTCTGGCAACTTTTCGTAGAAATGTGAGAGCTTTCGTTTTCTTCCGGGTTTCACAGCGCTCGTGGGCTGTTCATCGATCTGTTTTGGGGAAGCAGGTCGCCGTTCTTCGAAGAAGTCAGCACGAACCACCTGGGTTCTACTCATAAGGGATGATCACCTTCAACTGCCAGTGCATTGGAAAGAGTAAGGTTAGTTGGGCAGTGCTGGTGCGGGTTGGGAAGAATGAGATGTGCGCCGAACTTTCTATCCGGCAGTGGTGGATGAAGGTAACATGGATGATGTAGTGACGGATATGCAATTTGTTGAAGGTTGGATTGGGGCACGGTTGACGGATTCTCTGGGGGTTTCGCGACCATCAGTCTCTATAAACATCCCTTGGTTCTATGAGCTCAAGGGGAGATCTTCAGTGATGATTCCTACCTGGATCGATAAAAGCAGCGAGTTGGTGATTTGACTGATGATGCGTCTCAATCCGGTGCCCACTTACACCTGGTGAAAAGCAATCACCATTGGCATTGAGGCCTGGTATACTGCCACCGGGCAGTAATAGGGTATCATTCGACGAGGAAGGTAGATCCATGGTCAGGTAGACATGAATCAATAACGATATTCCAGGTACAGACGCGATGAGGACTCTGGTAGCTGTGAATCGGTTGGAACGACCAGTTGAGGTTGCTTCATAGAAAAGAAAAAGGTGGGACCGGGATAGGGTTGCCAAAATATATTTAAGATCAATTAAACACACAATATGCAGGCGCGCCACTAGATAGGGCACAAATATGCGGCCAAAATATGGGGAGACTGTACAAAAGGCCAGATGGAGATAGATGCGTGACTTGCGGCTGCATGAACTCATCATGGAAATACTGAACATAGCCGAACACCGCGGGAAGGGTGTGGGAGAGGAAGGGAGGAGGTGGCTTGTTGACGGGGCCATCGTTATTAATCTGTGTTCCAGGCGTCACAGGCGGCATCAGATATTCTCCTCCGAGGCTCATTTTCCTGAATTCCCTATAGATGTGCTCAGGATTTAATTCAGTGAATTATGCTGTATTGAAATCGCGTGTAATTACGGGAGCTGATACTAAGAGTGGATTGCGGAGCCTTGCTGATCCTCGTGTCCGTGCTCGGCAGGGCCTGTTCGAATGCACTCGTCGAAATATTGGGCCCCACACAACTAGGTTTGCAGCAACGTGATTGTTCTAGCGCGGCGTTTTGCTTTCACTGATCTAGACTTGTGGTCACTGGCCTTTTTGCAGAGCGGACAGGGGTGTCTCGTCTTCTCATGGGCCATTCGTGATCTCCAGTCTAGGCAAAGGCTCAAGCTCCACCTAGCGGCAATCAGGGGTTTTGAGCTATGATGCCGCTACAAGGATCTATGCAAGCGATATTCAAATCCTTGGCATATGTAGTGCGCCCATTGATATATGTATTGATATATGTATGTGCGTCTATCCTCGCCTTCACTGTAAGCCTCCAACACTCAGCTTCTCACAGAGGATGGCTACTCCGGTAGAGCATATCGATGATAGCCAAAAAGGTGAGCTTTTTCCATTCGCCAGAGAGGTGAAGCGCTGGTCTCGCTTTCTTTGATCGTGCACTAAGATACGTTCACTCTTCAAGCCATCGATCATGTATGTTCAATGTCTTCATTGAGCGCCGCATCCACGCAGGTAAACGACTCAACCAACCAACCGGACGAAGATGTCGATGGAAACAAAGAGCACTTGCGGGCCGAAATAAGACGCTGGCGACCGAATGAAGTTGAAAAGATGCTGCTTCGAGGAGATAATAAATCAATTGATCTACTTTGCCAGCTCGGCCTCATTGATGAAAGAGATACCAAATTGACGGGACTGACAGCATTTTCTCCTCGCCGGGAAGAGTACACTCCGAATGAACCGCCTTGGAAGTTTGATCTCTCCCAGCTTGTGGATGGGAACCCTGCAGAAATCGCTAGAAAGCTCTCAGAAGAAAGCTTCCTCAAATTCAAGGGGATTCCTTATGAAGATTTTGTGCGGAAGGCCTTTGGACTTTCATCCGACAAAATTAGTTCTTTCCTTTGGAAGTACGAGTTCCTCGAATGGAAATTATATTCCAAATTGGTCAATGCGCACGTCAATCTTCTGTTCCAAGTGAAGGAAGTGAGTCGCCATCGCCTTTCCGAGCCCCACCTTCCCGCACAAATATTCTAACATGATGCAGATTCTGAAAGAAATCAAAGCCGACCCTTTTATCTATGCCACCGTTGAAACTGCTTGGCAAAGGGCGGTTCTACAAAAGCGGACTCACAAGAGCTCAACAAATGCGAATGAGGAAGATTTAGCATCGAGATTCGATGAGAGACTAGATGCATCACTCCGTTCTGTGGTCAAGCCATTGAGAGAAATCCTCTCAAGGCCGGATACTGCCCCAAACATACTGCAGGAGCTACAGGTCATGAGGTTTCGATTTCATGACTTTTATATGCCGCTTGAAGTGGACTGGGACTCGCAACTTGATACCAGCAACGGATTTTTGGAGCAGATCCGATGGTGCAGTACTTCCGCTCTTGCTGAAGCTATCTCGAGAAAGGATCAAGCTCTATTTGCGGAATATGTCGCTCCTGCTTTTACTGAAGAGGGTGGGCATGCCCGGCAACACCTGAACACACAATGGAACCGTCTCTCTAATACAGTCAAGCGGGTTATGGCCGCTAACATTGGGCTTTCTTCTCGAATTGATCATCTCGCCAACGTAAGTTGAAACAATTTTCTTGTTCTTCAGCAGTGCTGACAGTTCCTTGCAGTCGCTCCACCGTCTACGCAATTACTATTCCCTGACAGCTGTCGTCCAGGGTGTCAAAGCAAGTGGCTTCTGGACGGAGACCCTCGGAAAGTTCGGCGAGCTTATCAATCCATACGAAAATTACCAGTATTATCGACATGAGATGGGCATAAATGGTGTACTACAAAATAATGCGCTACATTTTCTCTTCCCAGCGCTGAACAGCTTCACGCAAGGTAATGGTGATATGGGGAGACTCGTGATGTATGATTCTGCATTCTACATCGTGAGAATTGACAAAAAAAGCTGCAAGATGCATTTTAGCACCTCCGGCCTCATGGAAGCTGTAAAAGATAATGCTGGCTCCACGAGGGATGAGTCTCCATTATCTTACCTCTCCTTTTTCGGTGCTTTCTTCGCTTGTTTCAGGAATTAGGGAGTTCTGTTTCTTCTTTTTCTTCTACTGCTTTAGATCATTGAATTTGAGCTACTTAAAACACAAGTACAGGGGTGAACCACGATTTGAAAATCAATTTGCCGACCAGATATATTATTTCAATCGCTATGCCCCAGCGCCCCAATATTATACTGGCTAAGAAACTCAGTTACCTGCTAGTGCCAGCTTCCTCGGAATTATTTAGCTCAGGTGCTATGACAAAGCTAATTGTCACGTTAGATAAATCAACGTTGGAAAATATCTGGGTTAACAATGCTCTTACACTCTTTCCTGAAATACATAACCGATCTTTAAGTATAGATGGAACGACCGAGGTCCTTTTCGAGAACGACCAGGTGGGTCTTTAAGATTTTCGTCTTTGTGGCGATTCATGGCTTTCAAGTAAAATGGGAAAAATGTTCCTGGATCGGTTGATATGAGACCCATGTGTCTTGGGTCACCCTTGCTCCAACAGTGAGCCCGCATTTCAGTCATGGTGTTGAAGTATCCAAAATCTTTATCGAGACACTGAGGGCAAACATATTTCATCCCCGATGCCTCTGCAATGTCCAAAAGAGATTGCATTTTCGAACCTATGTGAGGCGGTGGTTTCAATAGCCTGTGCTGAGCAAAAAAGCCAATCTCAAATGCAGCTGCTCGATCAGATGGCAAGATCAATTCATTGTCTGCATCTTTCCACCCAATGAGCCTTCGGTAGCAGGTGTAGAAGGTCGACTGTTCCACTGCCATAAGGCCTTCGTGCTTTTTGTCCAATTCTCTCTTGAGGTGATCCGTCAATAAACGAAAACGGACGTAAGAGTTCAAACAACCAGGGCAGACATATTGTTTGTTTGCCCGTTGGAAAATTTGTTTTATCGCATCAGACTTCTTTTCGTTGTCCTCCATTTTGGTGGTAGAATTGGGTGTGGTAAGACGTTAAGGTAGAAACTCGAATACGACGGTGCCCTGAGTTCAACTAGGAAAACGAACGAATAACAAAGTAGAGCTTTCTTAGTAGAGGGGGGCACTTGGCTTTTTAAAAGTTTAATGCTTACTTTATCATGCTCATGTCGGGTAAGTGCACTAGCATGAAAATATCGGGAATGCAAGAGAGAAAATTCCCTACACCTGCGAGGTTTCGCCGCTGATCTTTCTCATGCTCGATTCTGCAGCCGCATTCGAGACTCTGTATCCTTAGTATTCTAATTAGAACACGAAGCCATGCAGATAAAGAATTCTTGCAAAAGTTTGAGATCTATCTGATATGATGTGCTCCGGAACTAGCACACACTTGAATCATTGGGACCAATGGCTTCCTTCTCGTTCTGATAGGCAGTAGTGTACAGCTACTTTTGCCTCCACTTATGCTTCAGTGCCTGCGACTTTCAAAATCCTCTTGCGAAGTAACCGTCATCCGTCTTGGTTTATATGCCCGCTTCCTCGCACTCTCTTTAAGCTCATCTAATTCCTCCTGCTTAAAGTTTCCCTCACACACTGCCTGGGCTATACTCTCCAGCTTGCAGAGGATCCAGCCAGTCGTTACAACTGCATCTTCCATTTTCTTTCCGCCAAGCAGTTTGAAGTCTCTCCAACTGATACGCTGTTGCCCGTCCTGGGTGAAAAAGATCAGAACTAAATCATCTGCCGACCTCTCCGCCCCAACAAAGAGAATAAACTGCAGCATGGTCAGATATGAGGCTTCTTGGCAAATATCGAATCTCACCTCGGGTGACGGTGTGGTATAGTCCGTTGGGTTATGACTTGTACGTGAATTGCTTTTCATTAAGCTGTCCACTTAACAGTGTGCCTTGCGCAGTGATCAATATAGAATAGCTTACTTTTGCAGGGATTGGGAAGCCATTCTGTCGAAGTTTTTTCGACTAGTAGTTCCTCTGGAAGAGGTGATACTCGGTTGAATTGTAACAGCTCTATTGAGCCCCGGGTTGGACGATAGATGGGACGACTGGAACGGGTGGGATCTCGATGATTGGACATGTGCTGTACACCAGTGGCGGAGGATATGTAGGTAGATTGAATTCATGCACGTGTGCATCGTCGTCTTCGCTTCGAAATGGATGGCTTCCTCAGAAGGACTCTGTCGGGTATTTTATTGGCAGGTCAAAAAATTAGGTTGACTAAAAGAAAACCACTTAGAAAGTGTGGCGAGAAAGCCGATAAGGTCTCAAGCTACAAGTTAAATTGCTTTACTGATGAAGAAAGAAAACTCTGGACTTCGTTGGATCCGCGTAGAAGCAACAGGACAGCGTATTGGAATGTCCGCGGCGTCGAGGCTACTGTCAATATGCAAAATCATATATTCCGTGAATTGTGCCAATCTCCCGTACGCTAACGCGACTGCCACAATTGGCTAGGGCTCTCTGACTTCAAGGCTTGCTGCTGTATGGTTGTTGTTTCCTGCATGAGGGCCGATCAGGCAGATTTGCTTTTCAAGGAGGTCAAAGCTAAATTTTGGTACCGAATTATGCGACTTATTATATTTCCATCATGGCGACCTTTGTACACTTTTGATTGAGAGAACTTACATCCATCAAGTTACATGGCTTACCGGGTTAGCGTCAACATAACTGGCTAATGGTATCTACTCATAGTTAATTTAGATAAGTCGAAATCAATTCAAACGATGACCCCCACACAAGATACCAGATGTTCTAGCCCGCTTAAGGCCTCGATTGCGGCGTGCTAGGTGTACGGCGGTTGTGTTGGGCTTGGTTGGTCAGGAAGGGCTCAGGAAGGGGCCAGGAGAGTGTCAGGAGAGAGCCAAGAAGGGCGCAGCATCGTGTAGGGTAAAGATGATACCAATGCGCCGTATTTGATTGGCGCTTTCCTGCACACCCCTGCTCTCTCCGGGCACCCAGTGCCCCCTCCGCACACCCCTGCTCTCTCCGGGCACCCAGTGCCCCCTCCGCACACCCCTGCTCTCTCCGGGCATCCAGTGCCCTCTCCGAACACCTGTTCTCTCTGGGCATCCAGTGCTCTCTCCGCACACCTTCTGTTCTCTCCGGGCATCCAGTGCCCTCTCCGAACACCCTCGTTCTCTCCGGGCATCCAGTGCCCTCTCCGCACACCTTCTGTTCCCTCCGGGCATCCAGTGCTGTCTCTGGGCATCCAGTACTCTCTCCGCACACCTTCTATTCTCTCCGGGCATCCAGTGCCCTCTCCGCACACCCTCGTTCTCTCCGGGCATCCAGTGCGCTGCCTGCACCTGTTGTGTTGCCGTTACCTGCTGCGGCAGTTATCCCAATACCATGCTACCGTCTATCTCGAAAGACGCCGCCTATGGCATTCAGGTCAATTTGACGTCAGGCTCTTTTTACTGGTGTGACAGCTATGAGCTTGGTGTGCAAGAGAAAGAATTGTTGAGGCTTGAGGCCAAGTTCGTTCAACATTCACTCGAACTCGCGGAAGGGGCCCAGTTAGATCAGATCTACCAGTATGTTAAAGAAAAAGCACAAGCAATAAAGACAAGTGGTCCTTCGCTGCTGGAAGCCCCGCAGGTGAAAACGAACCTTGAAGCTTTAGAGAGCGATCCTAAGTTCCTCCATCTCCTGCGCAACGGATTTCCGGAACCAATCCGTGCGGGAAAGATTTGGGGAGACTCCAAATACAAAGAAATGGTCACTTTTACTAAGCTGCGCTTTGGTCCTGCTTATGCTCTGCTGATTATTTGCATTTTCGGTACAGGCGGCCGGTATGGAGAGAAAAGGACAAGACTTACAATGCATCAACTCGCCAAAATCCTCCAACACATAGGCCAGGATATACGTCGGGACCAGCGTTCTTTGTATTGTCCGGAGCTGGCAAGGCATTGGGACAGATTGGCGGGAGAATCAGATAATGAGTGTACTCGCATCCCATTACTATCTGATGGCATAGGACAACTTCAGGCAGGTGCGCAGATTTCAGGAGACTCGCAAGGAAATTCCGCCCAACGTTGCGGCCAAGATTGGCATGCTACTGTAATGAACGAAGGTTAGTTAGATTCGCATGGGCTCTTCAATGCAGTTACTTGTGCTAATCCAATCTCAGATGCACACCAGCCAATTGATGTCGGTAGCCTCACATGGAGTACTAGAAGGAGGCAGTTTCTAGTCCTTGTGCATTTCATGGGCCGCAATTGTATCCGTGAAGACATCCTACGACGAGGGCTTTTGCCTCAATACCGATGGGGCCGCAACGGTAATCGGGAAATCGCTTCTCGGACAGACATTATGGGGTTCGCGGAAATTTTCACTAGTGACGATACCTTTGATCAGGAGATCCATGCTTGCGCCAACGACGGACAGGTCAAAGGGTTGACGCTCGAGGATGGGACTCAATGCTATGCACTTAAAAAAGAGTTGGAGAGCCGTTTGCGTTGCTTTTACTCGCGGCAATTGTGGGTAGCTCTGTTCGCATTCGCAGCATATATCTACCCCCGCGATGATACATTGGACCAGTCGTAAGAATACCTCCCCACGAAACATGAACCTTAATACCATTAACACTCTGCTAGATTCCGTGCAACCGGTAAGCTCTTAATGCCGGTGATGAATCAACTATGGGAATGCCTTCAGGAAGGACATATTCAGGAACTACCATATATTGTCAGGGCAAGCTTCATTGAGGCATCTTTATCGGCCTGTAGGCTGACAAATGCTGCTCATGCAAAGTCTATCGTGTCGACAGTACGTAGGCTGCAGGCTCCATTTATACCGCCATACCTGGCAGCGATGCTTACCTGGCAAGAGAGTGTTTCTCTCCGGTGGGAGGGGAACCATAACGAGTCGGACACAGTTCTGGAAAGAATCTTCTGCCAGCTTCCTGAGGTCCCAGAGACGGACCCGGATATAAGATTGCATTGTGCGTATGGTCGCTTAGTCTTCTCACGGGCGGAAAACGCGTTAATGCGGAATGACTTCGTTCAAGCATGGCAATACGTGGACCGCTGGGAGAAGAGAAGCGACCCTCCATCAATTATGGAGATCAAATTGATCCGACTCTTCAATACTGTCTTCGGGAGAATAGCCAGATACACAGGAAGGTTCTTGTATGCTCGAGAATCCTTTGAGCGTTGCCTACGTGACGGGGATCCCAGTTACCGCCATATTCAATTTCACCTTGCTGACATCTACTGTGAGTTGGGATGTGCCGAGCTGGCGAAAGATCTACTCCTAGGTGACGTGGAACGGCTAAGGCACACGCAAAGCCAGCGATTGAAAGCATTCAGGCGCCTAGCACTGCCGCTAGCGGAGGCTCACATCAATTTAAGAGAGCTTAACACGGCAAGATACACCCTGGAGGAGGTACTCCAGGTTTATGAGAGCATGAAGCACCATGACGTGACCGACCAACTCGGCCATGTTCGCACACTCATTAGCCTAGCACGAGTGGATTGGTACGAAGGCATGTATTCAGGTGCTGACGAGCGGCTCAAACGTGCAACGGCGCTCGTTGAGAGTTATCCAACATTCATAAAACCTGGGTTTGATGTCGCATTCGTCAACCTCTTTCACTCGGTTGTGAAGAGATCCCTGGCTGTTGAGCTCCTCTCAAAGGTACCACGTGGCTACTTCATGGCAGGGAACGGAACTTATTTTTTCAAAGAAATTTTTTCCAATGCTGGGGCAGGTAGTTCTAGTTGTGATATGGAGCTCTCTTCAGTTTCTTCTGGTCTCAAGAATGCTCAGTGCACCGCTCACTAAATGCAAGCTTCCTGTTATCAAAACGTGTGCCGACCTAGAAGTTTGAGCAATTGTACGAGCCCGCTCTAGAGCATCTTCAATTGTCCGTTCACACCATACCATAGTCCCATCTTCGTATTTTCCCCAAGCACGTGCGTACGCTTCTAACTTTTCCACTGAAGATCGGGCCTTTAAATTTCTGTCTGGGACAAGTCAGCTCTCTGTCCATACTTTTCTCGGGATAATTTAGACATATATACCGATCCTTGTCTGCCCGTTCCGTCTTTCATTGTATGTAGTCAATATCATATGCTTTATTTCGAGTCTTTCCCTATCGAGGGACTTCTTGATAACATGTAAAAGTTCGTCGCCGTGACGATCTGAGAAGTTGCTGAAGATGACTACCCTTATGGGGTAGATGTTGACACTGTCAGAATGAGCATGATGCCACCACGGGGTGCCCATAGGTGATTATTCCTACCTTTGTAATTTGCTCATCTCGGCAAACCATGACACCGCAGTGGCCAGCCCTGATTCATTGTGAGCACCGTCAAGGAACCATCTGTGATTGCCTTCTTCTATCTGCTGGTAACGACCAGGCCAGTCAAGTCCCTGAATGCCACGATTGATGCATTCAGCCAGGTTCGTCAATCTGTCAGGAAACCTGAGTGATATCCATTTCCGGGCGACTGCTATGGCAAGTGAGCAGTTTTCCTTCTGAAATCCTACCACTGGCAGTGATGAATCAGGCTCAACAAATGACAGCGTCACATTTTTCTCGTTTGCACGCTGCTCAAGAACCTCAGCAATGATTTGCTCTTGGGGCGATGAGATAGCCGGGCAACCAGGCTTAAAGATGCCTGCCTTGTGCCAAGCGATGTCTCTAATAGTGGGTCCAAGGAATTTGACATGGTCTTTCGCTATTCGAGTCACCGCTGTCACTACGGGTGATAATATGACATTCGTTGCATCGTACTCGCCACCCATGTGTGGTTCATAGACTGCAACATCAACCTTTTCTTTGAGAAAGATATGGAAAGAGAGAAGGGTCAAAAGCTGGAGGTATCGAGGGATGTCCATGTCGGCACTAGGCTCACGTGGCAGTTTATCCCATATTTCGAAAAATGCACTCGCAAAGGCGTCTTCCTCTATCGGCTTGCCATTGATACGTATCCTTTCACGTATGCTAAGAAGATGTGGTGAAGTATAGAGTCCGACCCTGCACCCGAAGCTCTGGAGTATGGACGAGATATACGCGCAGGTGCTACCTTTCCCATTGGTGCCGGCTACATGTATGACGTTCAGCGTTCCCAGATCGAGTTGCTGGTACGATGTTAGCAGCTGCACTTCTTTGTGATATCTGGCCTTGCCATACAGAATAACCGAGTAATTCCAACCATTTTGTCATATCATCCGAACCTCTCATTTGCTTCAAACTCGGCTGCGCACTGGCACGTCTGCAATTGAGAAGTTGGATAGCGGCCTGTGCCAGTTAGAAGGCGGACACCAAGAACCGACAGAGATACTCACTTCGTATTGCCTGTTCATCATAGCAATCATCACTGGGGGACATTGGTACAGGTACGATGTTCGTGCGATGCGGGATTGATGCTTACTTGAGCGGGGTCGAATGTCACATGATCTCCGTCCCCTACGGTGGCCGATAGCGACCAGCTAGAAAATGCGCCGCTAAATTAGCTGTCAAGAATGGTGTCAAGAATGGACTCTCACCGCCTATTTCCTATTGTGTATTAATTTGTTATTAGTGATTAGCCCTGGGTGGCGGTTGGCCGTACAATCTTGTCCACTGATTATCTCTTCTCCTGTATAGCTTCTCTCTCTCCTGACCTTCATTGATCGATCACTGTCTCACAGCGGAGATTTGGGGGCAAACTTCCGTGTCTGACTATCGAATATTCACGTAGTTGTTTCTACATACAATACTTTCTAACTGTCAAGAAGCCTTCCTCTTAGATACTCTCCGACGCTTGGCCGAGTCTCTAGCAGTGGTTACACTGGAGCGCGCCCGATTCGCTCGAGGTTTTTTCCTCGGTGAATCCTCGATGACAGTATTTCCAGCTTCCTCGGTATTGGTCTGTTCTTGTAGTCGTTTGCTTCTGCGTCTTCCAGTGCCCTGAGCCTCGGAGTCATGCGTATCCAAAGAAAGCGTTATTTTCTCGGAATCATTTGCCTCCTGTCCGGACTTTTGTATTTTAGTTTTGGAAGCTTTGGGTTTCTTCTGCGATGTCGTCGGTCCTAGCACCTGTTCATTGGTAGATTGAACAGCCGAATTTGCTGGGCGACCCGATGGATTCGTGATTGAAGGTTGATTGTTGGATTCGGAGATAGGATCAGGACCAAACAACGAAAGCCCCATTGCCGGCTCGCCATCATCACCCTCAGGGACTTCTGCTCTGACTGGAGCAGGGCCGTCATCAAACTCTGGCAAAGGACGTTCGTGTTTCCACGATAATCCAGGTAGTGTAACCCATTCAGCATCCCAAATTCCTCTTTTGATCCATATACGCCTCACATTCTCATAAGCCTTCGTGTTGATATCTGCGGGGGCTGAGGTAGTAGTAATCTCATTCCCCAAGTCGTCTTGGATCCGTTTGCACTCCAATGATATCTGATAGATGAATTGAGGCAAGGGGCGTGATGCCTCCCGCTTGTGTTTCAATTGATCTTGTTGCCTAGGTCCATGTTGGTGTTCCTTTTCCCTATTCAAGTGACCCATAGCTGAATCTGGTTTTGCTGGGCCGGAAGAAAATATATTAAGACTTGGTGCTGCATCCGCATCGGCCTCGGTTGCAGATGGAAGCTCTAGTGGCTCTTCGTGCATCCATCTTGTTTGAGGCCCATTCTTCCATTCGTCTCTCCATATTCCCTGTTCCACCCATCTCTGCTTCACTGTCTCATGAGCGAGTTTCTTAAAATTTGTCCCGATAGGCAGCTTTAACCTTCGATTTTCGAACTCCTCGATGATGTGTGCTTCCACTTCAGCGACCTGGTCGTCGAATTGGTTGTAAGGGCGCGACGTCTCACGGTCCTTTTTCAACTGCCATTTTTGTCGCTCACAAAGTCGCTGATCATCAGACGCACTGTCAGGGCTCTGCAATTCGGTTGAGTTGTGTGATTGATGAGACGTGTATGATGGCGGCCTGCTGAAGCGCGACCGGTCAATATCGAGTTGCGCTGGGTCGGCAAGGAGTTCAGCCAGCGCGAATTGCATCCTAGGCAAACCAGAACCGATGTTGTCTGCCATGGTGATAGAATTTAATGTTTGTGAAAACAAGAAATCGGGTCTCTGGTAGAGAATGAGAATCGGAGGGGGCGGCATAAAAGGGCAAGAGTCCCGCGTCCGCTGACCGTGATTTACGCGCCGGCCAACGGCGCTAACGCGCCATCAAGCAAACAAGCCAACCGTGCGCCCAATCATTAACCGCGCACACCTCTCAACCACTCATCTCAATGTGATCATGATTTACTGAAACCAGGAGTCTCGGGGCTTAATCGCCTGGTTTCACCTCCTCTCCTGCTGTAAGGCGCGTAGTTATCATGGTCGGCAGTCCTATCTAATAGTTCTTATGATTGTACCAGATGTACCAGCGCTTTTCTGAAACCAGGAGTGTTGAGGCTTAGTTACCGGTTTCAACTCCTGCTGAGCTGTGTGTAGTCGTAATATTATCTTTACTACAATCTCAGTCAAATCCATGAATAGAAACTTGGTTTTGTGAAACCAGGAGTCGAGACTTAACCCTCCTGGTTTCAAGCGCTCCTCCACGGCGCGTAGTTACGATATTCGACCGTTTTATTTAACCATTCTCTAGCCACCTCACCTCCTGTTAGATTTCGCCATCTTGTTTACGTCGTTTCGACATGTCTGATCCACACCCAAACCGCCGTCCCCATGCTCTGTTCTCTCTCAAGGCTTTGAATGAAGCCGCCGAACGGGTCGTCAGCCATCCTTTGAATCAGCATCTTGCTGCAAAGATGCTGGATGGAACGCCTGTCCTTGATATTGGCTTTGCTATTCGCTCGAAGTACCGTCATACTATTGCAACACTTGGGAGAGGGGAAGCGGACGTTTTCATACCAGAGAAATGTGTCTCCAAGGTTCAATGCTCTTTCGAGCTTGAGCCCACCACAAATGTAATCATGCTTTACGACAGATCGCATGGCCAGACAACGCAGGTTTTCGGCAAAAATAGCGTACCATTCCAGGACGGACGTGTTCGCAAACTACTTGTACAGCAACAGCTGAACGACGAAATTGGAATGGGTGGTATCGGACAAGACCACGTTCAGTTCAAGTTGATATGGCATCCAGATGCCTTGGCAACGGCTGAAACGAACGACCCAAAAAATGCCAACAACGACTACGAGGAGAATATCAGACTGGCTCGGACTGCAGATGAAGCAGAAACGGTTTTACCGTCTCGAGCGCAGACAAGAATCCACACACCCGGGCCGCGCCAGCTGCAGATGAGATATTTCAGGCAAGACGTACTTGGATCTGGAAGTTTTGGAGTCGTATACAAGGCAATCGATATAGACACAGGCAGGTGCATGGCTGTTAAAGTATTTAAAAAGCCTGAGGGAGTGTCTCAAACGGAAGAATGGAAGAAATCAGTGTATTTTGCACAAAAACGAGAGGTCGAGACACTGTCTCGAATCAACCACGTTTGTAACCACCCCATGGTTTCACGGGCTCAGCTAATGCTTTTCCAGCCCTATGTGGTCGAATATATCACATCACAAGGCTGGGGCGGTCCTGCACCAGAGATATTCATGAACCTCATGGACGGCTCCCTCGCATCGTTGGTCACTAGTGGGACGGTCCCGTCCATAATTTTGCTCGCCCGATGCGTGTTCCAGCAAATGCTTCAGGCATTGGATTTTCTCGCCGCAAATGATATCGTTCACCGAGATATAAAGCCACAGAACATTCTTTATACACTGGAATCAGATGGACAATATCTGTTCCGACTTGGCGATTTCGGTGTATGCAATCACATCATTAGTGCTGTTACTCAGGTGGGCACCCTGCTATATATGGCACCCGAAGTTTTTGAGCATGGAGCCCAAACGCACAAGATGGATGTCTGGTCCCTTTTTGTCACAATGGTATGGACATTAGATATGGACGGATTCCGTTCAAAGGATTTCGTGTCCATTCCTGACGCTCGCCAAGCCATTTTGACCGCAGCGGGCGGCGAAAGGCTTAGAGATATCCAAGAAATGGCAAGGGTTGAGCCAAGCGAGCGTTCCTCTGCGGCGCAGATGTTGATCAAGTGCTTCAAAGGGGAAGGGCTTACAACTCCGCGGAATCGAGTTCCGCCGATCAGTACAGAATATTCCAAACACGGAACTCCAGATGAAAGCTCTCAGACCACGAGCTCTCAGGAGAAGTACCAACTGGTCCAGAGTACCCGAGAAATCTCTCAACAGTCTAAAGATCTGTTTCGCGTCAAAAAGTCTCGTAACTTTCCCCAAGCTCGACTGTACGGAGAGGGCGCCAGGCGACCAGGAAGCAACCTTTTCGCAGGAAAGCGTCCAACTCGCAATATTGACTCCGCTGATTTGATGCAAAGCCTGCATTTTCACCCATGACAAAACACAGATGTAAAAATGGGTTCCTTTGCCTTTCTTTTCTGTCTTTCCGATCTTACCTGCCTTTCGTTTTCATGTGAATTTATTTTACGCTCCTTTCGTTCCTTTGTGATGGATTACGCAACGAAATTAATGAGGAAACTGAGCAAAATAACAGGAGCAGAAACATGAAATAATCAAGCACCTAGTCAATCAAGACTCAGAAGAGGAGGGGAGACTAAGCTAGCCCTGTCCAAAAGGGAACCCTCAAAAAAATCTTCGTAATAAAAATTTCTTGGCAAATCTGCTGTTTTTGCACCACGCTCATTCCGTCACTCTCTTTTGTCTATTCTTGGTGTCCGCTTTTACTTGATCGCATCCTCTTTGTCGATAAGGAGGTTACATTGAATACTGATAAGGAAGACCATGGGACCATTGAAAACAGCCGGGTGCAAGAAATCGGCCCACACGAGGTCAACGGGCAGCTAAAAGAAAGGGAGGGAGGTAAGTTTGGTCTGCATAGAGTCTAATGATCTTCTTTTTTTTTGGGGGAAGGCAGGAAATTTCTAAAACTAAGTCAATAATTTACTGGCCTTCATTTTGGGCGGGGCAGGCTTTAAATCTACCTCCCTGCCTTCCATCCCAATCCAACCCTCTCTTAATAAACACCCCTTTCTTGACGCCCGACTTTTTCACCCCGCCCTGTATTATTCGGGAGGGGCATATTATCCTATATATTGATAATTGCTAGACATCTTTCTTTCTCTCTCTCGGTCACGCTAACAACCAAACCTTGCAGATTTCAATTTCACTATGTACCCTAGAAACCTCTGACACTATTTTGTACTGACCTAAACTGCGATAGGAGACCCCAAAGACTAACTCGTCAGCCTTAGACATACATTCCCTCAACACGACTCTCTTGATCGAACTTCTCTAAGAGTTTTTCACTTGATTCTGCCGCCTTTCCAGATGTTTGTAGCTCATGCGCTCTCTATCCACCGTGGCAAGTGCGTGTGCGATAGAAGTAAGGTTCTTGATCTAGATGATGATAATCAGTGGCTGAACAATAACTGCTGCTTTTAGGGACTGACCTCGCGCCCATTCAGAGAAAGATTATCCAGCTGTTGTACAGTCATTCTCGAAATTGCCTTGACCAGTACACACTGAGACTCTCTTTCTAGGCCCCACCGCCAAGGCCTTAGCGCATATCATTTATTGAGCGAGCAGCATTAATTTGAAAGATAACTAAGATGGACGCTGTATGGTACGGCTTCTTTCTATGTAATATTACATGATACGTCCAAGAATCCTGTGGAAAGCATAGAAAATGTGAAGGATTTCTGCACATCATGCGGGGAGGGTCTCCTGTTGCCTAGTCACTTGATCATGTACTTAATTATATCGAGTGACTAGTTAACTAACTACAACCTTGTTGTGCGTAATATGGATCTTCCACAATTGCGACCGTTTTTAGCAAGGTCAGATCTCCCCCAACCTATTTAAGACCATCATTTTGAATTAATTTGAAAGCAATACAATGATTCTGAGATACATTCTATATAGTCAGTAGGACGTAGCTTTGTGCCTCAAAGGTAGAGAAAACATGTGCTAACCCACTACCAAAAAATTACCCGAGCAAAGTAATACCTTACATATGGAGGATAATGCACATTTTCATTTTGCAATTCTTAGCCTAGTTAACCTCTCTATAACCCACCGCGTCCTCTGGTGTGGACCTAGGGCCTTCTCGTAACCTACGAGTGTTCGCTGGTACATATGTTTGGCCTCTTGTAGCTTCCCCTGATCTCTGTAGAGAAGACCAAGGTTGTTGACTGTCCGAAGAGTACAGTAGACGTATGATCGCCCCAGGAGTCCTTTCGGCAAACAAATCGCAAATATGACCCCAGCACAACTTTTGAACATCTCTCAATTTGAAAAACGCCTTTCATCTTCGTCAGTCTAGTTGCTGCGAGTGGCGGTTCACTGCGATTGCACAGGCATTACCTCTCGCACCGTACCATCAGCTACAACGGTGCTTGTTGCGATAATACCGTATGCGTGCTGTAGCTTCTTTGTTCCAAGCTGAAACACTCCAAGTAGGAAAATCTACATTCCTTCGCGAGGGGTCAGAGTAAATAAAATCCATTCATCCATCTATACTATACGGGCTTAAACTCTGTTTTAGATTTTCATGACTACCAAGAAGGACTCAAGCCTCCCGCGGATGAAGTACTCTGACAATTTCTCCTCGGCTTTCTGAAACAGATATAACGCCCGGATGTACGAGAATCAAAGTTAATCAAGGCAACCCAAGGTTCGGACGCAGAGCTTCTGCTTCTCGTTGGCGTAGCATCAATCTCCCATTGTGGTCCAAACGCTGCAACTGAACATTTTCCCTCTCTGCTTGCTTCTCCATTATGCTAGCAGTCACATAATGGTCATCCCCAAGTTTCTCTAGTCCATGATAAAACGGTGCCAGAGCAGATGACTTCCATAGAGGCAGGTTACTTCTTCTGCTAACAATTATCGTGGCGCATGAAAAAGCTGTTCCGATGAAAACTAGTAAAGCTGGAAGTATGATCCAACGCCATTGCACGCTCACGAAGACTTTAGTTGTGTAGACTGTTCCACTAATCCCGTGATTAGAGTTCTCTAGACCCACCTTATTCAAAGAAGCAGCCATATTTGCCATACTTCGCGCGAACCCAGTAGTTCGGAGTCGATCCAAGCTAGGGTCAAAATTATCAGTGTCGTAGACCTCGGATGCACCCATCGGGAGTTTTTTCCACGTGCGGCCTTCCAATTCCCATGCTCCTACTTCTTCAGATGGAAAGTACTTTGAGCCTTTTCCTGCGAGAAGCTCCATCCTCGTATCGCAAAAATTAAATCCTCTTGTATCTTGGTGCCCGGCCACGTTCGGGGGTCCAGGTCGCCAGCATAACGGCCTTCTCGGCTTTGTACTGTCCAAATATACCGTGCCGAAGTCAATAGTGAGGGTTTGGAACGACGGATGTCCATTTTCCACAGTAACGTTATAGTCTCTTAGACAGGCTGAAAGACTGCACCCGGTAACACTCTTAATATATAGGCCATCCGAAATAGGGGCATCAGCAGAGACTGGGCCTTTATGCAGCTCGAGTTCTGCATACGCATTTGACCAAAGTGGATTCATCACGTCAGCGAAAGTAGTGTTCTGGAGCTTGGTCGCAATGCTATCGTCGAAGTCTCCTTGGAGATAGCTGAGAGGTTGCCAAACGATCTTGTCCGGAAAAAACAATACTGGCGCGCCCATTTCCCAATCTTCGCTTTCATGATAGGCCACAGTAAAATTATACCCAGAGTCGAACTCATGGTCAAACATTTCGTAGTCATAGGGTAGGCTGATATGGCACGTCTTGTTGAAACTTCCGACAGCGTTAGGCAAATGGCAATCGAGTGTAGCGAGAGAAGTTATATCGATGCACCGGCTACAAAAGCCAGACGATGAGTATTCGCCCCAAGTACAATTACCTGACGAGCATTGAGGAGAGGGAATGAAAGCTTGATCAGACCAGAATCCCTGGGAGAGCGCGGTATCCAAGAGTAAAGTGCGAGGGGAGCTTGTTGGATCCAATGTTGAATTGCCAGGCATGAATTCGCGCAACTGTGGTGCAATGGCAACACCATTCAAGTCGGGGGCTAGCTGCACAGGGTAGTTTAGAGCCTGTTGTATAAATGGATCAAATGCAAGTAGAAGCAAAATTACTACTGCACCAAGAGAGACGAACGAATGCGCGCGATGATGGATAAGGATCATTAGTGAGCCTAGCGGCCCTCTGCTAGCAGCATCGAATGTTTGTATATCGAGTAGCTGTCTCTCGTTCGCATCTCGTGTAGGATTATGAAACCAGAGCCACTTCAATTGGCTAATTGCTTCTCCGACAACTAAGACTAATGCTGATTTGCATCCCGTTGCTAGCACCGAGACGAACGTGTTTAGAGTCAAGTCGTACAACATCGTCTCCGGTCGCACTTTCTTGTCGTATATCAAGAGTACAATGCATATAGCGATGAAGCAGGCAATGGCGAATGCTAACGCGATGCTCTCGAGCAGCCATGTATCGAGCCAAATAGATCTGCGAGGGGGTTTTTGGACTTTGGAGGTTTCTTTCTGTCTGCTCTCATCGGATGGCGTTCTTGACTGGGGTCGCGCCCGTGATTCGCATAGTAGCCTTGACTTTGATTGAGCCCTCGAGAGATCAGTCTCAGCCTCTGCAGGATCCTCATTGTGGGCGTCATCGAGCGGAGTCATTTCAATCATCATTGGCAAGCGAGGAAGTTTCGTTCATTCGGAGGATTGCGAGGAAACACAGCGGCTCGGTGGTATTCGATTGCGAAGGAAAGCCTACGATGAGCGCAGGAAGAATAGGTAGGTCAGAGCAGCAATATTTTGGCCCAACAAAGAGCGTAAATTGCAGGAGAGAGGCAAGCGCAGAGCCTCCTAGTCAGTACCAAGGACGGGAGAGAAGAGGTTCAGATAGGGGGACTTTATCGCCCTCTGATCTTGCGATACGAGAGTCAATTACGGCCCGGGGCTCAAGGCACAGCCTCACGTAGATTTTCAATGGATTTTCGTAAGCACCATGTAATCTTACAGAACAAGATATGGTAATACAAGATGCATATTATGCTGTCCATCCATACTCTCAATTCGATGCGGTAGGCTTCCACTTGTTACGACCGCTGCAACAGCCAACTACTTGAGGCTAACCGTTTCTCCGGTCATCTCTAGGGCCAGACACTTTCGCATATAAGATCGAAAAAGACGAGCTTCACCTGATCGACAACTAAATGGAGCAAGTCAGGTTGCTCGTATCGTTATTTTTAGTCACACCACAAGGATCAAAAACAATGCAAGACGGTGGGCTCTCGAAATCCCCGTATAGAGATGGTCTCGACTAATGTTGTCTTAACCGTAGGTTCTGGCCGGGTACGAAGAAACGGTCTTAGCACAGTCGCACAGATAATGACGCTCCTTTCTAAATTGAAGACACGAAGTACCAGCGACAGCCACGCCAGCCTTCGTATTACAGGTAGAATACTGTAACAGCCGTCTCATCCGACTGTAGTGTCTGGTTGGGTACGAATGGACCATGCCAGCACTGCCACACAGACAATGCATACGATTCCAGAGAATTCCACCGACGTTTTACACGCATAGCGTAATTTCCCGTCAGGGTACATACAGTACACAGCGCATTTTACTGAGCCCCTTAGTTTAAGGCGGCCCGGTCAATAAATAGTCTGCGCTAAGGCCTTGGCGGTGGGGCCGGGAAAGAGTTTCTCAGTGTATATTAGTCAAGGCGATTTCGAGAACGACTGTAGTTGCAAAGGTTCAACTTTGATCTTGAATCTTGCGTAGGTTCCCTTCAAATCCATTAGATATACGAACATATTGAGAGCAGTTTTGTATTACCTGTATAGTTCGAAAATTGGTTGGAGCACAGAGAACTCTGACTTTAATATTAGGGTGGGACGAAAGGAACGCCGCCTCGCAAGGCGAAACCACCATTGTCGCAAATGAAAGTATCATAGTGAAAAACAACAGCTGTTAGCGGGTTCAAAAGTCTGCTAGCCTTACATGATAGAGTGTGGCTTTTCCCAGAGCCCTGGGAACCGCAGATACAGTCGGAGTCGAAAACAGATTCCCCTTCATACACTCACGAATTGTTTCTCGAACCCTAGCTTGAAATACACTATAATATATTTGGTTTAGCTGTAAATCTTTCTTTTCTAAGAATAGATATCTTATATTACGTGACGGCAAGGTGGCGTAAAATACTGTACTTGACAGGCAACATCTTTTGTGTACCTGCTGCTGCCTAGCTGTCGAATTTGCAGGTCCCAGACTTTCCTCCATCCGAGGGTCGAGAAGGGAACTTGCACAATATGGCACCGAGACTCCCCCTCTCAAAGCTACACTTGATCCGTGATATGATACAGAGCCAGTCACTAACCACGTCTCAAATGGCTGATGCAGCTTAATGCAGCGACCGTACAATTAAAAATGTTCGTAGGAACTTACGGCTGTTTGGAAGCGTCCATGCGCCCCCGAATCGTACTAGTAGGAGACGAAGCATAACCCCGCTGATGCTAGAAGCGCTTTGCCACCATCTACTCGAAAAGCCCGGTCTCTACCTCGATGAGATAGCCGTCTTCCTATGGGATGAATTCCAGACGCTCGCAACAACATCCAGCATTAGGAGGGCCCTCGGTCTCAAAGGCTGGTCCAAGAAGACAGCTCGACAAAGGGCCAAAGAGCAAAACGCCGATTTGCGAGAGTTCTATCTTCATAATTTGTCCGAATTTCAATCATATCACCTTGTTTACAGGCATTCTCGAAATCGCCTTGACCAGTACACACTGAGAAACTCTTTTCTGGCCCCATGCCAAGGCCTTAGCGTAGACCATTCATTGAGGAGGTCACACTTCATTGAGGGCCGCCGTAAAATGCAGTGCGTATGGTATTGTATATTTCTAGTAAACTCACGTAACGTACAAGAATTTGGTGGAATTACATGGAGGCGATGGTGGGTCTATGCGGACCAGTCTGTAGACAATCTGAAGGTGGCTTCAACTTTTCAGTGTCAACGATAGATAGAATATTACCGCCTCTGCTCATGTCAGATTCTCGCGCCGGGAGGATTGCCGTGACATCTGAATTTGGCCTTGGATCATCTTAACTTGGTACAACTGTAGCATGAGCGAGAATGAGGATTTGAGGAAATCTACCTGTTCCACCATGTGCACAATATCCCTTATCACTAGATTCCATGTAAGCACTCTTATCAGCCGATAACTGTAGATTTCTTTATATCTAGACAGGAGTGCCTTCAGTTCTTTCGCAGGGCATTCATTATCGTAGAGTATTGACATGTCTGTACCCCGTAGTTCTTCGCTGAAGGACATAGTAGTGATATTGCCACAAGCCAAGTCTAGCAGCTCCGAGTATTGTCCTAATCTCTGTGAAAAAAGCAATACAATGTGGATGGATGGGTCGATGGCCTCATTTACCCTGAACCCTCGCCGAAGTGATATGCAGGCTACAACAACTAAATAGATCTCATGCGTACCTGTGTCGTGTACCACTTCCTAAGCGAACTTAATGCCTCGCCGACGCCTGTCGTATCCTAGTACACGTTGTTGCTGTCATGCTGCCCTCACCCCTTATAGTGGGAGTCGAAAACAGACTCCCCCCATTGATTAACGCACTTTTTTTCCTCGGTTCGTACTCGAAACCACACTAATCTGGAACGGCGAATGCGCAATGATCAATAACGAATTAAAGGGTTGTGATGCAGCAGACGATGCCCAGAGAGCATATCACCGGCATGCAATGCCTGACTCCCCGTCTGGCAGACTCTGGGAACTAAGCTCATGGAACAGACGCCAATTAAGTCAAGCAACCTCCATTTGAGGTCTTTGTGGTCCTGAGTCCTGAGTTACGCGACGTGGCTAGACCTCCGATGCCTTGCGTGTTGTTCAGCTGAGGAGCTAGCAGAATAGGAACGCGAGGCGCTTGTATGCGCAATGGTACAGATTACTCCGTTGAAGGTTCAATATGAGGTCCCGGAGGCCTCAGAGGTATTCACTGAACTTTGACTGTCTAGTCTCCCGCATATAATAATGGGTGATGAGAAGAATGAATCACACCCTATACGCATTAAGTCCAGCCGCTCCTAAGCCCATGAACAACACCGCGCCGCCACCAAAGACACCGACCGCCTGAGGCGTCAACCTTCCATGGCCTGCCACAGTCGCAAAAACGCTAACGGCATCTACCAGGTCGACCACAACGCCTCCCGAAAGTACCCTCCTGACGCTACGTCTCGTTTCCCCTAGAGCAGACACGGATAAGCTCTTGGACTCGTCTCTCATAGTAACCCATAGTGCAGCTGCGAGTAAGGCGTCACGAATTCCGAAAAGCCGCATCACAAGTGTGGATGCCGTGTTAAGGGGCGTAGGTAGACCGGAGACGCGACTCAGCAGGGTAGGAGCCAAGACCGCGCTGAGCCCGACTCCAGTGCGGAGGGCGGCCATAGTAACGGCACAAGCCTTGCCGAGGGTAGCCCTTGGCGCTAACATATTATTGTCCGATGGCTGAGGCTATTGAGAAGTTGGTCCCCTTCTTGAACAACGGTTAGATACACATCTTTAGTGGGGTCGAATGCGGGATAAGACTGACCTGATGATTCCATTACAGTCACTATCCAGTATAATGCGAAGAATTACTGAACTTTAGGTATGTATAGCCTCTCCGGACCGAAACGCCTATGGGTCCCCTATTATATATACACGTAGCCAGGTCGTCGACTGCCGCCAGCGTTATGATCCGTTATGTTGACAACCTGTGCCCGTTCTCGCCGTTAACGCATGCTCGCATTCTCGTATATCATCTTTTTACAGATCCCACACAGCCGCTAGTCAGATGATCCCAAAGTCAAACACCTCGCGCCTCTTGCGTATCGCAGACGGTTAGACTGCGCAAGTACATCACGATCCAAAGCCCACCACCAGTTATCAAACACCCTTTGCCCAATTTCCCAGCCCGCCACGTCCATCCCATCACAGCCGGAAATCCGACATCCCTCCCTCTCATCATCCATATCGTACACTAGATGCATAAGGGCAAGAGGGTCTCTCGCAGATGGTGGTCGTAACTCGGATGGCAACGCAAAAGCATTGATGAACTTTGTCCGGACAGTCGGCCAGGGTAATATGTCGAACAGCGGATGGTGAGGGATTGTGAGCTGCGCAGATACGGGAAAGAAGTGCTGGGGTAGAGGAAAGGACGACGGAGCTGTAGGGCCAACGATGTGGATTGAAGCTGGATTCCACAGTAATGGTAGGCAGTTGAGTCTCGTGGCCACATCGACGGCGGCTCGCATGACTTTGAGAGCAGGTACTTCAAGGGTTCTGTCGTCGGGAAATTCAAAAGTCTCTGTTAGCAGGTCCTGCAGCTCTCCTGAGAGAGCGCTATCGAACATCATATCAGAGCCTGCCGTTGAATCAGCTTGTAGAGCCAAGACACATAGTCTTGTAGCGAACTTAGGCCATCTTCTCCGGCAGTCCAAGTCAACGACGATTCATCTACGTTACGGGCATCGCCGGATACGGAGGTGCGTGCTTGAAGGCTGTCACTTGCAAGTGGAGCGTCGCCGCCACCTCTGGGTGTCTCTAGATGAACTTGCTGCGCAGATGCGCCAGTGACACTTGGGAAGTCTCGCCTTGCCGTTCGCGATAGTTTCTTGCGATCGCCTAGACAGGCGTTATGGGCTGGACGAAGGAGAGGCTCAGATGGTACGTACGATATCTCCGTTGTGCTAGAACGCCGAGTACTCGCCTCCGGTCTGGGTCGCCGCGAGGTGGAACCGCCAACTCCTTGCCCGCTGGCGAGCGGTCAGCCATTGCTGGACAGATAGCCGGTTAGTTAAGGATATGAGTTGAAAGTGATGGCGATGGTGGCGGGTGAGTAGGAAGATAACGCTGAGCATAACGCGGGGCATAACTCATAACGCGGACAGGACCACATTATGTACTGTAGCAGTTTCTCCACCACGTGCACGTCCCCGCTGCGTGTTTCGAACGCGTTAACTCTGCCTTGCGACCATGATATCATGGCAACTCAGCAGATATCGAACCGGTAATTGCTGCGTTACGCGCCACAAATAAGCCAATCACACATTATCACTCACATGGCATTAGCCACGAAGGTTCAAAAAAGGTAAAATTATATAGGCGTGAGCCATTTATCTAGCGTAGACCTTGACAAAATCCCCTTTTTTTGGACATTGAATCCAGGTGTGACCTTCCTACGTCTCATCCGCCTCATGCAAATCTAAGTACTGTATCTCTATTGAGGATAGGCAATGGATGAAATTGAACAGTGAAAAGGCTCCCAGCTGTTTCAACATTCATGGTAACGTACTTGCTCTGGGACACACATCAGGGCGAATGACCATTATCAGGTTTTGTCTATAGGTGCAAAATTTTTATTCTTAATTTTTTTTTTTGGTGCTTTTCCCGCTTTTGTTTTCTAATCACTTTATACGGAAGGGCCTGGGAGAAGAGAGGAATTTGAACGGCTCTACACTGCTTGTGGAATATTCCATGACGGTTCGGTCACCTGGCAGATCGCCCAGGAACCAGGTGCAAGGCGGCTCTTTCAGCATGATCACTATCGGTTTCCACGGAATCCCACTGAATTCTCGTCTGCCCCGTGTGTAATTTTAGGAGTTATATACTGTAACATACAGCCCGCATTTTACTGTGTCCCTCAGTTCCATGTGGCCTGCCCAATGATTGATATGCGCTAAGGTCTTGGCGGTGGGGCCAGAAAAGAGTGATCAAGAGTGTATTGGTCAAGCCGACTTCGATAATGGCTGTAACTCCTCGTGCCCAACAATAGCAGGTCCTTGGGCTGTGCAAGCTTTGGACAACTGGTTTTCCCAGATCGCTCTGCGAAATTCCCTTGACAGATCCTCATATTTAATGGTTAGATGAATACGGCTCAGGATTGCTTCATCAAACTGAATCTTCCGATTCGTTGTGAGGAACAGGACGCCCTGGTAGTATTCCATCTTTCGAAGGAAGATAGTCACGAGGCGATTGTGGATGCCATGGTAAGAGGTACGCTGCTCCAAAAACGCGTCTGCCTCGTCTAAGAGTAGCACGGCGTTGAAGTGCTTAGCAATCTTGAATATGTGCTCAAGCTGCTGCTCAAGCGCACTAGAATCACCTCCGTCGACAGCAAGTTCACCCGCCGATATCTAGGCAAGTTAGCGAGCTGTCAGCGACGCGATGGACAATGCTTACAGAATAGAGAGGAAGATGAAACCGCTCCGAAGTTGCCTCAACGGTAAAGGTCTTTCCGACACCGGTCGGGCCACTAGGAAAGTCAGATAGGAAGCAACAAAAGGATCTTTTCAACGCACTGCAAAAGGATGTTGAGCCCACGGCCCTTCCCATCGATCCCATCGTCGAATGGCACAGCTGGTACCAAACCTAGGCGGGATTTTGCCAAGGAGGAGAGGAGCGTTTTAGTCTTCGAAGGGATCTCCAGACTGTCGAAGGATTCTGGGGACCATTGTACGTCTTGAAGACTACCGACCGCACATTCCACTGACCTCACATTAGTTAGGACGCCACGTAGACGGACGTGATACTCACGGAATAGTTTTTCCTTGAAGCTGAAACAGCAAACCGTTGGACAAGCGATCAAGAAATCGATCTCCCGCAATTCTTGTCCATCCAGGCTATCCTCCTTCATTCTCTCTTTCTCCCGCTCACAGCCCCTGCCGATCAGCGTATCTATGTCAATGACTGAAATTCCATCCCTATTTTTCGCCCAGATGTCCTGGAGGCGAGGTCGGGAGTAATTTGGTTGCATTTCATGGAAAAATGCAGCGTCAACTGCTACTCGACAATTGATACTCATTTTGAAAGGCTTCCCCTTGTTCATGAAGAACGCGCTGCCATTACAATGTTGAATGTGCGAACCGGCCAAATCACGGAACTTCTGACCTCGTCCCACTAGGTCTTTTCGGACTTGTTGGTGATTCGGATGATAGTGGAGAGGGAATGCCTCGAGAGTCTCGATTGGCTTCGATCCGCGGAACTTTAAAATGCGCAGAAAGATCCCTGTTTCACCAAATTTGGCTCCGTCATAATCAAGGAACCGGCACTCAAGCTTAAAAAATGGAATATCGTCCTCAGTCGTCTCTTCGCCTGCGTCAAATACAACACATCGCGGCTCTCCTGTACCGAAGCATGTGGTGTAAACATAGGACCCAGGTTTGAAAAGTGCCCAAAGAAGATCATATGTGATATGGTTATGCTCTAGCATAGAATCGAGGCGTTGTGATGTAGCTGCATGTGTTTGTTTAAGGTGGTCGATCAGCAATTCGAGATTATCCCTATGTGTGGATCCACGGTCCGAATTGGCTTTCATGCTCTCCGCGCATTTGTTGAAATCAGGAAGGAAATGAAATAGCACATCTTTCCCGATCTAAATTCAAGTCAGCGTTCTCCTTAAACGGTAATGTTTGTTTCGATTACAGTTGGCTCGTCTTCCATCAAGCTAACGGCCTTAATGTCATGCAATACCTCACGCAGGATATCGCGCAGGCCTTCCGATTTGATGTCTATGTACGCCGTCACCTCCTCGGACTTCCGGTCTAATAATACTATTAGCAGACGTTCGGTCTTGCATGAAAAGATATCACATACCAACACGTTGACGGACAACAAATACATAGTAATCGTGGTCATCCAGATCATTTCTGGTATCCGTTGGCTCGTCAATGTTGTATTTGCATGCTTCTTTGTCCCAACTAGACCCAAGTCAGTTATTTTCTGAAACAAGGATAAGGGAGGCTGGCTGTCGATCATACGTTTCCACGACTGTCTTGAATTGGGGTGTCGACGCATGAGATGCCCACTTCTCAAACGATTTGAAATCATCCGGAGTAGTACGGATCGGAGCTTGAAGATCAATTACCTCCGCTGCCTGAATCTTCTCTTCCTGTTCATTGCTGGAAAAAGACTGAGCAGGCTTAGCCACGAGTGGCACAATTGAAGAACGCTCATCGCGGACGAGATTCGTCAACAACTGTTTCAATTGAACTATGTCGGGGCATGTTTGGCAGTGGTCCTGGAAGACAGGAGTATTTGGAGGTTCTCTGTTAGTAAGATCGAGCAGCATCTTTTCAAGCACATCAAAAAGATGCTTCAGCTCATTCACTGTAGCTTGAGGCGTAACTGTCTCCTTCGTTGGACTATCTGGCGGCGTCAAGCCTTGGTGACAGGGAGCGGAAGTTTTCTTCAATGTCATGTTGCGCAGTTAAACGATTGAGAAATATAGATGCAGTATGGGAAGCTGGTATGAGGTGGTCCAAGAGAGTTGGATGGCAATGATGAACGGAAAGGTCGATGAGAGCCCGAGGAATTGCTCCTTCTTATATTACCCTGGTCGACCATCCCTGTATCTTGTCTTGTGCAAATCCGTGTAGCAGACTGCACGAACTTGGATGCAGGGGGGAAGGGGCTGGTTATTGTGTTCGCGGTAAGCTAATCCGATTGCTTTCGTTTGTATGTACTCCAGACAGCAAAGTCGGACGTCATCATGCACGACCAGCTGGGTGTCTATCACACACTAGCGGCTCTGAGTATCGCTGCTAGAAGGTCGCTAACCGTTTCGAGGCCATTTTTACACTTGGCCCCAATTTCTACCCGCAGCACCGACGAATCACAGTGTATTATAGAGCCCCCCAGCTGACGTACTTCTGCAAACCTGCATAAACTGAAGGGTCGCCAGACTTGTGTCCGGTGATCTTTCGGAGCAGCCCCTCAAATACTTAGCCTAGCCGCCGACAAGCTACCCTCCAGTCATTCTATTCTCTCTTTGATTTATTCTTTCCACTTAATCAAACAAACCATGTCTGTTGCTAGCGTCATCTCACAACTACGGGGCCTTCTTGACAAGGCCAACCTATTGATTCCCAAGCTTGCTAAGATTTACCCCAACGAACAACAATGGGACGCTCTTGGAGACATTAGTGAAGAGCTTGCAATGGCAGCAAAAACAATAAAGAAAGATATCCGAGAGTCAAGGGTATCACGAGCAGATAGAGCATGGAAAGACAGTGAAGTGCTCAGATCTCGTGCTTTGGAGTGCAAGGGAGAATTATTGACAAACGGCCGACTGAAGCTATCTCCGGTTTTCAGGCGAAACATCGTCACGATTTTTGAAGGTCCTAAGAACTCCAAATTTGATTCCGAGGAAACAAAAATCCGAAAAGCCACGACACTACAAAGATGCGAGCAGATTAGGCAGCTCAGTCCCAGCGGTGTTATCTCATGGGCAATCTCGTTCGCCCCGAGCGTCTGGGCAGGAGGGTCTATGGCAACGGACATTTTCACTTGCCTTCTTGATGAGATCGAGCCAGACTGGCGACCGTCATGGCCACCTATCGTCAGACAAACGCTACACATACTCCTGGAGGACGAGGATATATTGCAAAAGTCTAGGGAATATCAGGATTTCCTCACATGTATTGCTGCCAGAATACTAGCTCGCTTTCCTTTTGAGTAAAAGCTGATCGATTGGCAGCATATGACAACTCGGAAAATGATGAGCCAGGCCGTCGAAGAAAACGAAGGCGTCTCGATAATATTGAGCAAGAGACACAATCAAACCAGGGATCTCCGTCTAACGGGAGTAGAGGTACGAAGAATTTCCGCCATAAGGGCCACGGCTAATGTTGAAATTGTAGAAATGCAGCATATGTACACGAATTCAGACCCGGCCTGCATTGAAAAACTTCCAGAGTCATTCCGGACCGCAATCAGACAGAGCCGACTCTGGAAATGGGAAAGGAGCAAAGCCATGAAGACAACAGGTTGTCTAAGCACACTGTTCCCAATGGACAACACACAGGATGTCTCTTTGACCATCTGGTGCGGAAATGTGGAAGCGTACAACATCAACGATGAGTTTGAGCTAGAGCTTGCAGCCTCATATCAGCATTTGAAATAGACGGTTCCACCTCTGACGAAGGTTGTGTAGCCTGCGGGCACCAAATACTCGCAGAATTCAGTCGTCGGTGTCGTGTTATTAATATGTGCTTTGTAGTCATCCGTCTCCTGGTTGTAGATGGAAAGATAGTAGCCCTTGAAAAAAATATATCTGTCATGGTCGAGTGGTGGAAACGGATGACTCGGAATAGCTTCTTCCCGTCCAGCGAGCGCGTCGTCTCCTCTCTGAATACCAGGTAGTATGTTAGCTACCGACGTGATTACTTTAAGAGAAGTTAGATCTGACCGCCATTGCTTGAAACGAATGCGTTTCTTTGACCTGAAAAGCCGACTGTCGTGGGACTGCGCACAATATAAGTATTGAGAAAAAAAATTCCTCGTCTGTCAAAGACTAGAAAAGAGTGGCACGCCCGCGCTTTGTATGACGACTTCTTCGGGAGGCCGACGATCGAGAAGGCCGTTGATAAGCTCGGATGTCTGGAATAAGCGGTCCGTTGAAGAAAAAAAAAAACTCGAGCTCTGGGTTAGATATCAGAATAGAAGAGTGCGTGACGTTGATGGGTACCAAAGCGAGGGGTAACGGCGAAGTCAGGATGCGACCGAGCTGACCACCCCACCCGACCCCATCCGAGTGGATGCCAACTAGCCCAGGCAGAAATTTGTCGTCATATGTTAACGTTAACTTGAGCTCTTCCAGGACCCAATATTGTTTTTACACTGGTGGGAAAACGAGGACCGTACAATCCACTATATGCCCTACCATCTTTCAAAAGCAGCGCGATAAATGAGCGACTGAGATAAGCTGTCTCGACCTGGACGGTCACCAAGAGCTCACCTTACCACCCTAATTTTGAATATTCAAAAGATGGCCGTCGTTACGTCGCGTCGTTGCTTCGTTTTGAAGTGTTTCAGACTTTAGCACTGCCACTGTAATTGCCAACCGATGTTTGTTGATGGTCAGTAGTCCGGATAAAGAAGGCGGTATGGTTAACCTTCCCGTCTGACCAATTTCGTTTGTTCCTACACTGACATCACTTAGAAGCCGCATCGTCCTCCTGTTCGAAATCCCAGGCATATTTCACCATGCCTGATCTCCATATCCAAGCTCAAACACTGGACAGGAGTCTTGTCGCAACGATCTCGAGTATACTCACTTCCGCTGGTGTATCGAATATTCTTTGGGGCAACTATTTACTGACTGTCTACGGGGTCCCTACCATCGTTGACGTCTGTATTTCTATTTATTTCCTGAATGAAAGATCACTGACATAATGGTAGGGTGTGGCCTTCGTTGTTCCCGATGAATCTACGGTGACTGCCTTTTCCTCCATTCAAAAAGCCGGCTTTGGTCCTTGTACCCAAGGACTAGGTTGTCCATTTTTAAATGGATATCAACACCAGCCTCCTGCCGAACACTTACACATCGACGACGAGCTTGTGATATTGTTATACCGGAAGTCCGATATGTTGTGGGAACTATCTTTGTCGAAAGGAAGCCCAGATCTCTTAAACGCTTCAGACAAACGACTTCCACCAGCGCTTCCCGGACGTGGTCGAGGGCGCTTTCCACCCGAATTTGACTTTGTTCGAATCCCTCACCCTGTTCGATATTGTGAAGCTATTATTATGTTGCTTTGTCGAGATTATGACACCAGATCTGCAACTTGCTGGATGGCGATTCTGACTTATATCCTGGAATATGTGGATGAAGCGGATATTTTTAATGAGAATAGCCTGGGAGAGGTGTACAGGCCATTCTACCATGCACTTAAAGAAGGAGAATTCTCAAATATGTATCTTCTTCTGGATGAGCTCCGGAGGGATCTGACCTTAGGGCATCGTCTCCCAGCAAGGCAGGATCGATAATGAATAGATCTTTTTTCTTCTGATCAACGTTGTGCTTTTCTTGCATCATTTTCTCTGACTTTATATTTCAACGATTTTGGCAGTATCAAAATCTTCTGCCTGAGAGAAGTAATAACCCCCTTTGGTTGGAAACCACTCTTTTCCCAGTCTCTGCATCTCGGAAATCACAATTGAAATGCGTGTGACCAAAAGCCCAAAGCTTGACAACCTCTCCTTTCCAGCAATATTCGCATGACAAATCGGTCATGAAACCGGAGGAAATCTTGCTGTGTCCATGTTTCGGATCAACAACGTTCTCGCTAATCAATGGACAGTAATGGGTGAGCACAACAACTCTGCGACCAGGTTCCAAGCGCGAAATAGAATCGATTTCACGATTGAGCCACTCAAGGTCAGCTCGGTGCGCTTCTTGGTGTGCTTCAACTGACCAATCACGAATATAATAAAAATCGTTCAGGCCAAAACTGACGCTTTCCTTCTGTGTTTGGGCTACTTGCGAGAACAAAGTGCATCCGAGAATGGTAAGAGTCGGCGAAAGGTCATAGCGTGTTTGGTCGAGGAAGACAAGTTGGCCGAGCGTCTCGCCTCGCTTGAAACTCTCGTCGAGTTCGGCTTCAAATCGTTTGGTACGTGACTTTGTTTCAGCCCAACTGCTGTGATATGGTTCATGATTGCCCAAAACCAGGAAGACAATGCGGAAGATTTTTAGTTGGTTGCGAAGAAAGTGAAAGAAGCCTGCGTCCTTGACGTAACCAATATCGCCGATTAATGCTAAATATGGCGCCTTTGGGTTGACGAGGAAGATTTCATATGCATCCGGGGATTCCAGATGAAGATCAGATATGATTTGGAATTGTGTTTCAGCCATGGCGGGCTATTTGCAACACGGATTGTTTTGAAGGTTGGAAAGTTGTTTTGTTGCGGGGTGTCCAGCGCTAAACGTATCAGTTGGCGCCCAGGTCATGTGACGTGTATAGGACGGGGACGATAAAGCAAAGACCATATCCGCGTCCAGAGAGATAGTCATGAGCATTTCTTTCTAAATACGAATCACTCCCAGATATATCTATTTGCTAATCTGGAACTAACCCCACCTACCATGTCTAATGGGCCGTCGTTCGCTGAGTTAGAGGCAGCTGCTGGCGCTGTCATTGGAATTCTTAAAACCATCCCTGAGTTCTCGAATTCCAGGATCGCCATTATAGGTGGTCTAGGTCTCTGGAGATATATCCGTTATTACCGCACCACTGAGGTTCGTTTTCAAGAGTAATTCATTAACATGTGTATTCTCTGACAACATATTTGACCAATCAGGATGTCGACTTCCTCATAACTGTCCAGGGGGCTCCCAAGGTGGTTAAAGACAAGCTACTTGCTATGCCATCATCCCCATTCCAACAAAAAGCTCAGCTATTCTTCTACAATGGAGCAAATGGCAGATCAATTCAGATCGATATCACTCCTGATTGGCAGGTGAGCTCGTCATGCTAGTATTCTTTTCGATATTTGATATTAACAGTGGCCCACAGTCACCCTACGTACCTTCTGCAGCGGTACCGATATTGGCTGTTCGACCGAATGCCCTTCCGTATATATCGGAACTTGATCTGCTCGTTTTTAAGATCAACAGCTGCGGGTTGCGACCCACACATGGAAAAAAGTTGCGTGACGCAACTGATGCCGTAGAGCTGACAGAAGATCTCAGTTCCAAGGGGTCTATTGTGCTTTCAGCTTTTCAGAAGGTGCTGTACTTCAATGTCTGGATGACGTGGCTCAGATATCTGGGAAAGGCAAGGCGTGGTGGATGGCGAAGCTGGCGCTGAATTAGCACTACCTCTTCGCTTGTCTAGAATGGAGATGAATGTGGACACTAGCTTCTTGAATAGCCATCCGTAAGCGAGGACTTGTCGCCTGACTTTTCTCTCATTTGAGAAGCTAATGAATGCGTATATGCTCACCGCTGTCTGCTCTGACGTGTCTTGAACTTGTTGGTCCAGGGTTCTTCACAGTACCATTAAGGCCAATATCAGTGAAAAGTAAGGCACCACAGTTATTGCGGTCTTATGATCTCTCCTTTAGGATGAGCGTTACTGGAAGGAAACAACACAGCAGAAGTTTGCTGCTCTTTCGATTTATGCAGGTTTGCAGAAGTACGGCAAGCTAAGAAGGGAACAAACTACTCTGATTTGTTCGCACTGCGGGGCAGCGGTCCAATATTTTGCTCGAGTGAAAGGACCGCGCAGCCTCACGCAGCCTCGGTCCACCAATCGCACATGGTACTGCGAATGCCCCTCAAATGTATCCTTCGGTTACGTCAGAAAAGATGTGACGCCACGAGGAGCCGCAATTGGATCTGCTCTTCGACCGACGTAGCCGCTGGCCTAGATTGTGGGCCAAGCGCTAAGAATGAATTGGCCGTGCACCACTCATTCTCCGTCACTGAGAGTGGTCTGCCTCATGGGAGTAGTTGGCGACAGGGTTGCCAACATGCACACTGTCGGGCTCAGTCATTGATGAGCGCAAGGATTGGATAAAGAGGACTTCATAAGCGCTCAAGCTCCCAGAGGGAAAAAGAAGTGTTTTACTCGTCGCCGAGGCCCGTGTTGCGTCCAGACTGGCATAAAGCTGCAAGCTGCTGGCTACGTCAGTAGGGTACCAGCCGTCCATTTCCTAGCTCGGACGCGCTCGGTCGAATGAGATGGCCCTTTATGCTGAGGATGCGGCTCCGATTTTTTTTGGTGAGAGAACCGTGACACAGCCTCGCGCTAATGCACGGGATTTCACATTGGTTCTGTGCTATGGTCCAATGGTAAATGACAGCTTTGATCCATGCCATGCTGGAGACAAGCTTCTCTGCACACTTTCACTGGTGTAGCTCTTTGCTGGTGAAAGGAATCATCCACTATCCGAGACCCTGATCCAATAGCCTTCCGAATTTCAGCATGACGGGTAAGCTGCAGGTGGCGTAGCCGCCAGCATAAACAAGTACACAATAGGTCAAGCGTTAAGAAAGCGAGGGCTTTGCATCACTCGTGCTTCCTTGGAAGGTTGATGAGGGATTGAGCGCCTAATGAATACTTAAAGACCACCTATCGCTTCCTTATCCTCAGAGTATTCCATCCTCTCTCCATCAACTGCTGCATCCCCAACGAATAACTCCTTCCAAAGCTCATCTCTATCATGGCAGTCGCTGTCTCAGCTCCCATTTTTATCCCTGGCCTTCATGTTCCTCCTACCATTAAGGACCTGCAACAGTCATCGCGGGCGTACGTTTACCTTGATGCCTTGCGATTAGACTGGCGGTGCGCTAACCACATTGAAACAGTTACAATCTTCTACCAAACGACGAAGATCAGCCACAGGTGCAGCGGATTCACCTTCAGGAGCTTGCCAGTCTCTTTACGCGTTTCAATGTCCAGAAAATATTTGGAGTCCACCTCATCCACGGACACTTCCAAATCGAGGAAGACAAAATCATGCTTGGGACGTCCCTCAAATCCGCTCGGGGATGCTGGACCCAGCCCACTAGTATCGCCGATATCAAACCGGCAGAGATCCACGGTCACATCTTCAAGCTGACAGCCAGCGGCGAGATGCAAGCGTACGAGTATCGCCAAGGCCCAACAACCAGCCTGAATGACGTCGATCCTTTGTTCTTCCAGGAACTAGTTAGATACCTTCAAGACCATCACTTGGTCGATATCCTCGGGCTTCAAGTCCTTACTAATGATGTGCCGGCGATGATGAGTGAGTTTGTGCTCGCGGATAACGGCACCGTCATGCTGGACGAGAGAGATGTGAAGAATTGTGGGACGCCGTTCCGCATCACCGGGTTCTTTCTTGAAGAGCCAGGCATGACTGAGTTCAAGGACGGAGAATCTCATGCGCCAACTGTCAGAGGCACCCACCAAGTCTTTACTAACGACAAAATCGAAACGGAGGACCAGCTTATGGCCATCCTCCGAAGTGAGGACATTGTCTTTTGAGTGTAGCTTTTACCTAGGGATGGTATCGCGATAGTTCAATATCGGGTGTGTCACTACCGGTGTTTTTGCTAAAGTAGTTTCCTTTCGCCCATTAAATTGACCAACTATCAATGTATACGTTCAGAGTTTCCTGTCAATACATATCTGCATCCGTTCATGATATCTTACCTCCCTGCCTGCTTTGTAACTCATCATAAGCCGGCTCACGAAAGAGGAGTCCACTCACCAGCAGTACAGAAAGCATCGAGATATGCGAGAGAACCAGCCGGCTGGTCCTTCCGCACACTTTGCACCACACCTTTCATGTCAAAATCAAATCCATAATGGTAGAAAATTCCAGCCATCCTCGCAGCGCGGATCAAATGCAAATCAGCATCAGAGAAATTATAAGCCTCCTCCCGAAAGGTTTGCCAGAAGAGGCTCTCGAGTTCGCGGTAGCGATCGTAGTAGTGCCACCCTTCTGAATCCATCCGGCCGAAAACATTCTCAAGCCCGTATAGCGCGAAGCCGAACGGCAGAATCCTTGACTCAGCCCAGTCGACAATCCCTGTGATATGTCCAGTTTCGGGGTTGATGAGGAGATTCATCACATTAAGGTCCCCGTGGCTAAGAACAAAAGGGAGGGCTTTTGAGAAGAGAGACGGGAGCTCCTTGCGGACCCTTTCTAGATTTGGTGCAAAGCGAGACGGCAGGTCTCGAGCAAGAAGGTCGAAGTTTGATTGAAACTCCGCAAGCAAGATAGCGGTTTTATCTGAGCATGGTCGTTGATCATTGTTCCATGACTGTGCAAAGAACCTGTTCCAAAATGTCAATTCTTGCAGATGGAGTGAAAAAAGTTACTAGGCGTACCTTGCAAAGTCCATGATAGTGTTACGCTGTCGAGACATGTCGTCTGGTGGGATGCATGCCATAATGTGAGCAGTCCCAGGAAGATTCTCCATCTCGTAGATATAGAGCGGCCGTGAATCGCCTATGGTCCCGAGATATTTGCAGCTAGCCACAAATTCGGGATGGATTGCTTTGGCAAGGCTAATGTTGCCCATATCAATGGTAGAGTTCTCATCTCGAAACTGGAAGAGCTTGGACTTGTTGGACCCCGCTGTCACGGTATAGCTGCACACTCCTTGCATCTGTAAAGCAGTGGACAGGCCGCCAGCGCGAGAAATGGCGAATTCATCGCATTGCTGTCTTGTTACAGTAGTGTTCGAGTTGAAGAAATTATTAATTGCGCCGTCAGGACTGTAAAAAACATAAGTCGTCATTGTGGTGAAGGGTAGTAGGAGGGGCCAGGGAACTGGAAGATAATGTAAAGAGGAGTGAGAACCCAGTGGACTGTCACGGACAGCCTCGTTTCACTCACCGCCATTTAATACTCCTAGGCCACAAAGTTCACCACACACTCCGCAGCTCAGCCCTCCTGGTTTGAACAACAACCCCAGTGAGCAAGTCACTGGGTAAGGCGTCAAACAAAGTTACGCAAGATCTACCATAGAGGCTGGCTGAGGATAGTAAGGGCTTTTTCGGTTTTGTCGACAGACTGGGAGTCAGCAGCGCCTAGGAGGCTGCTAAGGTGGCACTCGAAGCTGACGGCCATTGCGTGAACAGAGCAAGTGCTTTATTTAGGTATGTTAGCAAAAGGAGTTGTTAAGTCCCAGAGCAAGGGAGCGATATGGCTTGGGAAGATTGAGTGCAGTACACACGGTGTGTACAGAAAGAGCGAAGCAATCTCCCAGATATTCAAACCGATGGAAAGTCAGTTTACTGTTACAGAGCGAGAACCATGGCTGTGTATGGAAGTGCCAATCGCAGGAACAACGCGAAATAGATTATAAAATCATATCACCATCCGGAGTCAGGATTACGAGTTTGTCCATAATTGCCGTCGCGTTGGCAGTGGTGGACAACGTTAGAAATTAAAGGGGACAAGGACCCCAGACGCAAATGAGGTTCGTAGTGGTAGAAGCCGACTAGTTTCTCACCAAAGAAGGGGACTGTTGCTGGAGTGCTGCGTATACTCCAAGGTCGTGAAATTTCAGGGCAGTAAGATTTTGCAGGCATCACCCTTGTCCTTTCCCTCTCTCATATCTTCTTTTACGAGGTGGCAAATATTGCCAGTGATATCCTTCGCTTCTGGAGTCCACAAGAACTTGCCGCTAGATGAAGCAAAAGGGCGGGCTCCTGGCTCGATCCTAATTTGCTGGGTGTGGGCACATGAGCATGATGAAGTTTGCTAAGTCGCAAACCATCCCTAATCCCATGATGAGGCATTGGCCGAAGTGAGGTAAGGCAACGATATTTTCTCCGCTGGCTCGAGTGAACGATGATGACAACCAGGCGACACTGCGCTCTAGAACAGGACGCTATCGGCAGATCTGTGACACCGGGGACTGTGCAATGCAACCTCGGATGGAGCCAGGCGAAGCGAGGCGTGCGGAGTTTGAGAGTGCTGGTAATTATGCGTCAACATACTGTCAGATCATGTCAACTTGACTGAGGGCGGATCTGCACAGGGAAAGCTGGAACCTGTGTTGCGATATCCTCCGTTGTCTGCCTCTACTCAGCAGTCGGACAAGTATTACGCTTCGGGATTATGGGATCCATGTAGTTCTCGGGTCCGGACTAAGGTCAAGATCGAGAGCCAAGCACAAGCCTGAGACGATCATCGATGAGGTAATTTTGCTATTGGATAGTTGTGACAGGGCGCAGCACCGGGACGGGAACAGGCGATGTGGGAATCATCAGATCGGGCCCGCAAATGAAACTCATCGAGGAAAGAGGACAAAGGACAATCCAAGCATTCGCGGGGCGAGTGAATCGCATAGATTAGTTGAGTGAGTACTCAATGGAAGAATAATTGATACCGCATCGCTCGGGAGTATGGTCTTCCAAAGGGTCAGCCGAGCTCCTCATAGCGCCACCTGCGTAGAGGGCCAAATAATCTCGATTCCAAGAGGTGTGATGGTGGAGGCAGCAAGGGCTCAGCCGCAGTTTGCGACCGAAAAGAAAAAGGTGTGGGTGGGGCAGACGGAGCAACCGGTCGAGTCCGGTCGGGTGGGCGAAATTGAAGGGGCGCAGCGACGAGTGCAAAGTAGACGGGATAGAGGGGGAAGGATGGAGAAGTGAGAGAAATGAGTAGGTCGAGCAGGGTAGGTCAGGTCTTTTATGTTGGGCGGACCAAGGCAGCGATACATGACCGCGTATTGGGGCGCTAACCCTGAAACGGCAAAACTAACCGCATGTAGTAATTCACAGGTCCCAATATTACGTGGTCTATTTGCGTGACACAAGGATAAGTACGCTTCCACTAGTAGTTATCACGATTCCAGGCTTTGTGAGTATCCATGACTTGGCCTTTTTAAACATGAAGCTAGGGAAAACCCATGCCCCTACGATTAGTGTTGAATTCAAAAATGTGATGCGTGGCGGATCTGACTGAGTAATCGGACAGGATGGAAGATCAGCACGGTACGATTCGTCCAGAGGCAGTATGGGTCCCAAAATAACCCAAGGTGGAAGGGAAAGATTCAAGTGAAGAATAATGGCATAAGAGCTGGACAGAAAACGAAGGCGCCAAACCCAACAAATAAAAAAACAAGGTGAGTGAACACGAACACCCCACTCAAAGAAATATATTGGGCCTTCATGACCTTGCAGTGTCAAGCACGTTACATACCATCCAAGCCAAAATGCGATTGATATTCCGGTCTGAAGTACCCTCTCTCGATTACATCAAACGTCAACTTTGTTCACACCCAAACAGCGCAAGTAGCGCTAGCGACGATAGTTTCGAGACAGAATTGAAGAGCTAGGACGTAGCTAATAGATCGATACTATGTCGCCTAGTGTCTGTATTTTCGGTGTAGGGACGCAATAGCTCTGTTTAAAATTTTAGTTACTTTCATGTACCTTTAAGTGGGGAGTGTACCAATTCTGCTGGACAGGGAGGCCAATTATCTGTTGGTGTCGAATTAAATAAATAGATTTGACCGTCTTTTTTGGTCCGTAGGATGACGAAAACGTCCGATTGGAAGTCAATGCTGTATTTCGCCGCCATTTTGAATATCGTTTTCCTGCGTCTTCGCTTCTGTTGCGCCTCTGCGCGAGGTAGTCGATTTTTTTGCATTGAAGTCGGTCCTTAATGGAATTATAGAGAGCTAGCACTGTCGGGTGGTATCCCAGCATTGATTCATTATTTCGGCGTTTTATAACATACGGAGGACATTTACAAAATGCCGCCCATGTTAAACAAAAATTGCTTATTTCCACCGGTTGAACTGGTCTAATCTTGTCGAGTCTTGTACACTATGTTTGGCCAAGTAGCAAGTCCTCATTTCCAACAAAAGTTTTCTTCGAAGAACCTATTTGAGTCTGACTGGAGTAAATCTTGCATAGAGGAGTAAAGGGATGGCCAATTAACTTTTGAGCTGGGAATTATGTAACTACCTCAACGCTGGAGTGAAATGGCGATACAAGGCCAAGGCATTTTCCGTGCAACAATCATGTTGAACTGCCTCTCTCAAAATTAGTGGTGAACGAAAGACTTTCTCAAGTAATTCATTTCTGTATATGCATTGCAGGGCGCAGAAATGATTGTCTACGGTTGGCACTATGAAGTTGAACTGCCAGCTGCTCTCCGTCCATTGTCCGTAGAGTTCAACGTGACCTACTTATTCAAAGCGTTCGGGTAATTTAAGCAGGCATCAAAAGATATCTTTGGACCTATTCGTCATTGGACATCTGTTTACATCTACTAAAGTTGACCAATCGGTCACGGTTCAACACACGGGTGGTCAACCGCTTGAACATGAACATCAAAAGACAACAAAAAAATGAACAGAAACAAAACCAAGGTCAACATCCGAAGCGACCCCCTAAAATTAGTCCCTCCGCAGGTCAAGAATGACAAGCCAGTGTTGAACACGGGCGGAGAAAGACGAAATCTTACCGAGGCCAACATTCCATCCGTTACGCTTGAGGAAAACCTGGATCCATACATCAATTTTACCAGGTCAATTTTTTGTCCCGATAGTGCCCAAGGTCCGACTTGAAGGAGATCTGGCTGATCCTGGTGTGCTCCCGGAGTGCTCCTGGAGTCCGGTAATTGCTCTGACCTTCTCCGAGAGTACTCATAGCAGGCTCAGACTAACTTCTGGAGCATAGGTAAGTCTTTCCTCTGATGGTTATAACCATTCGCGTCTAACGCAACAGAGAACCTTCCAGATCCGCAAGCCGAATTCTACATGCCAATGTACCACAATTATTTGTCTTTGGTCCATCTATAACCTCCTTTTTTCAATTTACACAATGGTACTTTTACTGTAATCAAATCCCAATTGCATTGAAAAAGCTAGAGGCCATTGTGCGCAACACTGAACAGATAGATCGGTGGTTGTTTGACAAAAGAATCTTTCAGGTTCCAAATACTTCTAATTGCAGGGATCCCAATAGAGGATTGTCGTAATCAGTAAATATGGCCTCATTTGATAAAATACGCAGATCTACCCTTAAGAATCTCAAAAGACGAGAATCTTCCGAGCGACTACAGCCGTTTCCCAAAAAAGATTCGACAATCTGTGCAAACGAAATCTTAATAGGAAGGGCTATCGGGCCGTCGAATATTGCCCTCCGGCAGACAGTCGTTGTAGAGGTGAAAATTAAGTTTGACTTCACGAGCAAGCTGTATTCCTTGATCCTTTGCCGCAAAAGATTAGGTTCTCTGCTGTAGCTTGAAATAATTTCAAGCTTCGGTGGGAGACTTGCGCAGGCCAGGTTTTTGGAAAAGGGAAAGCTTGGCTCACTCTGAAAGTCAAGTAGTCCCAGACGAATCAAGGTGGCAGGGAGTATAACATCACTGGCTAGGTCATATTCATGCACCTCGAGGTATTGTAAGGAGGTGAAAGACTCAAACGAGGCAATTCCAAGGCCTTCACTCTCAGCATCGCAATTACCTCCAATGTTCAAAGTGAGATTCGTCAGATTATGCCTGGAGGAGTTGAGAGCGGCGACGATTCTCACCGCTTTTGAACAGCGACTTGAGGGTTTCGAGTCCCATAGCTCAACGTCGTTGAGTCTAAAGATTTTGAGGCTTCGGAGACGCCGCAAAAGCTTGATAGTGCTCTGATATTTTAATTGACATGAGCCAATTTCTATATGCTGGAGTTGTAGTTCGCCTTGTCGCCGTTGGGTGCCCAGCTGGTCGCAGTGGATGGGATGTCGGGCAAGGTTTAGCTCATTGAGACTAAATACCGTGTTATATGTCTTGCGGACATCTAGGTCCTGTCCAAGGTAACCAAAGGCACGATCTTGTAACAGCTTAGCCGTACTCGCATGAATTGGAATCGACAAAGAGCGAAGTTTTGTGGTCCGGGAAAGAATTGGACGGAGAAGCTGAGCAAGCGTTTCCACGTGCTCGAACTCACTAAGGCGGATAGAAATATGGGTAATTTCCTGTCCAAGAAATGGGCGGTTCTTTAAAGCCTCTGCAAGACCGCTCAAGCGTTTCCACAGGCCTTTCTGATCGTACAGACCCGACTCAAAACTTCTGAATATAAGCGGCTGCACAAACATTTGGAATCCAGTCGACACGTAGCAGAGGTTTTTAAGAGATCGGACATCCAGATAATGGCAAACCAGGTATAATAGCTCGGGTGATAACGATTCAATCGGAGCTTCGGCAGATATCTATCCAATGTATCAGAGAAGTCGAATGGAAGTGGTACTGTGGTTATATTTTACTCACAATTTGTTGCGGTTCCTTTTCTAGAGCTCTCTTTTTAAGCGCGTACGAATCATTGCGCATTCTACCAGCTTGGCGTTTTTGGCCTCTGATCTGCATTTTGCCTGGTGGCTAACAATTCGTAGGTTCAGGTGTATATATATCTGTGCGGTGGATAGACTCTGCTTAGAAGAGGTCGTAGAGTCTCAATAGCCACGTTTGATTTAGGCGAGGCAGTATGCAAGGCAGACGTCCCAAGGGAGTGCTCACAATACGAATGTGGGCAGAGTCCAGGGATTAAATAGCCACAGGACAAAAGGAAAGACACCAACCCCACTCGAGAAGGCGGCCGTAAGAGCTAGGTTACGAACCCCTGCAACATGCAGCCACTCTGAGGGGCCAGCGGTGGACTGTCCGCCGAGAACTAATCGACTGGAATGCACGAACATGCCCAGAGACTTGTGGCGAAACCAACCCTGAATCCGTACCAACCCCACACAAATTACTCCGTTTGGTAACTTTGCGTAGGACATGGAACTCAGGTACGACTATATATATCGTCCCATATATTATTCCCTAGAAGCTGCTAGGAAGCTGAAATTACATAAATTTAAAGCCTTTCGGAGGTATCGTAACACCGGTCAACTTAGGTAGTTACAAGCGTTCTCTCTCGCTTAAGCGTTGTGCAGTAATACACCTCGATGGATCCTTTACTTCTCCCCGGGAATTGTTCGGAAAACTCCCTAGCTACTTTCTTCCACGGAAGACCTAGCTCTTCCTTTAGTCGGACCAAGAGGTTCTTTTCCTCCGCAGTCCAAGTCTTTCCCTTTCTTGTGAGACTATGCGAATCGGGATGGGTCTCGGTATATGGGAATGCCGCGCCGTTCTGTTCGTGTAGCGGGGCTGAGGATACATCGAGTTCTGGACTCCGGGCCGTTGGAGGAGTAGTAACACCCTGGGTTTGATGATCAAGCCTGCATCGAGACGTAGCTGCCTCAAAGAGCCAGGAGAGAAACTGCAACTTCTCATCTGGCGGCGAGGCTGAAAACTGAGACTGAAGGGTGGTAGAAGAAGCTTTCTTCCGTTGGGGCGAGGCCTTCTTACGCGGACGCTTAGAGCATCCCGCCGGCTTTTTAGAGCTTAACTGGTCCCGGATTTTGGACACTGTAAGAGCATTCGTAGGCATGATGTTACTTTCTGGCCCATCATGGCCAAGGCTGGCTATTTCGTCAAGCGGACGGCAGCCAGTGAAGGTGACATCGTCATTCGTAGGTGTTCGAGTACAATCCGCAATAAAACCCAGGTGCAGCATTGACGGGTCGATCGAGGTGGCATGCTCTTCGCATTGAGCCTGCAGATTTTCATCTGTGATACCCGTTGAGGGATAGCGGGCTCCAGCTACAGCAGACGGACTTTCGCTCAGGACTTCAACGACAGCCGTTGGTGTAGAATCTGGGAGGCTGCTATTCACGCAGACGTCAACTGGCGGACGGGAAGGAAGGGGATGCCGAAGTCGTTCCTGCTCATATTTCCCTAGGGCAATGCCACGACCAGAAAAAGAAGAAATGGGGGTTTCCGCGATTGAGATGGGGCTCGGATACCGGCACAGGTCAACAGGATCAAAAACAGTACAATCAGGTGTCGACTGTATCCATGGTCGAAAGGTATCAAGGGCAAATTTGGCACTGGTCATCATAAAAGGGGAGGACAGGATGGGAAGGGGCGGGGGTGGTAGGACGGTAACAGCTTGGGGTACAGGGGAATTGAAAGCCAGGGGGAAGGTTAGAGGAGGGGTGGTTTTGGGTAGATAGTGAAGTGCTGAGAAGTGGCACGTCGTGCCCCTCGGATTGAGAATTTGTTCCCTCTTTTATAAGTGCATTGCATAAAAGCACGATCGGTTGTTTCCCAGTGACTTAGTGCTGTAAGTAAACACGGACTGTCAAAGTGCGTATCGGCCCACACCTGGACATGGTCAAGAAATCGAACCCTCCGCGGCCCTTGCCCATCCATATCAATGCTGCCAGCATCCTCGTCTGGCCAAGGAGGAGACGCGTCAGCATGGACCGCTCGCACGCAACTCATAATCCAATAGATCCTCTCACCGTCCCCCCCTATAGAGAGCTACGGCCTTGCATTGAAGACTAAAGAAACGCCCACCTGCACTAGAACATGCATCAAGGCACAATGCGGTATTTTCGCCATTGGCGCAGAAACCGCGGGATTCCCAGAAGGCTGCCGACGGAGCGAAAACGAGACCGAATCGTACGGATTAGACAATGAGACTGGAGCCACGTCTAACGGCTCCACCGAAGAGGTGTGTTTCAGGGAAGAATCCGCAGCATGGGACACGAAGCGATGTAACCCAAGGCGGAGGAGATACCAAACTCAATATCTGAGGCCCTTGTCGGTGGGCTAAGGCAGCTTGTAGCGAGTCCGCACGCAGCAGCAGCAGCAGCAGCAGCAGGAGGGAGCGTGTCCTTATGTTCTTCGCATAGGAGAACGAGATGAGGTCAGGCCTGCGTATCTCCGAGATTGGACATCACGAGGTGCAGAGATTCAGAAAAGGGAGTGTCGGGAACTAGTCAAAAGCGAATATGGCACTCGCGGCGAGCCCGCTCGCAGCGCACGCGCAGAAAGGCGCTGGGTTCGGATGGCGCGGCATCCTGCGCAGGCCGCTGAAAAGGGGCCCATGCGCTCAGCTGAGGGCCCCAGCGGGCCAAGGTGAGGTGGGGGCGGAGAAAGGAAGGGTCGTGGGAAAAAGCAGGAAGAAGTGCGTTGCTCTGACGAAGGGGCGCGACGGGGGGTTTTATAGATGGACGGTCGTGGAAACGGAGCGGTAAAACGGCGAGAATGACGCTAGCCCCGGACGGGCGGGCGGTGGGCGGCGCTATGCCCGGACGGGCAGTGGGGCTGCGATGTACGGCAGGCGGTCGGTCCAATGGGGGTGGGACGTAGCGCCCCGCTAACCGACACAACTAATACCTAAAATACTTTAAAAAACATGCTCATCATCTAAATCCCTAGCTAGTGTAGCCGGGCTGGCGCTTAGCAGTCACGTGATATATTCTGGCCTTACAGACAGGGTGTCGACATGATTGGAGGACGGAGCTATTGTATCCTAGATTCTATGATCCTACATGCTCGATATACAGAAGAGAATATACAACGTTCGATTGCTTCGTTATTCTGCTCGCTTGATACATTCGGCCCCGTGCTGGCGAATCACACGCCGGTTCTCCTGCCGGTCTGTCACTTCTGACCTGACATGCCATTGTGCGCCCTATTCTCCCGCTCCACTAGATACATACTTCTTGACCCCGTTTTAATCAATGACGTCAAAACTCGTTCCGCAACCACAGTTGCTCGTAGCCCTTGGGTTATCCACAATCTTAAACTGGCTTCCAATCAACTCAGTCGTATAGTCTACAGTGCTACCGTGCAAAAGTTCTAGCGAAGGCTCGTCTATAACGACCTTGGCTTCGCCAGCCACCGTCGCGACGTCTTCCTCGCCCTCGAAGACGGTGTCTGCTTCAACGTCGATCTTGGATGCAGGCTCCAGGGACATCAGGTACTGGAAGCCGTGGCAGCCGCCGCTAGTGACTGTGATGCGGAGGTGATGGTACGAGTTCTCCGACACTGGGGCGGGGTCGAAGGACGTGGTGTCCGTGATCTCCTGAAGGCGCTGGTAAGAGCATTAGTTAGACCTGCTGAGGGGAGGGCGGTGGAGGGTGATGTATGAGCAGGTGACAGCGAGACAGCGAGACAGAGAGACAGAGACCAGGAATAAAGGACAGCAGAGAGGCAGTGGACAGCAGGCAAGGAACATGGCAAGTTTAGCCGAGTGGCCACGTCAGCCTTGCAGGGGTCGTTCAGGGGGTTCAGGTGCGATTTAGAGAGCTTCAGGCGGCTCAGGTGAAGGGCCTGAAGGCCTGAAGGGAAAGGGCGCTAGACCCAAGGGGGGCAAAAAAAGGATGAACCCCGACATGCAACAGTCAGGATTCGCTGGTGGTCACCCACCCAACTACTAACTGACCGGCCTGTGGCTTATGTGCAGTCAATAGTCGGGTGGGTGTTGCCCGGGTGAGTTTGGGGTGAGATAGGGTGAGTGCGCAATAGACAGGGTGAGAAGCCGGGTGAGAGCGGGTGATTCTTCTCACCCTCCGTCGCGCAACCACCGCACTGATCCTATTGGTGCACGCGTATGACCACTGAGCAGTATTTCTGACTGTTATGAGCCCGCTTCGCCAGTAAGAAGGCTAATTCCAAAGGTCTTAATCTGATTAAAGATTAGATGGAAAAGTTTGGTTCAGACATGATTGTTGGTGGGCCCGGTAAGCCCGGTAGAAAGCCGGGGAGTGTAGTATGCACGCAAATTGATGATATCGTGTGGTGAGTAGTGTCGCTTGGGTGAAGCTCCGTAAGAAGATAATTTTCAAAAGGAGCCAGTAGTGAATTACTCTTGAGACGAGCACAGTCAGGTATGGACTCTATGGGCTGAGCAGGGCGGGTATGCGGCGCTTAGTATGATAGTCCGATTGGGTAAGGGGGAGGGCCGCCTCCAGGCAACAATCTTTGTTTGCTTAGTGACAACAAAATGCTTGGCAGTTCTTGTATCGTGGCTGAAGTATCTCAATGAACACAGTCCCGTATTCAGGTGTGCATGCTGGCCGAGTCTCGCCTTGGTGAATTCTTATTTGTCGGGTGTTCCTTCCTATAAGCCCGCCATGTGGCTGAAACTCAAGGAGGCAGAGCCTCTCGACCACAGAGTCAGCCTTAAATAGGTGATCCCATTCCAGAGACTAGAGGGGCCATCGACTTTCTCTCTTAGCGACTCGAAGTGATTCCTGCGCCCACCATGACATTACAGCAGCAACTGTCTAAATGCCTGGGTTCAGTGTTTGCGGATGAAAATCGTGGTGACCTCGACTCCGCTTGGTCCATTCTTGAGGAACTTAAACTCGCTATTGACGAGAATAACCTGGAGGCAAAAGCGGATCTTCTCGACGATCACATCGGGTTCTACTTGCTCACTGGCAAGCTTGATGAAGCCTACCGATGCTTGGATGAGTTTCATGCGTTGCTCGGCCAACTGGGTCCACGTTGGGAACTGTTATACGCTGTTGTTAAAGGTCTGATCGATCATCACAGAAGGCATCCGCCGATTCTGGGGTTCGCAGTGGAACTCGATGGGATAAAGTACGGTCCTCCGTCAGCCCGGGTACCTGATACTTTTGAGATTTTGTTGGAACTGGATCGCTGCTTCAAAAAGTTCTCAAGTTCCGGGCTATCGTTACTTTCAGAACGCCACGCCTGCTTAGTACTCCATCGGGTTATAACCTGCCAGACTGCTCGCATAAGTGCTAGGAAACACCACCCACTCTACCCCGCCGAGCGTCCACAGGAGGATGACTCGCTTCTGCAATTGCTAATGGGAGAGCAACAAGATGCCGCCAACCGAGCGCCCGAGTCAAGGGACTTACATTTTGGCCGACTACTTTTGACTATTCATTACGATAAGGCATCACCTGCCTGCGAGGACATGTCGCGCGAGCATTTTGCTCGATACGAAGCTAAAGGGGATAAAGTTGGCATGGCGAATTGCAAGCTCCTGCAAGCCGATGCCATGATTTCTTCGCCTTTTACATCGCCGGTCATTCTCAATTTGGTCCCCCCGGTACTACCGGGTGCAGCTGGGACAAGTCCGCTATACTGGAACGCATGCGAAGCGCAGTGCCCTTTGAAGAATTGCCAAGGAGCTGCGCAGCTTTACGAAGAGGCCCTAGAACTCTACCAGCAGGCCTCCGCTCCTCGAGGCCAAGCTGCAATTTTCCTACGTCAAGGCTGTGTTCTACATGCACAAGCCTGTGATGTGGGCCCTGATCATGAAGACTGGGAAGACTTGGTGGAAGCTGCCAGTCACAAGTTCAGTGCCTCGCTAGCCTTGTTTGGAGTGGATGAGGCGAGCGCTCAATTGGTAAAATCCAATCAAATACTGCTGGCCTGTAGCCGGGGCTATGGTCTCGCGGAAGCAAAGGCACAATCCGCCGAAATAGGGAATTGGGGCACGAAGCACAAGAACGAGATTCTTGGACGGACCCTCGGAATTTTCATCATGCGATTTGCCCGCCGCGAGTGGACATCGTACGGCAGGTTCCGATCCGCACTTTGGGCGTATGAGTGCGCTGAATACTGTTTGGCGGCCCTTGGAGAGGCTGTTCATTCTTTGGCATCCATTCTCGACCGCGCCCTTATGCACAAAGATGTTCATAATGGCCCCAATGCATTGCTCCTCGCCCAACGTTGCGTCAACATAATTGATACGGCTATTCAGTGGTACGATGAACAGCTAGCTTTGCCCATTTCACATCCCATTGATGCCGAGAATCGCAAGTCAGTTGAAGTCGGTGTGCACAGCCTCATCTCTGATTTCAACCATCATCTTCGCAGTATATATGGACGTTGTCTACAGCAAGAGCTATTGGCAGTTTGGGATCGAAAATATAAGACACTTGTCCAGCATGCCGCATACCAAAACGCCGACATGGTTATGAGTCGAATGCATGTACCTGAGGAGTCGATGTACACGAGAGCAGACATCAAGAGAATGGAACAAGAGGAGTGGCGCAGATTTATCGATGCCGACATTGCATCTCACAAGTCATTGATCAATGGTGACGTGAGAGGGAGTGAACGCGCCTACGAAGAATATCTCGACTCAACAGAAGGTCGAGACATCACATACTGTCAGCCGGCCCATCGCATTATCGCTTGCAGACGCTTGGCGGACGTGACTCGGGCCAGGGCAATCTTGGATTCTTGTACTGACCAAGAAATCTTTTACCAAATGCAGTCTCTGCTCCCGATACCCAGAAGGCACCTGTCCAACACCTTTGCGCATAACGCTTTGTACCAATGCGTGGTTGCGCAAGACTGGGAAAGAGCCGACCGCTTCTTAGGGAACATAGAAAAGGATTGGCCATCATTTTGGACTGATTTCGGCAGTCAAGAATCTGTGGACATTCCCCTGTACTCGTTGACAATCGCCCTCATCGACTTGCATAACAACAGGGTCACCGTTGCATTCCGTCGTCTTCTGGATGCACGCCATAATATTGAGCTTGAGCGAAGATCAACAGACGACCCGGATGTCAAGCCTGGTGTCATGAATACCGCGCACGTCATCGACGTCTATATGACCTTGGCAGAGATTTGCCTTCTGTGCTTGAGGCGGGAGCTACCAAGAGCCATCTTGAACTGCTACGATTTTGGGCATCCCTCGGTCACCTGGGAAGAGCATGCATTACTGTTCGTGGAAGAGGCACGAGCGCGATCTACACTCGATGCACTGAGAAAAGTAGGCTCGGAGGATATGCCCGATGAAAGTCTCGCTCAAAGGGAAAAGGCATATAAAAGAAGGGCTATCCTCCATCTACAGTCTCTCCGCAAGCGCAAGCCCGCACAGCAGAGGGAACTGGAGAGGTTGCAGCTCGAGATCGGGCCTGATGAGAGCAGCAATGAGTCAAGGCTGATGCGTGCTGCCGAGCATCCCGTGCATCCCATTGAGCTCTCCTCCCTTCTACCTGACGAAGATGTTGTCATAGAGGCCTCTTTTTACGCAACCGGGTCGATCTTGTTTGCTGTTACGAGCAAAGGAATAGAAGCGAGTCGTCAAAGTACGGTCCGTGATATTGATATACGAAAGTGGGCGATGGAATCGTTGCGACTACTGCAATTGATTGCGGAAGGACCGACACCCAGATCAGGTCTGAGCGAGTTCAAAATGTATAGCAGCGCATTGAATGACTATTGCAGCAAACTCGCAGAGGCGATCATTGTTCCTTTTGCTGGTATCTTACGGCAGAAACGCCATATCATCTTCTCAGTCTCTCGGCCCTTGAACGCATTTCCATTCTCGATGCTGCCCTTCAACAATCAGCCTCTCATCAAGCACGCAGCAGTGTCACAGACACCGAGCCTCACAGTGTTACATCACCTTATGCAACGAGCACCAACAACGAGATCACCAAGCATTTCAGTGTTTGCGAAAAGCCTAAGTGAGCGAGGGAGCGCTTCAGATGATCCAGACATCGCATTTGAAACGAAGCTTCCCTGGGCAGCCGTAGAGGCTCTTCAGCTGGCCAACTTATTTTCTACATGGGTATGGAATTCCCTCATCATTAACTAGATGAAAATCCCTTCCACTGACCTCAATAGCCAATTGAATGTTCAAAATTATCTCGCGACGAGTTCCGAGATCACGTCCGAAGCTCATCGTCAATCTTGCACATCAGCACACACGGATACACAGATCCAGAGTACCCGCTACTCTCATGGATTTCATTCGCCGAAAAGTTCCGCGTCCTGGATCTATCCATGGTTCACAGCACGGCCAACCTCATCGTCTTCGCAGCTTGTCTCAGTGGACTAGGCCAAGCCACCTCCGGAAGCGACATCATGGGTTTCACGCACGTCATTCTTGGTACAGGCTGTCAGGCGTATCTGGGCGGATTGATTGAGATTAACGACTTTGCATCCATGATGCTCATGATTATGTTCTATCGAAATCTAAAGAGGGATGCTCAGCTCTCTCTTGCAGAGAGCCTGCGACAGGCCCAGCTTGAGTTCATGCAGATAAACGAGCGAAAGGCCACACGCTTCCTCGACGAGTTGTTAGATCAATGGGATAAGATGAGGCACCACGAGGAGAATGCAGACTCTTTCTGTCCTCATGGTAGGGAGAGGCTGGAGTTCCATAAGTCGCTACCTCACATGGTGGACTGGGCTAGTCCCCATCTTTGGGCCCCTTTCACTCTGATGGGATATGGTGGCCTTACTTTCGGGATGCAACAGCGTACATAGGTGATGGATACTGGATGTGTACGCCAGGGCCTTGCAATTTCGCTTATCTTTTTGTCGGGCTTGATTCGATTATTTCGTCGAATGCACTCTGCTATTTCTACAGACTCGGCTCATCACATTGCCGGCCAGAAAGCACTTGGAGCCAGTGCCAGGCCCTCTTCCGTGCCCTGCGATATGGCCTGTTTGCTTACAGTGACCTTCCACTTATCATATTCCGGATGTAGTTTGCTGGGAGCTTCTCATTTGATGATCAATTCGCTCATGAATCCGCCGGATACTGAGACTCTAATCAGGAGGCCAGCATCGATGCAGGAAGCATAGAATTGCTCATCCCACCGATACGCTCTCTATACACTCCGCTCATAGATAGTTGTCACGCCCTGTCTATGATGAGAGATTGAGCGAAGGAGAGAATATGAGATCTGGCCAGATAGTCGGACTGACCAGGCAGTCTGAGCGCTTGTTTGGGATGTTTGTTGACAGGTGTTCTAGACACCCAACAGACCATACAAGATCAATACTATAGCTATTTTTATATTCTTATTTACAAATTTACCTGAATACCGCTAAGAACAGGGGGTTCAGGGCTAGAGTAATCGTAATAGCTTAGCGTGCTTCGGGATGGGGTTCCAGAAAGAATCTATGAGAGTAACGTGGTGAAATTGATTTCGATCCATCCTGTACTGTACCATTTGGGGATGTGTCTAGACAGTCCCATGGGCACTGGTTTTGAACAGAGTCATATGAATTATTTGATCTCGCAGTGATCGACGGGTTTGGAGGCATGGTAATTCATCTAATATTTGTAAATTTATAAAGATATTCTAGTTGAAGTATTTTAGGCAGGCACGTCACCATCGTCAACCAGAGCAGCAGCTTCCGTATATTTAACGCGCTTTCCAGCCATGCATTCCTTGCCAGCGTTATTCCATCGTCTATTCCCTGTCACACAATTTGTCCGAGGCTCCTCTATCGAATGTGCATCGTAGAAATGACGTTGAAGATGAGAGATATCCGCATATCTCCTCCCCACACAGCAAGGATGCGGACATGAGACGTCGGTCAATGATCGCAATGGTCCCAGATGCACGTCAATGTGGTTCAGAAGGGTCGCTTTGTTTAACCACTGCTCAAATCTCTCGTCTGCGTTTTTTGTTCGCGTCGCCTAAGCAGAACTGACAAAAGCCTGGTGCGAGGAGGGTATACCTGAATGTCAAAATCCCACACCGTGGATGTAAGTCACTTAGGTGGCATTAGCAGTGTTGAATCTAGGAATTCTCGTCATGAAAAAACTGAGCACAGAGATAGCAGAACTAGAGGGACTCGCGCTGTACTCGTCGATGTGCGCGTTTGTTGTTTCTGTACCGCTGTTGATAGGGAGCGCCATTTAAAGATCTCCGGCATTGCAAAATGTGCTTTGCCTTTCCCTATAGTGGGATTCTTTCTTGAGTTAGCACCGCCTATAGTATTATTTAGAGCAGTGTACTCACTCAGACATAACCTTTGAGCATGTTAGGCAACTTCCATCTTTAGGTGACATTCCGGGGTAATATACGGTCCGCTCTGTAGATTTACAAAGCATGACTATATCGTTTAAGCACCGTCGACTAGTCTCGCTATCTAAAGTCGTTTTCTTAAATAAGTTTACTCGGAGCCGGGCGCGTTCTAGTAGATACTTCTCGAAAATCTCGAAAAGAGGAGTTGTGTCGCGCTCGAGGAAATCGTTTCTAGAGAGATATTCCTCGTATGATGCTTCCCACCACCTTTTAATAAAGTCCGATCTCCTCGCGCGTAATCGTTTGGCTTTCTAGTTATAGAGCAGAGACCTTTTAAGTATAAGCTCATTATAATCCTTAGGTTTGCCGTCGATCTCCTAGGTTAGATTGTGGATTCTGTCGTTTATCGCGATGATGTCGTCTTTAGCTTTAAATTACGCGAGAGTAGCTACGTCTAGTTTTTGAGGGGCGTTCACGTCTCGATAGTGCGCCATGCTTAGTTCTATATCTCGGCATTCGAAGTCAGATTCTAAATCATAGTATATAGCTTAGATATCTAATGCTTTAAGGGAAGACTAGTATTTAATATAGGTATCGTGGTTCTAGTGGTCTAATGCCTGCCCACGAGTCGCTTCGGATGCCTTAGCTGATAAGATGTTAGTATAATAGACCTCCTTCCCTACTAGGATAACTTATGGTCAATTTTATTTGCGACACCTCCTCGGATCCTATATACCCGTTCGGAAGCAGGCTCGTTCAGCCAAGCTCGCGAAGTTATGACGCAACGAACCAAAGGTCAAGCCTTTGCTCGCATGAGGCCCTTCGGGAGTAATCATCCTAAAGAACGCAAGATTTTTCACATTCTCATTCTAGTTAAATATTAATAACTCTCTGCCTTTAGGAGGTTTCGTGGCAAGAACTTGCTCTACGATATCATAGCCTTTAAAGGCACCGTCGGCAACACCGTGAAGGATGGCCTAGAATACAAAACTTATCCTTAGGATAGGATGTTTATTAAACCAGTTCGTAGGTCTTCAGTCATCTTATAAGCATAGAATTTAGAAAAGTACAAGCGATCCTAAGACTTACGAGGTCGCATTATCACGATAACGGAATCCCTTTAGAAACTCGGAAACAATTATTACCTATCGCTTTAAGCCACCACTATCTCTGGTCCGTTTAACCTAGAATTTAATATGCTAGCGAGAGCTTATTAGCTTAATAATAGTCATAGGGTGATCGAAGCAAGACAAGGCAAACCCTATAGTATAGGCATTCGTTATTATTGCTATAAGCACTTGACTCGACCCTTACACTAGCTCTTACACCAGATCCGGCAAAGATAGAAAGAGAGCTCCTAGTCTGTACTCTCGCTCTCTTGTGCTTATAGTTGTGGCAGCCGTCTATGAAGAGGTGCCTCTAGAGTATATCTATATCCTTTGCCGTCACCATATATCGCTCTCTAGGCTTCGTGCACAGACTATACTTCGGCGTTAGTTCGTTCCGGATAAACTAGAGATACGTAAGAAGCCATCCACCGGAAGGGAAGAGCGCGGGGTTTTATATTAAGGACATCGTTTTTGAGTTCCTCTAGAAGAGACCTCGAAGTTTCGCGCTCTCATTTCGATGTGAAACTAGTAAACTTATGACACGCGGTCTTTTAGTTGAAGTGATTCTGGCGATGTAATAACGAATTCCGCGAAGAGTTTAAGTTGTTAGGGCGTGGGATCGGGGTCATCTTTAGAGAAATTCGCGTCTGCTGCTTCGTTGCGGGACAGTCTCTATCTGGTTAATGTTAGAGAGCATGGTCGATTTCCGCTGACTATACACTGATAGAGCCTAGTTTAAAGCCGCTTCTTCATATTTTTGAAGTGTCGCTAGTGTAAGTGCACGGTGGGAAATGGTATTGTCCCTATGTTCCCGCTCTTCCTAGTACTCTTGTGTGAATCCACGTGACGCGGCACGTGCAATGCGCTCTTCAAGAGCTTTCTAGATCTTTAACTCGGTAGACATCGTGACTGTGGGATCGGTAGAGAATTGATGAAGCGATTAAGGGGCCCTGGTGTGTAAATTTATCTTCTAAGTGGAGGGGGATCAGCTCCTCTCACCCCGTTCTCACGTCCATCACCCCGGTCCTCGGACTTCTCACCTATATCACCCACACTCACCCTAGGACCCATTGCATCCGCTGTTTTAGGACGGCAGCGGTATCGAGGGCGCTTTGAGAATTGGCCTTGCACAATAGGCGGCTTAAGTACGGCTGAGCGGACGGGAAGTCCTGTTCTCCACACCCTATGGTCGCATGTATCAGTTTTGGAGTTAGTTATGATCATACGCTAACTACAATGCCAGCCGACCTCCCGTAAGAGTAGAGACCATTCCGTAGACGCGGAGCAAGGAAGGGAGGAAGAGCAAGTCAGAGCGGGACGGACGCAGGCCCGTTTTTCATTTCATGAATAGTTGTGTATATCCCAGCTTAGGGCAGAGTGAGATCCGCCTCTAATTCAATACATGTCTGCTCCTGCACATGTCGAAGAATATATCCGCACTGCTCAGCCGGGAACTCCAATAAGCGTAGCACCAGCGGATCATCACTATCCTCCAGTCGCATACAGATAGCAGTACACTCCGACCGAACGCGCGCATCGAGCCACCACAGATTAGTACAGCACATCAGCGCCAGCCACCACGCCAGAAGAATCATCGCGGGGGTTTCTTTCTGCAGTAAACACTGCTGGTATTCAGGCTCCAGTCTGCCGACCCAATTGAAGTATTTCCTGAAACATGGGGGTTTTTGTTCGAGCGGAAGAAATTGCATCAGCATGCGAAGCGGCCATAAATATGGGTTATTGGCTAGGGTGGACGCCTCGGTGATCCCGCAGAGATCTGCGAGATCAGGATCCAGACCAACTCGTCCCGGCCGGGAGTCGTCAAAATCAAACGAGGGGTCGTCGCGCACTTGCATGAAATGCGAGAACCACATACTCTGCGGCAGCCACTGGTTTGTCCGTTCCAGGAGGTACCGCATTCCGCCTTGGAGGAACAACCAGTTCAGAGAGGTGGGATCGTCGCTGAAGACGAATGATTCTCGCGGGTTGTACTCCTTTAATGTAAACGACTGAACGGTGATAAGCATGCAGGCTGGGTAGAGCTTGTCCATGTTGGCCTGCGTGATGCAGGTGGCGACCTCCTTCGAGTATTGGGTTACAGCTTGTTGCCAGTGAAACGCTTCCGCCACGCGGTATCCGCTATTGTCGTGCGATATCTGGCAGATGTGCGTCGTTGCCACTGCTATGATGGCATGCATGAGAAACGGAGTCTAGGAATGATCAGTTATTTGATGCTTTGTATGCATAATAACGGAGGATCTGACCTCGAAGGCAAGCTTTGTCATTTTGGTCAGCATCATGTCTGTCACTGCGTCTGGGGCGCTGATGGTGGATGCTGTGGCATTGTGGAAATGCTGTAAAGCTGCGACACTACCCAACCTTTCCGAGGCGCCTGTCAGCGGTTTGGCCGTTGGGAGTGAGAGCAGGTCATTCATCCGCTCTGCGACCAGGAGCAGAGACATGGACGATGCCAGGCGGTCAATGGAGATTAGTTGAGGGTCATGTTCGATGAATCTGGTGATGATGTTTTGTTTATTCGGTGGGCGCCTGGGTTCGCCGGTGTAGTCGCACTCGACGCCATGTTTTTGGCATTTCACACAATAGGGTTTTGTTTCGTCACACTGGGCCAGTCAATTGGCTATGGGCTTTTTCGAAAAAGATAAGAAAAGAAAAGAGACAAGTTGCCTACCTTGACTCGCCGTTGCTTACAATTCGAACAGCCAGCTCGAGACTTGCGATGTGGTCGACGAGCGTGGTAGCTGCGTTCGCTGGGGTCTTCTGTCGGGACTTTTCGCGCTTTATAGTTCTGGACTCGGAATACGCTTTGCTGTCCTTGCATAATGCCGGATGTGGATAATGTACCGCGCTGCTGTGCGGGATGGACAACCTGGGAATATAGCCGGAATTAAGGGACCTCTGTAGGCTTGATCCCAGTTGGTAGTTGCCCGTCAGCCTGTGGCTCAGCAGACGGTGCTGAGGCAGTGTCAAATTCAGCCCTGTTGTTTCATGGCTGTGACATGTTGATGAAGATGTAGCCTAGGGGCGCGGTCCAGGTGGAGAATGGCGAGACCAGAACGGCAACTCTCGTATTCGGCCCAGCATCAGTCATCATCGGGGGAGGTACGATTAAGCTCATGATAGATGTTTTATGGACAATGATTCATTCAGAACGCCTAATGCACATGATTCATACTTCATACACTCGGTTCTGGTATCTATCCTAACCCATCTTGGCGTTCGAAAAATCCATCTCTGTACACAGTTAGTAAACCGGACCCATATTGGACCAAGAACAAAAGAGCGCCTACCAGGATGATCCGCCTGAAACTTCTTGAGGAGATCCATCTTCTTCTGCTCATCACTCGTCATCCCGCCCGTCTCCTTCTGCCGCTGATCATACATCATCTTCTCGACCATCGCCCTGGTCTCGCCGTCCAAATCGCCCAAGCTCGAGTTCTCTGGCGTGATCTTGCTGACATCGATCTTCGGGGCGGTCGTCACGACGTGCGGCCACCATTCCATCTTGTTCACCTTGTCTAGATGGATATTGACTTCCTTGCCCGGCGGGGTCGGCGTGGTCTCCAGCGTCCAGGAGGATTCGTCAACGACGACCGGGTGGGGGAAGTCGCCCTAAGAATCATTGAGACTCAGCATTTCCATTCCACCGTCGCGTAGAATTACTGATTGCCAGGACGCACCTCGATGATCGCCTCCTGCCCCTTGATCGCCACGCGGATCTTGCTCTTGGTCAACACCACCTCCATATCGCGGCCCTTGATGTTGGCGGGGATCGGGGCGGTCAGGTCCACGTCGCGGATGGACTGCGTCCATTTGTACGGCAGCTGCGCCTGCTCGGCGGCTTCGCGGGCTTTGCGGTCTTGCTCTTCACGCTCACGGGCGGCCAATTCAGCGGGGGACGGGTTTTCCGGTTCGGCGGACATGATGGTCGTTTGGGAGGATTGTTGGTGAGGGAAAGTGAGTAAGTGCGATGTGGGGGAATTGGAAGCTGTTGATGCCTGAGGCAGGAGCTAGACAGAGCATAACAAACTCAACTATACTGACACTGCTAGATAGCTACCGGCAAGACAAACGCATTGTTGCTCAATAGTATATCCGCTTGTTATATTTGTCTATGGCAAAATAATCCCTGCTCTTTCTTCCCTCACCCCGTTGTTGTTGTTGTCGTGGTTGTTTTCGTATGCTCAGCCATGGCCGACTCGAGTTTACTCATCGTCACTCCATCGGGTCCCAGTATCGCCGCCAGAGTCAAAAACAGGGCCTCGGGATCATCCACCGCAACAGTCCATTTAGCCGGTCCCTCGTTGTTATTATTCCATGTCAACGCCGGGGCGCGAGACCCAGGGGCATGCTGGTTGTTATTGCCCGCCATCCACTGCTCAAACCACGGCAGGATGATCATCTGCATGACCAGCGAGGTGACTAGTGAGCCGATAAACCATTGCCGGCTGCACCAGGATAGAATGGCGGTCGCCCGGCGCAGGCCAGTGTCCAGCGGACGGGGTAAGACCAGGCCTGGGAGGCGCAGCTGGGACACTTGCCATATCACGAGCGCCGCGAGGGCCGCGAGAAGCGCCCCGCTCAGCAGGACGGTGGCATTCTGGACGGTGGCCCGGAGTGGGAGGGACCCATCATCGTCATACTCGCTGTGAGTTTGTTAGTGTCGATTCAATGTGAGCAAGGAAGGGTGGGAGCGGCTCTGATTGGACTGACTCGTGTTGTTGACCGACTTTCATGATGACATGCTCTAGTAAAAGCAAGGGATACCGACTCCACTTGCTCGTAGTATAGTAGGAGTAGTTGACTACTAGCGGGATGGTGGTGACAAACAGTTGGCCCCTTTTCGAGATAACCCGTTCAGGCCCCTCCGATACGAACAAGTGGACGATCAAGAATAATCCCCGTCAATTCCTAGTGTATTCCATAAAACTGTCTCTCCCGGTTCCGATTCCCCGGTCTCCTGTAACGATGCAATGAAACAATAATCATCCCTAAAATCCCAGTAACTCCAACTCTAGTTCAATCATCATGTAATAAATGAAGTCCGCTATCGAGATCCCTTCTGCTGTTGCTGTTGCTGCTGCTGCGCCTGCTGCAGGGCCGCCTGGCGTTCGTTTTCTACATAGCCGTTCATTCACCTGTCAGTGCGCACCCTGCATATGACAGATAAATAGTTCTATTACATACCTCGGATCTGCTTAATCTGCCTATCGGTGTCTTTGATGAGCTCATCCCATTTCCTCTGGTAGGCTTGAATGTCCTCCAGGTTTTTCGGTTCGGGGTTGAGGTCCTGGTTGGTGTCCTTCTTGGATTGGTCCATACTGGGTGTGTAGTAAGATGGAAGACGGAAGCGAGATGGTGGCAGATAAGGTACTTCTGTTTCTGGCTCTGTGCAGAAGAAACGAGAACTAGATCCATTCTTCGGATACTGGTCCCCTTTTATAGATCTTTAATTCCACCTCTTCCATGGTTATCATCATCATAATCTTCCTTAATCTCCAGTGTTTGCTGGAGAATCGGTCACGAGCACCCCCAACTTGATCTCCGGTCCAAGTTTTGCATCGTGAAGTGTTCACCGACTCCCCCCCTCCCTGGCTTATTTCCCGCCTAACCGCTCCCGGAACGGGCTGTGTAGCCCGTCCAGCACAGCAACCCAACATCTCCCTAAAAAACCTTCACCCCCCGGTTAAACCCCGGGGACCAGGATATTTCTCCACCAGCTGTGATTGGTATTTCTTGTGCCCCTCTTATCCTACCTGCCCATCTTGGCTAACCGTGAATGTCTATAGCCCCCCCTCGGTATAGTTCTTGAATCCTGCGCATGATGTCAGTCAGCCCGTTTCCAAACTACAGGGATGCCGTTCCCCCGGGTGTCCCGCCCCCCGACGCCCCGGACCAATCGGGGCAGTGGGCTCTACTTCCGCGCCGATGGTACGAAGGTATCGAGTCTAAAAGTACGCTAATTTCCAGCAGGACTATATCGGCACTCCCGGAGATTTAACGACTAGATATCATTGGAAACAACACTTCATCCTATAACTATTTCTCCCCTATGCCATGCCCAAAAGATACCCAACCATTATTCACTCAAATCATGCGCCGGAATCCCACACCCGATGAAATCTACCACGACTACGACGTCGGCAGCGTCACCTGAGACACGCCATCGGCGATCTTCTCGACCGCCTCGTCGTCGTTGACCTCCGTCGCGACAGTCGGACGCTCAGCACCGGCACCGCCCTTCGCGGACGCCTCGACGCCACCCGAAGGTGGAGCCGGGCCCTTGCCTTTGTCCTTCTTCTCCTTCTTCTTCGCCTTACTAGCGGCTTTCTTCGCTGCTAGTTTGGCGGCTTCCTCTTCCTTCTTCTTTCGATCCGCTTGAGAGCCACCAAACATTTCGCGCCACTCATCTGCCTTCTTCGGATCGATCCGCGAGAACAGGTATTGCGCCTTGCCGATCTTGTGACCCGGCTTGAGCGCCGTTGGCTTCCATCCGTCCTTAATGCTCTCCAGACTAGGGATTAGTAGGAATGGTGCATCGAGTTGCTCCAAGATCGACCTGGATGATGCAGGCATGTACGGCGCAAACACGCTAGATAACAGATAGATCAGGTTTAGGACAGTGCCCACCACAGCGGCGGCCTGCTCGGGCTCGTTGGCAATCAAAGCATTGTCGAGCCGATTGGCTTGGATCAGACCTAGCAAGATGTCAATGACTCGGACGAGGCACAAGTAGTTCCGCGGGAGACGACTTACCATTGCCGGCTTCGGCGATCTTCATAGCCGTGTGCACACCGGCGCGCAGGTGCACGCTTTCCATCTCACCAATATACTGGCGGGTCAAATCCGTCACCTCCTTGAGGAAGTCATTGAAGACCTCTGTGTTCGGAACTGTGAATTCGGGGATGACCGAGTCGTACTTGGCAGCCACAATCTTCACCACGCGGTTGACCAGGTTGCCGTACTTGGCCAACAGCTCGCTGTTGTTGGCTTCCACAAACGAGCGCCACTCAAATTGCGTATCCCCAGTCTCGGGCCGGTTCTTCAGCAAATAGTACCGCCACACGTCCGGGGGCACACCGGTCTGCTCCGCAGTCGTGCCAAATACACCAACACCGCGGGACTTGCTAAACTTCCCGCCTTCGTAGTTCAGATATTCCGTGGCGCTCAGATGATGCAGCATGGTCCACTTGTCCTTGGTTCCGAGCTGCGTAGCGGGGAAAATGACGGAGTGAAATGGCACGTTATCCTTGCCTAGGAACTGGTACAGTTGCACGTTCTCCGGGTTACGCCACCACTGCTCCCAATCCTTTGTGTAGTTGGCTGTGATAGACGGATAGCCAATGCAAGCCTCGAACCAGACATAGATCCTAATCGGTGTCAGCAGGGAGTCCATCATTAGATAGCAATCAATCAGCTCACGTCTTGCCAGTTTCATAGCCCTTCAGCGGGACAGGCACACCCCACTTCAGATCTCTTGTGATCCCACGGGCCTTCAACCCCTCCTTGAGCCAGGACTCGGTGATGACGCGCGAGTTCTTGGGCCAAACACCCTTTTCGATAGCAGGGTGCACCCACTTCTCGATCTCCGGCTGTAGCTTATCAAGCAGCAGGTAGACGTGTTTCGTCTCACGGCGAACCGGAGCTGCCCCGTCGAGCTTGCAGCGGGGCTTGATCAGATCAAACGGATCTATGAGATTGCCACATTTGTCGCATTGATCACCACGTGCGTCTTCGTAGTGGCACCGGGGGCATTCTCCTTCCACGTAGCGGTCTGCTAGGAACGAGCCGTGCTGTTCGCAGAAGGGTTGTTCGGAGGTCTGCTCGGCTAGACACCCGTTTTCGTATAGGCGCATGAAGATGCTCTGCGTGATCTCCGTGTGCTGTTGTGTCGGAGTGCGGCCGAAATAGTCGAAGCCAATGTCGAAGAACTTGTACACTTCCTGGTGAATGGCATTGTACTTGGCGCAGAGCTCCTCCGGCGACATCTTTTCCTCTAGCGCCTTGGTTTCTGTCGCAGTGCCATATTCGTCCGTACCACAGATGTACAGGGTCCGTCGACCGCAGGCCTTGTGGTAGCTAGCGACCGGATCAGCAATGAAGCTATTGAGGGAAGGTAGGGTTTGAGTCATACCGCGAAAACACATCCGCACTGAGCACCGAACCGATGACATTGCCCAGATGTGGCACATTGTTGACATAGGGCAAGGCCGAAGTGATCAGGATATTCCGCTCGCCGTCCTTGGGCAGGATGGGGTCTGTTGCGGCCATAGTGAGTGGTGGTGGTGTGGTGGTGTTGAAAGAGGAAGAAATAATGGAGGGGCTTAGTTAAGGAAAATCAAAGAAAGTGGGCTGTCACTCGGACTCACGAGAGCTACCCGCCCCGTCGGTTTTCCCACCTCCACAACCACCCACCATGGAGTCCCTTCTCGATAGCCTCCTAGATCTCGAGGAGCAGTTCTATCAAGAGGGCTATGATCTGGGCGCCGCGGATGGCACAGAGGCTGGGTACACTGAAGGCAGCGTCTTCGCCGTTGAGAAGGGCTTCGAGAAATTTGTCGAGATGGGCCGACTCTACGGCAAGGCCCTTGTCTGGGCTCAGCGACTGACCAAAGTCTCTCACGATCAATCGACCAGCGAATCGGACATTCTGGATCCCTCCCTCTGCCGAGAAATGCCCACCCTCCCCGCGCACAGTGCGCGCTTGACCCGAAACCTCCAAACGCTTCTGGAGCTGGTCGACCCTGCTTCGTTGGATATGTCGAATACGGAAGAGGCGGTCAACGATGCGGATGAGCGCTTGAAAGGTGCTGCCATGAAGGCGAAGCTTATCCAGCGAGCAATGGGTGAGCGTGAGGAGATGCTTGGCGCTCGTGTTGACGCCAAGGAGATGTCGGCCTCGGGCGATGGATCCGGCAGTATTGAAGATATCAGCTCGTTGAACGTGCGCCGCTGAACTACTTGTGCGAGAGCAAACACCAACCTTTTCAGCTCGACTCGCACGGATCTGTATTGGTCTATGGATTCGATTCCAAAGACGAAAGCCTCGAAATTTCCGACCCACGCTGAAAATGCCACTGGATGAGAACCTACGAGACTATGTTCAATACTCTCCCGAGGACACCGGACCAGACCACTTCTGCAGAAGGATATTCTGCACCTGTGTTTGAATGCCTGTCGAAGGTCAGTTCGCAACAAGGAGTCTGCGCAACCAGCTCTAGACCAATCCATTCCTCCATGGAGTACAGACGATGAATTCCGCGACAGTCAACCTCAATAGAGGAGATCCGGTTACGTGTCCATGGAAATCGGGATGAAGTACGTAAATGTGCTTTGATCTTTGATATCATATAATTCAAAAAATTCATAACCCATCCAATTCCCATAACTTTTTTTGGTTTACTCCGTATCCTGTGCAATCTACCACTTTACTGCTCAAGACTGCGGACGGCCATGGCCATCGCGCCCTCTCTGGTCTGATGCCCACCTATGAACCCACTGGCGTGCACAAAGACGGCACCCGCCGGGATCTTAGTCTGGCCAGCCTTCTCGGCCTCCGCAGCCATAACACCATCCAGATCCTCGTCGCGCACGCCTCGCCAGGCCTCTGGGAGGGGCTTCCGCGAGACAAAGCTGCTCTCCGAGACGGAGACACACTGCACGCGCCACTTGGCTCCCTCTGTCGCGTTCTCCGGGTATAGAACGTAAAACACCTCGGCCGTCGGATCGGCCTCTTCATCCCCTGACGACTCCTGTTCGAAGTTGTACAGGTGCTCTTTCCAGGGCACACCACCCTGCGGCAAGACAATAATGCGCCCGGACGGATGGACTTCGCGTCGCGAGCTATAGGCGGACCCAACCGTTATGCGGGCCGGGAGCCACGACGTGCTCGCGTGGTGCAGCTTCCGCGCGAACACATTGCCGATCAGCGTGCTCGCCCGGCCGAACAGGCTATCCTCATCCTGGGGCTCGCCCGGCGGGCTGGTCGGGTCGGGGTTGTTCAAGTCATTCACAATCGAGGCCAGGGTGACACCGCCATCCTTGAACCGCTTCTCGAGACGGGCGGCCGCCACCGCCGTGGGGTCATATACGGACACGCCGTTGTCGTTGGCATCAATGGCCTCGATGAAGTCCGTGTACAGTTTCTCGTACAGCAGGTCGACATCGGCATGGTCCTGCGGCAGGGACATGTGCTGCGCGATGATTGCCCGTCCGAAGTGCATATAGACCAGCCCTGCGGAGGACAGCTTGGTGGCGTGCTGGGGGAATGTGGTCGTGAAGGTCCGCTGGTGGTGATCATACCGGTTGCTGGCGGGGTCGTACACGCCGCCCACATCGACGACGGTGTGGCATGTTTCCAGCTGGGCGGGGTCGCGGGTGCGGATGAGCGGCGAGGATGCATAAGAGGGTAGCAAGCGCAGCAGATAGACGGCCAGAGCCTCGTCCGCATGGAAATGGCCGCTGCTGTTGTCAGTAATTGCCGGTCAATAGCGAGGTCCAACCTCACTTGTGTGTCCCGATTAAGGGGGAGCCCGTCTTGAGCTTCTTTGCAGTTTGCTCGGCCATCTTAAAGACTTGTCGCAAGCGCAGCATGTACTAGTTAGGTCGTTTGCCTTGGCGGATTCGGATCTGGGCTGGATGAATGGGGTTGCAACTTAGGGCAGGGCTTGGAGCTAATCACGTGATGTCAGAGCTTTAAGCTTCCGGAAGGGGATGTATCGGTACTTGGGCCACTATGTAATCTGGCGGGTCATCCGAAGTACCAGTACATCGATACTATGCATCTGCGAGTGGACCATGGTCCAGCAGAGTGAGTAACTGAGCTGACCGCCAGTCTGTCTCTGGGAATGCCACTCACTATAGTTACCTGCAAACTACATACCTACACTTTCTCTTTCATCCAGGGGAAATCCACGACACTCGCCAATGAGCATCAACCGACCCACGTGAAGAGATAAGCTCGATTGGAGAAAAAGAAAAATACCATCGTGTGCCCCCCTCTTCTCTTCTTCTCTATTGCTTCTCTTTTATCATCATCATCTCTCTCCCCGGAATAATCCTACCACCAACAGACCATCCGATCACGTCGTTGTCATCTCTCCTCCCTTGCGCGGCGCCCGTTCCACCCCTCCGTCGCGTCTCCCCAGCGCGACCCGGTCCGATGTGGCTCTTCCGAGTCTGCTCGTCGGCCTTCTTCCTCGCCGTCACCGTCTCATCCATCCCACTGGCCTTCGATGTGGGCGGAAAGACATGTGGCCTGGCCTTCTCGCTCTCCCTGGCCATCTTCCACTTCCTCTTCTCCCTGCTGAAGCTCACCACCCCCGAGCGCTCGTGGTTCCGCTCCTCCGTGATCGTCGTCATCCGCTCAACGCAATGGATCCTCGTGCCGATTCTTCTGATTTGGTCGCTGAATCGGTTTTCAGCCGATGCGGACAGCTCGGGTGGTTGGGTGGAGCGCACGTTTAGTGAGAACCGCGCACAGTTTTCTTCCCTGCAGGAATGGCTCTTTGGGCGCGATGGCTTGGTCGAGACCGTGACGCTGGGTAACTGGGACAGACTGCTGCGCTGGTCGACTCCCGTCTTCCAGCTGGCGGAAGGGTTCTGCAGTCTACTGGTCATCCAGGCTGCCGGGCAGATTACCCGGTGGCTCGTGAATCGAGGCGGACGGAGCGACAGCTGGATGGTACGTTTCTGTCCCCTTCACTTTCAGCCACCACACAAGCTCACCATTCACAGATCGGTCTACTAGTTCTCTCTGCAACGATTATTTCTAGCTCTGTCTACTTCCTGTGGCGCGTTTTGCAATTCCCCGAGATCTCCAACGTCGATGCCGCCTTGATCGGAGTTTCAATCACATGCGCCGTCATCCTGTGCGCCTGGGGGATAGGCAGTGGGCGCGGAAACCCGGTAGAAAGCTCTCTGCTCTTCGCCTACATCGTTCTCTGCATCTACCAGATCTTCACGGACTACCAACCATCCCACCCGGTGGAGCAGGTCCCGTCACCGTCGCAGGCGGGAGACTTTCCTCCGCTTCCGCCCATTTTCATGGCGTCGTACAGCACGCTCATGCATGCACTGTCTCTGCTGCCATCGATCATCCACGCGGCGGCCAACGTGATCACAGCCGTCTTCAGCGCCGTGACCCCATCCGTTTTGATCTCGCTCGCGTACCGGCTTTTTGTATTGTACGCATCAACGCGCATCATCCCTGCGGTCCGTGAATCTGGCGCCCGCGCTCTATCGCAGGAGGCCTCGATCGACGATGACGATGCGGCTGGTCAGGTGCTGGGCTTCCTGAGCTATTTCTCACCGACCATCCTCATCGCTGTGTACACCAGCCTTCTGATGCAACATTTCTCATCGGCTTCGCAGGCCATGGGCGGCAGCGGTGAATGGTGGAGTAGTCAAGGCGGCGGTGGAGGCAATCTGTGGCGCTGGATCAATCTGCCTTGCACGATGGCTCTTTACGCAGTTGAGCTGTGGCTCGGGGAGCACAATGATCTCGACAACGGCCTGGCAGGCCACTGGAAAACCGACTGATTCATTTTCTTGTCCGGGGGGATTCCAACTGTGCAACTCTGGGTTTTCCGACAGAGACACACGACTCTGGAAACCACGGGCACAGTAACTCCCCCCTTTTCTCTCTCAAATCCCAACCGGCCTTCTCGTGGCAACCAGTAATACCACCATCCACGACCCGGTCCTCACGCGCAGTCAATGGAGACACAGTGCTCGATCGACAGAGGACTACAATAACACCCGCCAGGCTATGATCTCCTGGCCTCTCCATCCCGCCACTGCACCGCGACTCCTTTGCCCTTGGCCTCCCCGTCTGCCCGATGCCATCTGCGTGCGATTATATCTTGCCCCCTTAGAGCCCTAACAGACGACACCTGCCCATATAGCTCTGCAATTCCCGAGGCATAATCATGCTATTTATGTAGCACACCCTTTCCCCTACATCCACCTTCTTCCCCTGTCATCCCTTGTCCCGGAAAGGCCACCCTCCCATCCACATCCCTTTTCTCACGTCACGACCGATGATACCATCATCTCCTTTCATTGCTATCCCCTTCTTGTGTCATATACCCCCATTTGTCCGGTTCTTCTCTTTAATCAATCAATACTGCCCTTTTTTGCTCCACACTACACCGCAGCTTGCCTGGCGATCTGAATCGTTGTTTCGCTTTTTCTGTACTGTGTACATAAAGAGACCTAGATGTAATTTCTTTAGGATTTCTCTCATCTGGCATCTTGCTGGCTGGGTCTTAATTGAACTCGGCTCTAGCCCCGACAGATATCTAGTCAGACTAGCAGTCTCCGACAAGTTCGCAACGCCTCTTCGCCCTTATGGGAAGTATGGAATGAAGGTGATCTCTCGAGAGTATAAACATGATTGACATAATAACCATAGAACGTACTTGGCATGCAGGCAGGCAGTAGACAAGAGAATCAACACAAGATCATCAAGAAATGCAAAAGTCCGGGTCATTTTCCTTTGTTGGAGAGAACAAAGATATCAACTGACTAGAAGAAAACACAGGAAAGGCCAAGCCAAGCCAGAACACATGAAGAAAAGAGTACCGGATATGAAGAGACATCATGAGAATGGGAAAACAAAAGTGCAGATGATGATAAGAGGACTGGTAAGGGGAAGACGATCAAAAACCGACTAATCGAGGCTGGATTTTCCATCTCCCTCAATGAATGTCCTCCACTGGCGCTGTCCCGCAGTGCACCCCTTCCACGCAAAGAAAAAAACACATCCCATAGCGCCAGGCTTTTGAACCGAAAAACCATACACCCTCCACCCGTCCAGATCACCGGCGGATGGGCACGCCCTCCCTCGCAGGTGGGGGACTCACACTCGGCTCGTTGCCATCCTTGTCCTGGGCTGTGGAGGAGGTCTCGCCCTCGCCCGCACTCGACTTGCGGTGCAGGAAGCTGCCCTCCTTCACGGGACTGCGGCTCTGGAACCCGACCGAGCCCGGGTGTCCGCTCATGCTGCCGGGGATCTGCTGGCCCCCTTGCGCACTGATGCTGCCGCCGTTGCCGCCCGCCGCGGTAGTGTTGTTGGCGCCCGGCGAGGTCGAGGTCAGGTGGGGGATGTTCTCGGGGACCGGGTGGCGCGACCCGATGTTGGTGACGCCCACGTCGGAGGCTTTGCCGGCTTTGCTGAGGGCGTAGTCGCCCGAGTCGAAATATTTGCGTTCCTGGATTTCGAGAGCAGGTTGTTAGAATGAAAGTAACTGGGAGGGAAGGGGGTCCGAGGCGTACCTTGAGCTTGTTCTGGAGGAGGTCTTTCTTGGTGGGCATCTTGCCGTACATACGGAGAAGACGCTGCTCGTCTGGGCTCAGGGACTTGGGGGTCATAGGTCAGCGATGATTCATGTCACATAGGGAGGTGGGCAGTGGCTCACGTTGATGTCCACCTTGTTCTGCTGGTGCGGATTCATGGTGGGCAGGTTTGGATCTCGGATCTCAGCGGGCGGGGATCTTAGTGGGTTGGAACAGGGAAAGAGGAGATGAGAATCAGAGGAGATGGGTTGAAGGAGGGAATGGTGGACGATGAGAGTATGTAGTTATTGCGAAGAAGAAGAAGAGTTGAGAGAGTGAAGTGCAGTACTAGTGAAGTGAAGTGAAGTGGAGTGGAGAGAGAGGAGAGAGAGAGCGTATCGATAACCAACCAAGCACTCTAGTTAGTTACACTACGTAGGTCAGTGGGCCCCACCTGATTTTCTTCGCATCCATCCATCTATCTTCACCAGAATAATGCCTGCCTTTGTGGTCGAGCACCTGGATCCAGAGCTGGGCCCCTGGTCCACCCTTGAATACGCCTGCATCGCTCGTGAATCCCATGCCAATGGCGCTCGCTTCTTGCTCAGTTCGGTGCCCGCCGAGCTGCAGATGCCCGCCGAGCTGGCGGCCACCCAAGGACTAGAGGTCGAGCAGCGCAGCGTCGAGAACATCTTCGCCAAGGACAAGGTCTGTCTGCTCGATCCATCTGCTCAGGTCGAATTAAGCCCCGAGGATGGCGACCATTTCGAGGTCTTCCTGTTCGGTGGCATTCTGGGTATGCTTTCTTCTCGCTCCCCCCAGAAAATTGGATGATGGACTAATCAGTGGGACAACTGCAGGCGATGATCCGCCTCGAGGTATGTTTCAGCATGTTTCACCGACAATGGCAGCCAGCGGCTGATTGTTTCGTCATGTATCTAGATCGTACCTCTGAATTGAGGAAAAAGGGCTATGTCGGCCGCCGCCTGGGGCCTAAACAGATGACCACCGACACGGCAGTCCGAGTCACCCGCATGGTCGTCCAGGAGAAAGTGCCGCTGGAGCAGATTCCCTATGTCGACTATCCCGAGCTGCACATCAACGAGCACGAGCGGACGGAGATGCCCTTCCGCTATGTGGTAGATGCCCAAGGCCAGCCGATCATGCCGGATGTGAGTACTCTACCGATGCTACACGATCGAATATTAACTGTGTCAGGGCATGGTGGATCTGATCAAGAAGGACGCCGACAAGGGCGTTGGGGATTTGTTCTGATGGAAATAAAAATAAAAATAAAAATAAAATAGAATCAAGCCATGAATATACGATAGACCAGAGAGATTGGATTTGCCTTTGAAAGAACCCAATCTCCGATACGGATTGTCTATACAGTCACTATTGGGGCTGTTCTGTGCGCTCCCTATACTGCCTCGATCAACGAGGGACGGGGAGTCCAGACCGGATCCGGGAGACAATAAAGGGCGAAGACAAAGAAATGGTATGGTATTGTGGATACCATACATACCCCGTGAATAAATGTAAAGTACGCGTAATGACAGAACCAGACGGGCCAGGCTGTTCGCTCCGTCATTTCTTCAACTTGCTCTCCTTCTCACGCTGCGCATCCATCCTCCTCTTGACACTCGATTCACCTCCTTCCACATCGCCCCTGATTATTATTCTCTTTCTTGTCTTCTCTTGTCTGCCTCTACACCTTCCGCTCGTTCCGCCCGATCCGTCACCGGATTCGATGACAACTTAGGCTCGGCACCTCCGAGTCCGCCACGGACCATCCCAAGCCTCCCCTGACCCTTTTTTGGTCTCATAATCGAGCGCATCTCGCACTGGGGGATTGTCAAGCATGTTTTTGACCCCCTCCCACGTTGGGCCCAAGGTGGGAGGCGCCTTTGCCATGCTCGCGTGGACACTCTCCCTACTGCTGCTGCTCAGCCCATTGGCCGCAGCGGCCTCTGCAGCGGATTATTATGTGCACTCATTACCCGGGGCGCCGGATTCGCCTCTCTTGAAGATGCATGCTGGGTGAGTTTTACTTTCTCTCCTCATCCTACGAAGGTTATCTAACCGGTCAACTTCCACAGCCATATTGAAGTCGACCCGGAGCACAACGGCAACCTTTTCTTCTGGCATTTCCAGAACCGCCACATTGCCAACCGGCAGCGAACAGTCATCTGGTTGAATGGTGGTCCCGGATGTAGTTCTATGGACGGCGCGTTGATGGAAGTTGGCCCTTATCGGTTCAAGAACGACCAGAAGCTGGTGTACAACAAGGGATCCTGGGACGAGTTTGCCAACTTGCTCTTCGTCGACTCTCCGGTCGGCACAGGTTTCAGCTATGTCAACACGGATAGCTTTATCCAAGAATTGGATGTCATGGCCGCTCACTTCGTTGTGTTCTTGGAGAAGTTCTTTGAAATGTTCCCCGAATACGAGAAGGATGATGTATGTTTTTTTTGCCAGACCGAAAACTTCTTCTGCTGACTGGGCGACAGATCTATTTGGCCGGCGAATCATACGCAGGCCAGCATATCCCATATATCGCCAAAGCCATCCAAGAGCGAAACAAGGCTATCAAAGGAAGCGATGCAACTCACTGGCCGCTTCAGGGTTTGTTGATCGGCAACGGCTGGGTCTCACCCAAGGACCAGTACCCGGAGTACCTGCCCTTCGCCACTCGGGAAGGTCTCGTCAAGGAAGGAACCTCAGTCTACCATAACCTCGAAGTCATGCACAATCTTTGTATGACCAGGTTAGAAGCCAATGGGGCACAGAACAAGATTAGTATTCCTTCTTGTGAGAATATCGTGAGCAAGATCGCCGAGGTCGCCGGCGAGACTGGTAAATGTCTCAACATTTACGACATCCGTCTCCAGGACGAGTTCCCCGCGTGTGGCATGAACTGGCCTCCAGATCTCAAATCGCTGTATTCTTACTTGCGACGTGAGGACGTGACCAAGGCACTGAATCTCAATCCGGCGAAGCAATCTGGCTGGGTTGAATGCAACAATGATGTGAGCAGCCACTTCACTGCCGCCAATTCAGTCCCCTCCGTCAAGCTGCTGCCCAGTCTTCTTGAATCCGGGATCCGGGTGCTGCTGTTCAGCGGCGACCAAGACATGATCTGCAACCACCTGGGTACCGAGTCCCTGATTCACAATATGAAGTGGAGCGGCGGGAGCGGCTTTGAGACTGCTCCCGGCGAATGGGCCGCGCGCCATGACTGGACCTTTGAGGGCGAGCCCGCCGGTATCTACCAACACGCCCGCAATTTGACCTACACGCTCTTCTACAACGCCAGCCACATGGTGCCCTTCGATCTGCCCCGTCAGTCTCGCGACATGCTCGATCGCTTCATGCGCGTCGACATCACCAGCATCGGTGGCCAGCCGGCGGATTCCCGTATCGACGGTGCCAAACTCCCGCTCACCTCCGTCGGCGGCCACCCCAACAGCACTACTGCCCAGAAGCAGGAGAAAGAGAAGCTGAAGCAGACCGAGATGCATGCCTACGCCAAATCTGGCGAGGCCATCCTGGTCATTGTCATCATCGGCGTGTCGGTCTGGGGCTTCTTCATCTGGCGCAGTCGCCGTTCCCCCCAAGGCGGCTACCGTGGTGTGTATCATGATGACTTCCAGAGCGGCTCTGTGCTGGACCGTTTCCAGAATAAACGCTCTCCGGGAGCAGACGTCGAGGCTGGTGACTTTGATGAGGCCGAGTTGGATAATCTACACTCGCCCGGTATCGAACGTGACCAGTACGCCGTCGGCGACGACTTCAGCGATGGCGACGACGATGACCGCCCGCACCAGGCTGTTGGCAGCGAGACCCGTCATCCCTTATGATCTGCATTCTGTCATCTCTGCGCGGTGTATATTGGGATTTTTAGTCTACGTCATTTCTCGTGTTTGCGGCCGAGTGCATTGTACAAAGGGGATGGTGTCTAAACGGTGTTGCTTTTTATTTCTCTTCATGAGATAAATATATTTATTTGCATGATTGCTTTCACATTTTCATATCTTGTAGGCTTGTCCGTAGATATAATACAGTCTATCAGGCTCACCGCTGCAGTGTCCACACCTTGACGCTGCCATCATCCGCCGTCGAAACCAGGACTTCTTCATCCGTGCCGCCCTCCGCGTTACGGTCCGCCCGTTTCGTCCAGACAACATGATTGATCTCGTAGATTCCATGCGCACCATCCACAACAGCCAGAACCGCCCACTCCGTCCGCAACGGCGCCTCGGTTGCGGCCACCACCCGTTCTTCGTAGATCACAATCCGCCCATCTGCGCCAGCAGAAGCAACAAGACCAGTCTGCCGACTCCACGCCACCGCATAGATGGCCAGTTCATGTGCATGCGGCAGCACCGCCTCCTCCTCCCACGTCTCGTCCGACCCCGTCGGCCGAATAATACTCGGAATCCCCGTCATAGCAGAGGAACTCATAGCGGGCTGCTGGCCCTCCTTCGGCTGGCGGGTCCAAACACGCACAGTGCGATCATCCGAGCATGAAATCAGTCGTGGACCGGAGAGAGAGCGCTGCTCGCGCCATTGATCGCGCTGCTCGGCGGACGGAAGTGTAGGCGTATTCTCCACCCCCTCCCAATCTAGAAACCACACCGTGCCCCCATGGCCCCGGATGCAAGCAACTTGTCCCCAATCATCCAGATCCTCGCGCCACACTCTGATCGTGTCGTCGTAGCTTCCGGAAGCGAGGCATTCTTCCGTGGGATGCCACGCAACGCACTTGACATCCCCATCATGCTCCTGCATCACCGCCACGGTCTCGAAATTGTCGTCCCCATCATCCAGGTCCTCCCAGATCCAGATCGATTTGTCGCGCGAGCAAGTGGCTAGTAACATTCCCGACGCAGACCAGGATAGCGACTTGACTTCGCTGTCGTGTCCGTCTAGGAGGACAGCGAAGCGCCACTCTTTTTCTTCTTCGTCAGAGGCATCCGCATTCAAGTCGCCGTCCGCAGCCGCGCCGGTGTGGTTGGTTTCATTCCCGTATTTGTCCCATCGTCGCCAGATTCCCACTGTGGCGTCGAAACTCCCCGTTGCGAGCACGCTTTCGCCTTGCAGATGTGGTTTCCAGGCGCAGGTGCGCACGCTGCGCTTGTGGCCGTCGGAAATTGTGGAGAGGAGTTTGAAGTTTGTGAGCGAGTAGATGCGGACGGTCTTGTCGGAGCTGCAGGTTGCTACGATGGGGAGGGTCGGGTGCGGTGCGGTGAGCCACGTCCGCTCGGGGGACGCGGGTGTGAGGTCGGCTAGGTGGGAGAGGTGTGGCTTGGCCATGTCTGGAGGAGGGAGAAGAGTAGGGAAGGGAAGGGAGGAAGAGGAGGAGAGTAGCAGGAATGGTTGGTGGTGGGGAATTTTTGCCGGGTTGGTGGTTAGTGGGGACTGATTAGATAGCGGCGAGAAGTATAACTACAACGCATTATGGTTTACTCGGTTTACATGGATTGATTGGGACGGCGGTGGTTCACTGATTACCCCCTGACCACCGGCTTGGCCAGGTGCCAGAAGCATGCCTTGACCGAAAGACCATCGTCGTTGTTGTCCACAACGGCAGAGTATTCCACTCTCCGTTGATCTCGATGTGGCGCAGGAAAAAATTGTCTTCTCGTAGGTTGAATGGAACCATATGGGATCGTCTGATCAATCAAGCTAGTTTGTCAAAAGCAGTAGTATAAGCGACATGTATCAATGCCCTTTGATCTCTCCTGGGTTTGCAACCATCCCTGTCACCACCTCAAGCAAGGAAATCGTTCTGGGCATGCAACCACTCCCACTCTTGTCACCACCTCCAGCCAGTGTGTTGGTCAACTTGGAGATCCGTCGCCATATTGGGAAGGTACTTGTCCTGCTTGTAGTCATCTAGGACCAGAGAAAAAATAACGAAGTAGTTGTCTTTCCATTTCGTATCTGTGTCGATGCGGGCAGCCTGACTGAAACCGGAGATTTTGCTGCGTATCATTAGCGTGAGATTGTAAGGGATAGAGTAGAATGTACTTACACATCACTTGTGTCCTTGTTGAGTATGATCTTTGAAGAGGACGACAAGACCGGCTTGTACCCAGAACTCAGAACTTCCCTAGCTTCAGTTAGCCTTAAATACATGGTCAGAGTCGATGTATTCAGTAACAAACTCGAAGGCTTTTTTGAAGTTGTCACGGATGAGCCTCCGCTTGTTGTAAGGAAAACTCCAGAAATACTCCTCATCTAGCGGCTCTCCTTGGACCTTTTCCCATACAAGGAAGATGATATATCCGCCGGGGACAAGGTCGTCTGCGTCTTGCGTGCCGATTCGATATCCAAGGAGTTTGGGAGTGGCAGTGCGCCCTGTCTCTGTGAGTCCCTTGAAGGCCTCGAGCTCCACATGCTTTCGTGGCCCATGAGCCTGGGACTGACGGACACTTTGATTGTCAAGGCGAGTACCATCTAGAGGAATCTGTTTGTAGATGCGCATATAGGCAAGCTGGTTCTCGTTGCAGGCACCTGCAAGGCGACAAGAATATTTTCCAGCGGTGAATGCGGGGGCCCATGCCATCGGCGAAATCCTCTGGGCCGATCGGGCGTGGGTGCTCACTCAGCTTTTCGAGGATGATCCAGTCCCGTTCGGGGATGGTAGGAGCAGACCCCGAGGGCTTCGTGGTGGGTGTATTGATCTTTTTGCCATTCATCTTGGGAAGGAACTCCATTTCGTCCATGATGAACGGGCAAGGGCGAGATGGTGAGGAGTGGTGAAAAAAGTTGGATGAAGATAAAGATGGAGATGACGCCAAGGTTGTCAGGGCAAGTGAATTAAAGTTTAAAGTTTAAAGAAACGCAGGAACAGCTCTAGCAGTGACAACATTCTCTCCATAGAGGTAAATGTACATCAATAACTCTCGTGCATCCAGGAGGATATCTCCTGCAGTGTATTGTTCGCCCTATACACACCCATGCCAAATGATAAATAACGATAGAACCAATGAATGCCAGCCCATCCTCCCAATCTGGTCCGTCCTTCCACGACATGTCAAACCCAAAGATAACACCCAATGCCGAAGACAAATCAAATCGGAAAAACCAACAAGCCCCGAGAGCGATGATTATAGGATACGCAAATAAAAACAATGATCTAAAACGCCTCATTGTGACTGTGACGGTCCAAAGGCGCCACTAGCAGAAACACCTTCGCCGCATAGACGCTCATACACGGCTCCATGACAGAGCCAATCCACCTCGCGGACTTTCTCCAATTCTTCCACCAGCTGCCCGACTTCGCCGACGAATTCGGGCATCCCTGCTCCGGCGAGGCTCTGGCTGGCGGTCGTGGTTGCCTTCACTCGCTCAGAGGCGCTGGATGCGCTGAGGCGGGAAAGGACGTGGCTTCGGAGTCGAGAGAGGATAAGTCGGGCCACGGGGTCGGAAAAGCTAGGTGCAGGTGATCCGCTTCCACGGCCTGCTTGGGAATCATCGCCGGAGAATGATGGTGCGGAGTTCGTCTCGGTCGAGACTTCCACTGCGGCCTGCGGCGTAGCTACCCCGTGGGCTGTCGCGACGGGAGCAAGAACTCGTCGGATAGTGGCTGCTAGCTGTGCGCTTGCAGCGGGGGGCATAGGATGCGTGGACTCGAGAATCGACTGCACTCGATCCGCACGGATCTCATTGAAGTCCAGGGAGAGGATGCGATCTGCTTCGGGCTTCCATTGCGATCGGGCATCCCGTTTCAGCAGGTTCTTAGCGGTCAGCAAGATAGATGCCGTCGCGACAATTTGAAATGCCTTGGCATGCAGCCGTTCCAAACGCTGGCGATCAAGGGACAGAGTCTCAGGGATCAGATCCTCTGATACAGCGGCATTACTCAGCACCAGGTCTGCAAGACCCTGAGCATAGATCCGGGAGGCATGAGGCCGTGGCTCTCCGTGGATGTTCTCAGGATCCCGTTTCTTCATCTCATCGACAATGATCTTCCGATGAGTGCGCCAAAACCGTCGAGTCTTTCCTAAGCTGGCTGATCCGTCGCTCAGGGCCCGATCAAACGTTCGCTGTTCATACCCGGGAGCCTCTTGGATCAGCTGCGGAGCGGCCACCTGGATCATGAAGTTGGTGTGATCCAAAGAGAGCAGATCGATGATGCTCATCAACCTCACCAGTCGATCAATGGCATCACCGGACGTGTCCTCGGAAAAAGCGGTGACCTCCGGATCCCGGTATGGAGCACAGAGACGCGGCAAGATGCTGTTCATGAAGTTGAAGAAATTCTCATAGGAGAATGTACCAGCCTTGCATTGGCTCTCTACCAGCTTGGGATCCAGGACCTCGCTGATCAGCACATAGAGGGAATTGCCGGGTCGAAGTGAGCGCAGCAGACGGTCTTGGATCACCGTAGCCATGGCGACAGTCCAGTCTGTCCCAAACCCGGCCTCAATATCTCTCCGCATCATGTCACACATGTGCTTCATGATTTGTCTGCGGGGTTCGGTGTACGGGGCTTCCTCGATCTTAAACTCTTTGTTGATGAGCAACTCGTGCACTAGGACCCGATTCTCGGGCAGCGCGGTGAGAATCTTGGTGAACCGCTCATGCGGCGACACCCGTTGTTTGTCCAGCTCTTGCAAAACCCCAGAATCCACGTTGTTGAAGCTCTCGCTAATAGGCGATGTGACACTCTCTGTCAAGGCGTCTGTTGACGGCGCAGCTTCGGCAGACCGAGGAATATCTTGCTTGGAGGCAGCACGCTTCTTTTCCCGCTTGGCCTTCTTCAGCGCATTCCGAACAAGCTGCATCGCGCTGTCAGACCCGGCAAGCCGCTTGAGTCTGGCGAGGAGGAGAATCTGGTTTTGTCGGATGCCCTGTCGGTAATCCTCCGCAACGCCTCCGGCTTGGTCGTCTTTGACCGTCTGCCAGATAAGTTCTAATTCAACAAATTGCGCAAGCATAATCTCAATCAAGACAGTTGAGTCGTGCGACTTCCACGCATGGAATGCCGAAAAAAACACATTGTAGGATTCACACAATGTCTGAAGGTCGGCAGTGATGACCGTCGGTGAGCAGCAGCCCGATGACAGTAGCGCGATGACCTGATCAAAGGCCGCTAGCAGCTCCCGGGCCTTGGCGATCAGGTCCTGTTCCTGTTCGCCGTTGCTGCTCAAAACTTCGGTTGGATGCGTCACAATCAGATAGCTGCTGAGGAACGTGCGCACGGCACCCCGCTCACCCATCGCGCCACCTTCCATATCTTGTAGGCCACAGAGACGGAGGACTCTGGCCATGGTAGCCAGCACCTCTTGGTTGGAAACCAAGGCTCCGACCTCCTCAAAGGTCATGGCACGAATCCGGTCGACCGAGAGATTTAGGGACCGGAATTCCTGCATGACCATCTTTGCGTGATGAGTGCGCCAAACCCGTTGAATCTTCCGAGCCGCCTCATCCTGGGTCAGCGACTTGGTGACTGCGAGGGCCATTTTCTTCTCCTGCTCGGCAGGCAAGCTGCTCGTGCGTTGGCGGCGATGCGTTTGCTGGTAAAGCGTGCGGCGCTTCTCAGCCTCTGCGAATTTCTCCGCCATCTCCAGTCGCAAGCGGGCGTGCTCTGCAGCTTTCTTCTCACGATGATCCTCCGCCTTCTTCTTGGCCCGCTTGACTTGATCTTCGCACTTGGCAGCAATATCAGCCAGCAGACGCTCACGGGCCTGCTGGGCAGCCAATGCTCTCTCCTCGATGTGCAAATTCCGGGTAGCTGCTTTGGCCAACGCGGCGCGCAGCCTCACTTTCTCGGCATGTAAGGCGCGGTCGGCCAATCTTGCCTTGCGACTCTCCAGAATAGAGGTGCGGCGGAGGTGTTGGTCAATGTGATCGGTGCTCGGGGTGCCATTCGACGAGGCATTCGAGTGATGCGAATGCAGAGACGATATCGAGCTTCTCCGCGAGGAGGCAGCCGACGAGCGGCGCACTTTGCTGTTTCTGCGGTAGAACCGGGCGGCAATGTGTGGCGGGAGCGTCAACGGCGGCGTCTGTCCCTCGGCTGACATCTCCACGTCGGGCTCGTTCACAGGCTCCGGCGAAACGGGAGAAACAGAGCTGAGCGCAGCATCCGGGAGCTGAATCTCGATGTCTGAGTTGCGGCGGATCATCGTCTTAGACTAGGTAGAGAGCGCAACGCGGTCCCGGCCAGGGGAGATCACCGGCGGGGCAGAATCGACTGATAAGCGGGTCACACAGAGGGAGGAGGACGGTAGGCGAGGAGCCGTCTGTGGGAAATGTGGCGCAACAGCAGTATCGCTATAATCCGAGACTCACGGGCGAGAAAACGAAGGGAAGGACCTCCCAATCAAAGGGGGGTGTTTTGGCTTTGATAAGGGTTGGAGTTGCGGAGAGATCCGTGCTCGTTTCAGAGTTGGGAGTTGAGGAGTAAAAGGACGAAGGCGAGAGATCAGGGGAGCATGATGAGCACAGCCCAGGTGATTAAGGAGTGGACAGGGACCGAGTCAAACCCGGAACCAGCAGACCCAAAGTCATTTCGGGGAGGAAATGATGGAATCAGATGGCCGCAAGCAGAAAGACGTCAACGCTTAGATAAGCGGGTCCAAAGCCCTAAGAATAAACAAATAATTATGCCGTAGTGATTCAGACGGGGAATGGTAATGATGAGGAAGCGATGCTGTTTACTCTATTCTACTATGCGCAGCCCAACCCTCATCTGCCCCTTCCCTCCGCGGTTTGCCCGCAAGTAGTACGGCACAAAACACAGATCGCGTTTCTCCCCCAACACGCGCCCGGGTTCTGCGACGATCTGCCGGCTCCAGGGCGACGTGTCGAGCTCGCCCTGGGCTCCGTTTTCAGCAATAATAGCCACGTACTGGTCTGGCTGAGCCCGGGGTTCTTCGTGCAAGGGTGCCTTAGGATCGAAGATCGTCATCTACATCTCATCGTCAGCTTCTTTTCCGTCTGCATTCCGGACCGACACCACACTGACCTTGAAATGACGCTGCTCCCACGGGTGATCAGCATCCTCCACGCAGTACACGATCGGGCCCCGTGTGATGTATGCCACGGGCTGCCTGGCCAGTGGGTGTGGCTGAACCACTCGTGGCCGCATGGGACAATTCAGGCGGAACTGTGGGTGTTGGTGCAGCCACTCAGCGCTCAGATGCAGATATCCATGTCGGACATCAAGCGCATCGGGTTGAGGTATGATATCCCATGTTTCTCCCGCCCATCCGGGAATCCTCAGTCGCACTTGGAGATCTACGGGAGGTCCCTCCACCTGGACGCTAAAGTCTACCTCGCCATCCCATGGCCAGTCTGTCTTCTGCGCGATTTCGACTTTCGACCCTGAGACCTCAAAGCGTAGAGTGGCCGCAGTATACAGATGCACATTGACCACAGCGCTCTGCTCTGTCACCGTGTGGTTCCACACATATCCCCCGAGGTACCCGAGCGTCCGGGTGACATTGGGCGGACAGCATGCGCATTCGAACCATTCATGGCGCCGCGAGAGATCCTTATCGGAAGAGGCCAGCTGATTCACATAGGTGAACGCCTTCCCGTCGAGGCTCATGCCTGTCAAGACGGCATTGTAGAGACAGAGTTCCATGATGTCGGCATAGTGGCTATCGAGCTCGAACTGGTCCGGGTGAGCAACCAGTTTCTTCACGTAGGGACAAATCCTACCTGCAACATGCGCTCAGCGAGCATCATGACTCCAATCGCGGCGCATGTCTCCGCGTAACAGCCACCTTCGTCCGTGCCCTGGGGCAAAAAGTAATCGATTCCAAAGCCTTCCCACTGCTTCATAGCGCCAATCCCGCCAGTCACATAGGACTTCTTTTCGATCATGTTAGACCAGAGTCGATGCACCGCGGGCAGGAAGGCAGTTCCAAAGTCGCTATCTGGCTGGCAGATTCGGACTAGGTCTGCCACTGCCGTAAGAAGGTACATGGCACGGACCGAGTGTCCCTCGATTGTTTCTTGCTTGACTATAGGTAGATGTGCTTGCTGGTACCTATTTTGCTCTTGTCAGTGTGATATATGATCAAGGATATTCGGCTCGTACCAGTAGCTTTTGACTGCCGGGTAATACATGGGCAGCTCGTTTTCTTTCTCGCCTCGTGCTTCAGATTCCACGTCGTAGTAGTGTCGTTTGTCCTTTCCTCCAGCCGTGTTTCCTCTCTCTTCTATAAAGAACCGGGCCAATCGAAGATGTTTTGGATCATCCGAGACTCTATACAGACGAAGCAGCGCCAGCTCGATCTCCGGGTGGCCAGGATAGCCGGGGATTTGATCGTCTCGGTCACCAAATTTCTCCGCGAGAAGATCCACATACTTCAAAATCGGGGCCATCATTTCATCGTTCTTATAGTACAGACGGTGGGCGAGTGCGCCCTCAATAAGATGCCCTGCATTGTACCTTGACATCAAAATTGCCGTTAGCTAAATTCAGACGTGGCAATCTAAGTCATACAGTTCGTGCATATCTCGCAAGTTTGTAAACCGCTTCCCGGGCTCAACGACAGAGTAGTGGATATTCAGGTATCCGTCCGGATGCTGGGCAGATTGAATCATCTGCACCAGCTCTTTCACAGCCGAGTCAATTTCCGCGTCAAATTGGTCCATCAGCAGGTAACATGCGCCCTCAATCCACTTCGCTACGTCTGAGTCCCAGAACTGGTGATTGGGAATCGGCCAGACGGTGGGCGGGTTCGAGTAGCTTGGGTGCCATTGCAGTTTGAACGCATCGTAACGCCCTGTGCTTCTCAGCATGTGAAGCTGATGTCTCAGCGTTTGCATCCGGACCACATCGCGACGACGCGCCCAGAAAGATCCTGGTGCGAATGTAGTCGCGGCGAAGCTTTCTTGCGGATAACTCATGGTCGAGCGAGACAAGTAAAGATCTGTGCCGAGAGGATGGAGGGGTTGAGGTCCATTGCCATCCTTATACCCATAAAATTCGGCCTCCCCTCCGTCCTTCGGGGCACAGGATCGGAGATTGAGCGACTACGTCAACGTCCCGAGATCCAGTCTCCTCGGCTTCCGGGAGTATGGTTTGTCTCCGTCGGTGCTATTTTGGCGAGTTGGGGCAAAACTCCGGCGGGGGACTAAATCTCCGGCGGGGCCGACAACAAAATCAAGCCTTTTGAGTTGCGTCTGTTCGCCGGAACTGGAGCTCCCCCGCATAAAGGACCCGAGTTTAATGTGGAGTTCCGAACTTTCATATATAACAATGAGGGGTGGGGTGATCATCCCTCAGGGCTGCGAAGATATTCAGTGACTGCACGGCAAGATGGGTCTCGTCGAGAAGTTCCTCCCTAAGGATGACCGGTGAATATATTCTTCTTTTTTGTTCTCATCCAACGCTTGACTGACTTGTTTCTAGCTTTGCGGCGCTGCTGTTGTATGGCATGGTCTTCTCGACCTGTTTCAATGGCTACGACGCGGGTATCATGACGGTCATTCTGGCCGACAAGCAGTTTATTCAATACTATGGCATCAACGGTAGCAAGTCCGGGCTGGTGGCCACTATTCCCTGGGCAATGACAGGTGAGTTGACTCTGTAATATCCATGAGATGGCTTATCACAGACTAAACCAACTAGGAATTGCCCAGCTCTGGCTTGGAGGCACGCTGGCTGGCTGGCTGGGCCGCCTGTGGGCGTTGCGACTCTCCATCTGCATCATGATAATCGGAGTGTATGTTTGTCATGCTCATGCTCGAGACCTGCCCTAACTGTAATACAGAGTGGTCGAGGTCGTCCCCAACAGCTTCGGCGTCCTCATCCTGGGCCGGCTTCTCACGTAAGTGATGTCTTCTCCTTATTCTTTCCATCGCGCTAAAACCAGCGACCAGAGGCCTGGGCTTTGGCTGCGTCTACATCGCAACAAACCTCTATGTCGCAGAATGTGCACCCACCAAGCTCCGAGGGAGCTTCGTCGGCACAGTCTCCCAGTTCGGCTACCAGCTAGGCACACTGATCGCCTTCTGGGCCGGCTACGGCATGTCCTTCCACAAGTCGCCCTACAACATTGCCTGGCGAGTATCAAACATTATTCAGATTCCTATCGGTATTGCCTTCATCTTCGTTTCATTCTGGTACCCCGAAAGCCCGCGCTTCATGCTGGAGAAGTACCCGGAGACGCCTGAGCGTGCTCTCAAGATGCTCAGTCGGCTGCGGTCCGGCGCTCCAACGGATGAGCGTATCCGAACTGAGTTCCACGAACTTGTTGCCTCGTATGAGTTCCGTAAGAGATACGATCCGGGATATATGGGTCTTCTCAAGAGCAAGAGCATGCGGAAGCGTCTTGCGTATGGATTTTACGCTGCGGGTCTTCAACAGGTTTGTTTCTTTCTCGCCGGAAGTAAAGGCAATGTTGACATTATTGATTTCAGTGCGGAGGTATTGCCTCTCTCACTATGTATGCGACCCTGATCTACCAAAGTCTGGGATGGAATTCGGGCTCGCAGGCTCTCTCCATCAACGGAATCCAGGCCGTTCTACAACTCCTGATCGTCCTCGTGAATACCTTCACCGTGGAAAGATTCGGCCGACGAGGTCTTCTGCTCGCCGGGTTTGCTATCCAGTCACTTGCGCTTCTCATCATGTCGTGTCTGACCACCGCATTCCCTTCTAACAACAACAAGGCTGCCGCAATCGTGGAGGTTGCCATGCTCTTTATCGTTGGCTTGACGTATTGTTGGTCGAACGGTCCCATTGCTGCGACGGTGGTGTCGGAGATTTTCCCTCAACATGTTCGGGACAAGGTGAGTCTTGGAGAACACACCCAGGTAAGGCACTTGCTGACACTCGATATTAGGGGTTCGGTCTCTCCATGCTTGGTCAGACTAGCTGGCTGATTCTCCTCACGCAATCGTGGCCTGACTTCAACGCCAAAGTCGGTGGACACAGCTATTGGCTGCTCTTTGGGCTGAATGTGGCTGCCGGGGTGGGTGTGACGCAATCTAGACAATTTTCAGACTGCTAACCGTCTCCATAGATTTCCGTATACTTCATTCTCCCCGAAACCAAGGGCATATCTCTTGAGCGTATGGAGAAGATCTTCGGGGAATTGGACTTTGTCGAGGCTGGAGAGCATGAATCGGACACGGAGAAACGCGAGGCCTTGGCCCTGGTCACCGAGGGCGAGAAGGCACCGGCTGCGCATGTAGAGAATATCGCCAGGGATATTTCTTCTCCGGGACCGGAGAGATCCCCTGCTTGATTGGCTATAGTTTTCAGGGTCTAATGTCACGATCTATTGATAAGAATTGTTTCTGATTCGGGTATATGGGGAGACGACCAGAACAGAACATGCAGTCCCAAAACACCGTCATGATTTCTCGGATGCAAATGCCGCCTCGCAAATGAAATGTGCGCCACTTTCCGGCGGATGGGGATCTCCCAAGAACGCCCGAGCTCGTTCCCAACTTTCAGCCCTGTCCAGTTTCAGGATATTTTAGTTTCCCTGATGATTTAGTAGTGGCGGGCCCAGAAACGTACCCCCACTCCTCAGTCATGGCCGCAAGAGCAGAAGGTTGCTCAAATTCAAGATTCACAATCAAACAAATACTCCCGTCAATAATTGAACCCGTTGCTTCGCTGTCAGGCATACTCTCAGAGTAGACAGTCAGATAGAGTCCATAGCATTCAAGAGGAATTTACGCGAGGATGGCTATGAGCCCTCAAGGCGAGGACGTTCTGCAGAACCCCTGGGTTTTGTGTTTAATGGCCGAATAATCAGGCCCAGCTGATCCACAGCAATAAAGAATTTGCTCCAGGCGACAATACGCATACGCAGACTCGAGAACGCTTCATCTCATCGATGACCAAAGATGTCGATTTCGTCCTCGTCATCTTGGTCTTCCTCGTCATCGTCATCCCGGCTGCCATCTGATCCAACATCGGACGATTCACTACCGTCCTCCTCGCCGTCGGTGGCTGACTTTTCTGATTTCTCATCCGCCGGTTGCGATTCACCACCAAGGAACCCATACCGATATCTGAGCTTCTTGCTCAAGAAGTTCAGTGCGCCATAGTCATTTTCGCTAGCAGTCCTCGACAGACCTCCAAAGAATGGCAAGGAGGAAGGTTTCTCGGATTCACGTTCAGATGGCAGACCAAAGTAGTTCGTGACTACAGGCGAAATGGCACGGTCTCGTGTAATGCTGTAGGACGAAAATTGCCCGTCAGGACCCGCGGATAGCCGTGGTCCGAGATGCGAGCTTGGGACCGAGGTCGCGTTGAGGCGCAATGCTGCAAGCGATGAGGATACTGATTCATCATTCGCGTTGAAAGATGATGCTCGGGTTCGAGGAGGTAGGCTGCCAATGCCTTCTTCCTCCTCAGTGGACTCTGACATGTCCCCCTGCAGAAGTCTGTGTTGCGCCGTATTATATGACTCGCACCTGAGCTCAATCAGCTGTATTCTGTTGGGATTCAGGAAATTGCACTTACAAGTCACATTTCAAGCCCAACCAATGGTACTTGACAACCGACTTCACGCCGCAGTCATTGCAGTAGATGAGACTTCTAGTATCCTTGAACTCAACAGGCATAGGTTGGCCCTCGATGGTGCGGTCCAAGTTGCGAAACGTTGATTCCATGTTCGTGATGGTCTTGCTGCATATTGGACACCGGAAAGAGCTCTTGGAGTATTCGGAAAGGCATTTGGAGTGAATGCTATGGCCGCATCGCATGACAACCACGGTTTCCGGAGAAGTGAACATATAGTCCCCACAGATCGGGCAATCGCACTGGGTAGACCGTTCAATGCACCGATGAGTGGTCTCAATTGAGATCGGCAGGCAGACGCAACATCTCTAATCTCTAGTTAGCATCACACAAAATACAAATTCCCTGAAACTTACCTTGCAATGGAAGAAATCCTTGCCGAGACCCTGTCCAATCCGACATATACCACAATCGCTGCAGTGGTAAATGCTCTTCTTGCTGTCATTGTCCCACAGCTTGCAAATATCGCAGTAGTACTGCGCAGTTTGCTCGCCGCATTTTCTACAATTCTGCGCCGCTGGTTGGGCGTGTCCACAGAGCATGCATAGCATATTTTCAGTTTCTCGGCGGATGAGATGATGTTCTTCGACCTCATCATGGCAGAACCGGCAGGTATACCACTTCTTGCAGGTGAAACATTGCAACTTGACATTTCGTTTGTAGTGCGGACACCCCAGACATGCATCTTCCAATTCTTCGGTATCATCCTCGGGGCATGCTTCGCCGGTTTCGCCGGCTGGAGATTCAGGCTCAGCCTTGGGTGCTAACGTGGGCTGCAAATCCTCGGCAGTGAGGGAGAAGGGGCTTTCAAGGACCGATTCTGTACCTGTGGGGGTCGTCGAATTGGGGTCCAAGGACTGCCAGCTCCAGCGAATCGTCGAGGCGTTGGGTCGCTCCGGCTTCGCTGGACTTGGCGGCGGAGACAATAGCACTGAGTGGGTTGGGAAGGTTTCTCGGGAAGAATTATAATTCTCTGTCATCAAATCATGGACCATGCGAGCTTTCTCCGGGTTGCTGAGTTCCAGATCTCTGATTGCGTGGATCTTCTTCCGTAGCGTACCCATTCCATCGTCTGCAGGAAGCGACAGCTGCCCCATCTCGTCCAGCATCACGTCATTGCCGGACACTGATTCACTTCCGGGAAGAGGTATTGGCCCTGATGTGCCATTTTGCGCAGACTCGCTAGGATGCGCAGCTCGGGGCTGTTCAGAACTCGGGTCGATGGTCATGTGGGAATCACCTCGTGTACCGCCGGGGTTTCCTGTAGCAGCCGGTATAACTCTAGGCCGTCCGGTCGACCCTTGTTCTAAATTCCGTCCATCCATATCTTTCGGTAGGGCTGGGAGGAATGCAGAGCCATGCAGGCAACGTGCATCTCCGATCCTCGATTCTCGCCCCGGGCAGTCTTGGCTTGGTTGGGGGATTTGTTTTTCTTCAGTCTCGCTCGAGGAAGAGTTCTTTTGCGGGGTGCTCGACGGAGGGTCGGTCAGGTCGTTGGTGACATGCGGGCGAGGGGAGGCTGGCCGGGAAGGAGGGTGGGGTTGGCGGAATCCAAGTTCTATCAGCAGCGTCGAGAGTAAGCTGCTCATGAAGGGCCGATGGCAGTCCGCAATGGGGATTGCATAACGCAAGAAGTTGTCGTGGGCTGTTTGTTGCTGCAGCACAGGGACATGTGACGTTTCGGGGCTGCTGAATCAGCATCACATGGGCTGGGGCACCGGATGGTGTTAACCCTTGCCAGAGCTGAGACAGACAGTAGGCTATGCAGGATGTATACAGATTGGAACGATCTCTCTCTTTACTTGTACCCCAGTATGCCCGGTAAGTTGGTTCTATCACCGCTTCACTCGATAAAACATGATCGACGGCGGCCCGCTCGTACCGGGGATGCGCCTGATTGGCCCGCTCGTTTACGATGGGGCATTTTACGAGCAGAGAGATCGAGCATGGAGATATAAAAGGGCGGTAGCTGGCAGTGTCGATTCCGGTTTCATTACATTTATTTGCAAGTGGATTTTATTGTGTCCATCATGGTTGGCCGCAACGATCCTAAGAATGGATGGTAAGTTCATTATCATGGTCTGGAAAGATCTCGTCTCTAAACTACACCAGGTGGATGGGTCCGCCGGGAAACCAAGGTAATGCCAACAAGACCCAAAGTAGAGACCATCTGGAATGACGTCCAACCCCTGCAGTCCTGCCCAGCCCTCAGCGTATTGCGAGCTACGCTCTCTCGCCGAACAGGCAGCGGCCGATGGCTGGCGCGCTACACGCAGCCATCTTCAACATGTTCCGTCGATTCAGACATCAGGTCTTATACGTGGTGCCTCCGTTTATCATCGCCTTTGCGGCCATGAATTGGGCGAACGAAAAGTAAGGCGAACCCCTCGACGGGGTTGCGGAATGGCGCTGAATCACGGTATCACAGGAACGAACGTTTGAATTCGAAGGAGGGAAGACTAGCCCAATCACAATCAGGGCTGTGATGGCGTTGGTGCGAGGGACGGAGGTCTTCCTCTTGTGACAATGACCCCCTCGGGCGATCAGCACTTGTATTGCCAATATTATTCAAGTTCCCCTGGTGGTACATTCGTAAAGCCGACCTTGGGCTGACGGAGGTGATCGAGAAGAACAAGGTAGCCCGTGTAGTCGTACTCGTTCATCCTTCCCGAACCATTCATTGGTCTTCCATGTCGGACACATCGTGTGGGCATAACCCATTTGGGGAAACTGCTTTGTCACACGAGACTACGTGCCCAAGACGAAGTCCAACAAGAACATTTTCGTCACCATTCGTAGTCAGACAGAACCAGCGCGATTCCAGTCAAACGTATGCCAACGGGTTCATCACCTTAGACACGTCCCCAAGCTCTGGTTCAGGAGCTCCAGGGTCGAGTTGAGCTGCTCATAGGCGCTTTTCCGCAACGAATGTTCCGAGTTCCCGAGCCCTAGGCTTCGCAAGCTAAAAAGGGTCAGGCACCTGTCCCCACCATTGGGCTGCCATGCAGAGACGGCACTTACACTTTCGACTCTCTGCGGGCCCCAGGCAGCTCCCAGTATCTGCAAAACAAGATATTTTTCACAATCTTGTGCTCCAGCCCCGTGGTCTTGGTCGCTCGTTCGAGGAAGAGGAGGGTGTTGGCAATTCTGGTGGGATCAAAATCCTCGACCGAGGAGGAGCGAAAGCTGTTGCGCATCGTGGTGCGTAGGACATGGCGGCCGGGGACCGAATAACGGATGGCCTTCAATGCCTGGCGGAAGAGGTGATGGTATGCATGTAGCACAGCTCGCTGGTCCAGCAGGGGACTACTGGGCATGATTCGTGGTGGTGGTCGCCAGCTACCAGAAGCAACACTCCGGACGAGCAGGAGGGAAGCTAAACCTGATCGGGCCGGAGGGAGTTAGTTGGTCACTGGGTTTGGGCCGCCAACAATGAACTTAGTTTCGTATCTTATCAGTGGACTTTCCTCTCGTCTTTCTTCCCCCACCGTCTTTTGCATCGCTTCCCTCCACCCCTCGTTTACTTTGCCCAACTTCCTCTTTTACGCTGCCATCAGCATACCAGTGTCATCATGTATTGATGCCACATCCTCGTCGGTCTGGCTAGACCCGACCGGAGCAAAAATGGCGAGAGTGCTGCGAGGCGCGTCGGCGCGGGCCCGGCGCGCTCCCAGTCGGGCAGCCCAAAGGAGGGTCCGAAAGCACAAAGTCATCCTGGAGTCGGTGACCCAGGAAAAGAGAAAGCTTCTGAGTGTGGTATGCTCTTGTTGGGTCTCGGTTCGTGCGGGCCATGCTGAACAAACACCAACAGATCTCATTCGAAGCCAAAGCACCCCCGGGCTACACCTTCATTCCTGCGGGCAACCCGCATCTCACCACGGCCTGTAAGGAACGATGTCGAAAAGAGGCCCTCAAAATCCTCGCGGTCACGGTAAGACACAAGATCATTTTGCTTCTGGGATGCTGCTCATCTTCTGCGCCGTTAGACCACCCCACATCACAACACCCACGGCTTGTCGCAGCATGTCCACCGAATAGGATACCATTTCCCGAGCACCGTTGTTGCGGCCGCCTGCCTAGAACTGGGAATGCATCTTACGACCTCCGGAAAGGCGTTTCCACTGCAAACAATGGGTAAGGCGAAAGACCGCAAGCGAGCTGACTCCGACGTTTCTGTTTCTCAAATCACTCTCAATACGGAGGCACGAGATGTTCTGAAAGATCTTTTCCCCAACATCCCGGCCAACGACCTCAACCAGATCATCAAAACCGCGTTTCAAAAGGTGCGTCGGTGAGAGTTCCCTGCAGCTTTGACGTCTCTAATATCGGTGGTGGCCAGGGTCAAGGCAAAGTGGGAACAGCAGCCGAATTGCCTCTAGCTCGCAGAGCCCAGCTCGCCGTAGTTGCGCACATCCGTCACATTTACACCGCTTACGATTCCCTCCTGAAGACCACCTCGTTTCAAGAGGCTCGAACCTCCGTGGAGCAACCTACTCTAGCCAAGCTTGTGGAATGGCGCGGGGATGATGAGAACGGTCGGACCGTCCTCGAGGATGTTTTCCGCGAGGTGATCGTCATCTCAGATGACGAAGACAGTGAAATGGAGGAAGAGGTTTCTCGTCGACCCGGTAATCGGGACTACAGTGTCGAAATCCTTTCCAGAAATGCTCGGATCCACGAGATTCAGCCCCAGTCCGCTTCCACCGTGAAACCTACCTTGGATCCTTTGCGGGAACTGTCAGACGAGGAAGCACCTCCTGGTTTCCGGTTTGTTACAAGGGTACCGGCAAAAGATGCCGTCGACCGTCGAGGCTTTAGTAGATACCAAGCATGGGACTCTGCCCTCAACCGCTATCGTGCCGGGGCACGTAGTACTGAACAGGTCAAAATTGCTCCGGCCGAGCATCGGACACGGCTATATGACACTCGGCAAGTTACTGCCCAGGAAACAGTAGGTCCCACTAGGCACCGGAACGATGCCAAAGCTTCAACCCGGATTATTCCAGATCCAGGACCGGTTCACAGTCGGGCACAGAGACTGCTACCTGCTCCAGCCATGGACCGACAGGAAGTGGAAAATCGTGTGAGTACTCAGGAGGCATATATCTCTGTGGACGGTCAACGAAATCCCCCAAATTACGGGTCTCCGGGAAAGAGGAATGCACTAACTCACAAGAATGCCCACAAACCTCATACTTTGAATGAGGTCGCCCGCCACTACTTGTCAGACGACGTTGCCTCCAAAAGGGCTCCAGGTTCTCGACCGGAGAGATTGCCACTTCGGTTGGACGACAGAACGAATGCACCCGTATTTGTGAGCGGTCCCAATGAACAGCTCCAGGGTAGCGAGCTCCAATCTGGCCTTCGGCCACAGTCTGCCAATTTCCATCATGCAAGACCCGCGTTGAATCCCCAGGACTGTGTGCTGCCCTCGATTGAAACTCCTTGGCCCCTGGAAACCAGGCGCAGTGATGGCCGACTGGACTACCTGACGAAGAGGATGTCTGGTGTATTGTCCCTTCGTTCAGAAACACCGTCCCGTTCCCACGGACTAGCTTTCCATCAGGACAACCTTGTTGCATTAGATGATAACAGAGATCAAATCTCCAAAAGAAGGCGATTGGCGAATCATGGGGTTGTACCTCATCACGACCCACGTCCGGATCCTCGAAATGCGAGACCCGTTCTACCTCCTGTTTCTAAAAGTCTTCCTGGAGATCAATATCGCCAGGTTGAAGCCATGCCTCCACAGGATAGGCATCAGATGCGCCGAGATCACCTACCAGTGAAGCAGACTCATGCTGTAGGACACTTGTCGGAGAGGAATCTGGACCCTTATGCTCTGCGAGTCAATCCAGATGCCGGGCCGACGCTGGAGCGGAAGCATTTCAGTGATGCACAGCTTATCTCCGTCCATCCCCTCCAGCCTGGTTACTTTGCGCCCGGAGATGGCCACACTATTAGGGCTGCCCCGGAGGCAGGTGCACGCCGTGCTTACTATGATGATCGTAGTCCCCATGTCGGCCATGTCTCTTTTGTTGAACAGCCGTGGATCTCCTCACACCGAGCCTACATTGATGACGCACTCCCTGTGCGCAATGAAAACCCCCCAAACAGACACATCTACGCAGAAGACTTTGTCCGCCCCATTGATATCCGCGATCCGGATCCGTTTGAATATGTTGAGCACCGTCCAGGACATGAAATCAGTGATCAGCCTGGCCGTGCTAGGGTCGCTGCCTCTGATGCAAAAGATCCACCCCAAACCCGGGTTGTTTCTGATCCACATGGCCGAGTGTCTACGGGTTCCCGGGTGGTACGCAGTGCTCATGATCCTCCTATCCTTCGTGCAGTGACAACTGCTACGGACCAACCTCCTTCGGGGTATCATGAACGACGACCGGGTGTCACTTCTGCTCGGTAAGCCACCAGCATGGGAGTAACCCGTGGCTTTTGTTCGACATGGATGAGAGAAAATCAGTCGAGACGAACTAATACATGCGCAGGCACTTCCACGATCCTCCTCGCTCTTCTCAGATCCTGGAGCAAGACCGCCCTGTCTATGTCCAACGAGTCGAACCGCATACCCCCGCCTACTCTGTTTCCGATGGAAGATCTGTCGTGATCGTGGATTGAAGTTTGTCGGGATGTTTGTCGGGATGTTTGTTGTTGTTGTTGTGTGTTGCATTTTCGCGGTATTTTGAGTACCTACATAGTCCGTTCATACCCCATCTGCATTCCGGACTATTGGCGTTACATATTCCTTTGATTGAGTATCATTGCCGACTGCCAGTCGTTGGCATTTCTATCTGTCCATCATGTATCATTCATGTATTCATCAGAGCCCGTAGGCTGGAGTCAACCATAGACCTTCTCTCTATAACCCGTATATGCTGCCAACTGCAGCGGAGCTTTCCTTTGTGTCTTTTTTGCCAGTCCGGTGCCGACTCAAACAGCCATCTCCTGCCCATCCGCCTCGCCACTATTCACCGTCTTCCCCGTCTTCTTGATCTTCTCCAGCACTGTCTCATAGGACACATCCGGCCCGGTGTTAACGGTCGCAGTTTGAGACTCGAGACTGACGTCGAATTCCTTGACGCCTACACCGAAAGTCAACTGCCGCTGCTGGCTGACAAACGCGGTGCTTGCTTACCGTCCAGCTTCTTCAGCACGCGCTCCACGGCGCCGGAGCAGCCGCCGCAGGTCATAGTCACGTTAAACTTGTACGTGTGGTCCGACATGTTATGGGGTTGATTGTTGGTTGCGGGTGAAAGAGAAGGTGGGATGAGGGAGATCAGCACGGGGCGGAATAATAAGAGAGGTGAGGTGATTATAAACAACGGAGACAGGCACATTTGTAATGCCATCTATCCCTTTCTTGAGCCCTTTTTGCGATTGGCCTCCGTGGGACTCCTTAATTAAAAATACTTATAGGTAATGAATGGTAACGCCTTAAATGCTTTTTTGTTTATGTACAATACAGCGGCCAAAATGCCTGACTAGAATCCCGCCGCTCTCTTCTTCTTTTTCTTCGCTTTGGTGCTGGCCTCACGCCCTCCGAAATGCCCGCGCTCAATCTGTGTCATCGGCTCGTCGAGTGTCGGCTGACTGCTCAGCAGCTGTGGCGCCTCGCTTTCCCCCTGCGTGCCCCAGCTGCGCACCGTCCGCACCGCCGAAGGGGTGGGCTGGGACGAGGCAGCCGGGGCCATGTCCTGTTGTGATTGTGATTGCGACCGTTTCTTGCGCAGCCGGTTCTTGGGGGTGGAGGCCCGCGATGTCCGTTGGGACATCTCTTCCTCCAGCATCTGGGTGGTCCGGGTCCAGGTGTAGTCGGCCGGGTCGCTTCCAGGCTGCCAGTGCGAAAGGAGGGTTGCCACGTTCGGAGGCATCGAACGTGGGGTGTCGAGAGTCGTGAATGAGGAGAGGCTACTGTAGATAGGAACTGAGGCTTCTGGCTGCTCGCGTGGGGCTTCGTTTTGTGGGGTTGCTGGTTCATGGTCTGCCATTGGACTCAGTAGACCGGGCGTCGTGCCCTGGCTAGAAGGTTCAACTTGTGATGTCGCCGATTCTTCTTCGCTGGCCTGAGTCTTACGGCCGGATGGTAGAGGGATTGGGTTATTGGACACCAGGATGAGGCGTGATAGGAGGAGATCAGTCACGATTCCACGGACGATCTTTTCTTTCATGATTCTTGTTCGTACGGGGATGTTCTGGGAGAGACTGGATAGCCAGTCATGGACCAGTTCATCATACGACTTCAAGAGATCCAAATTGGAAAACTCCTCCCGTGTGCCGGTGGGTAGGCCAACGAACAGGTTCGAAAACCTCTGCGGTAAAATCATGAAATGGCGTTGAGTCTCATCATCAGCCGTCTGAGGCACCAGTGTTGAGATGAGACGTTCAAGATCCCGAGCATTCTCATCGATGTCGTTAATCAAGGGACTTCCATCGTTGAGCTCAAGCCTGGCACTGATTAGCATGATATCCTCCGGAGAGTCTGTAGAGCTGGCTTACATCGTTTCACCTCGCCCCTCATCCCTCACGGCCTCATGTATAACCCGATTCGGGAAATTCTCAAGTAACTGGCTAAAGGTTTTGTTTTGTGGTCCCTCATGGTCCTCATTGGTAACACCTGCTGCCGCCTTTCCCGCTGCAACTTCATAGATTGGCACTAAATTCCGAGACTCATGGAGACTGGGGTCGAAGAGCATTCGGTGAGCGGTGAGCTGTGGACGGCTGCCGAAAGGAGCCACAGATTCGTCCCAGTCATCAACCACAAACTCATCATCGTCAATATTTTGTTGTTTTCGCTGAGCTCCAGGATGGCGTCTCTTTATCCGGAGCACATCACGCTCAGAGTACATATCGTCATTGTCCGTAATCCCTCTAGGGCTCGTGAAAAGCGACTCATGAAGAGCAAGATGTTGGTCCGCCCAGAAAAGCTTGAAGAGCCGTAAATCAGGATCGTAGCCTGTTCGGCTCATCGGGCCCGGAGTATGAGCAACTTCTCTGAACACCAAGGTAGAGTAGTGCTGATTGTCCTCGGGAGACGGCATTTGCAATAAGACGGGATCCGGCACGGATACTGGCTCTGTTTCTCCTTCCACTGGACTTGGACAGGAATACACTTGGACCAGCTCAGTAATCCGGGAGTATAGAATGAGATATAAATCTGGCAGGAGACGTATCAGCACTTTTAGTCTGCAATCTCAGTCGACAGAGAGAAAAAATTACCGCGGTCCATCAGCACGTCGCAGAGACGCAGTGTCGTGTCCTCTGAGTCTCGAAAATGGCGCCAGGCAAGGCGAGGCTGTATAGAGGGTGGTGAATCCTCTTCTTCTGGTAACATAGTCGTGGCAATATCAAACCACAGCACCCGAGAAGTCGTGAGTACAAAGAACTGGGAAGGATTTTGGGGGCTTCTTTGCACATCCAGCACCCACTCGGACTTCTTTGACAGCCCTAGTTCTACTGCTCTTGAACGAATTTGTTCGCCCTCCATTCGATAGATCGTGGTGCACCTGCGATCGGAGACAAGGAGCGACCACACATCACCAATCCACTCAATCGACGCCCATCCATCATGCCGAGGACAATTGGGACTGTCTTTGTAGTCTGACAAGGGTGGTAACGACCCTGACTTAATAAAGGTAACAGGTAAAGTCCTCCCTCCTCGTCGCTGGCGCCCTTTGATCTCCCAAACACTCCAATTTCCCTGGGTATCAACGAGAGCGAATTGCTTCTGGTACCAAGGATTAAAGGTCACATCGGCATGGGCGAAACCGCCGGTGACCGATATTGAGACCTCCGAGACGGGATTGGCATCAAGTCGGGTATTGCGTAGAGGCATGTTGCTTTCTGCTGGATAGCCGCCATGTATGTGCATGGGCACTGGGTCGCGGTGATATAGCGGGTGAAAGATGACGGTCGACTCTGCGAGGCGCACGGCCATCCAGGTGGCCTTCTCGTCGATTGATCGTGCAAAGCAGACTTGACGAATAGGCGCGCCGCCTTTTGACCACTCAGTGGTGTCTGACCCGCTGAGGGATGGGACGCGCATCTCCAGTCGCTCGCGCTTCAGGACCTCGATATCTTCCACCATTCGTGAAAGGAAGACGGAGTTCCCACATTCTCCGGAGATGGCTATGGCGATTGGAACCTGGCGGTGGCTCGATTCTTCGCTTCGATAATCCACGGCATGACCGACATCGAGGGTTGAGGAGACCAGAGGGTCGTAGTTGTCCGTGGCTGTCGTAACCACTCTAGAGATGGCCTCCTCGCGAGTAGTGGTAGTTGAGGACCAGGCTACAGCCAGATCGGAGTGCGTCTGGGGGATGATATTCCGGTTCACTCTGCGCGGTCGAGAGAGTATCTGCTCGGGAGCCCGCCGTGACGATGGCACTCGTGTCTTGGTCTCTCCGGTGTACGAGATCACGGTAGCTACATAAACGTTAGCGTCGCGCACACTGGCTTCCAAGGACCGAAATGGCTTACGCCTCGCCAGAGTGCGCGAAAAAGACCATGACTGGACCTCTTGGAGGTAGACTGCTCGTCCCAAGTGCCCATAATGCAGAGCACTGCTGGAATGTTCATCCATCGGATCGCAGTCGGATTTTCGCGAGAGGCGGATAAAGCATATCGAAAATGCAGAGCGACAGAGCCTCAGTAGTAGTATATACGCGGCATGATGACGGTCCAGAAGGAAGAGGATGGTTGAAGTGTTCAGACTCGAGGGTTAATTTTCCCGCTTATCGATAAGGACCCCGTTACCCCCGTTGCGCCGCAACAACACCGCGTTGCTTCTCTCTTGTCACTCTCCATCTTCACCACCAACACCACAGTCACCCGGATTGCTGTCTGCAATATGGCCTCCTTCGAACCATCGCTCTCCACGAGCGGCATGCGCCCCCCGCTCGCCTCAGCCGACGCGCCATCAATGGCCGACTCGCTTCCCAGCATCAACTTCGGCTTCGAGGACCTGCGCAACCGCATGGCCCAGTTTACCGCCAAATTCGACGCCTTCATCGAGCGTGGCCGAAAGCAGGTATTGGAGGAGCGAAATCAATTCCACATCAATCTCGCCGAACTGCAAGGTAGGTCGCCCTCATGCCCTGAGCGAGGAGAGAGACAAAGATTGACGCGCCATTTCCAGAGGACGAGCGGATGCGCCAGCGAGACATCGAGATTCTCACCCTCAAATCCCAAACCCATGAGCAAACCCTCCAGAAAGAAGCTGCCGAGGCGGCGGAAATGCACGCGGCCATCTCTTCCATCACGATGGAACGCGACTCCCGCCTTGCGAAGCGCGACCGGCTCAAGCAGCAGATTGCCGAGACGCAGAAGGCGATTAATCAGAAACTCGAGGCCCAGAAAATTCACGCGAAGCATTTGGATGCGCAATCGCGGCTCAACCTGCCCGAACTGGAGTTCTGGCAGGATTATCTTTGTTTACGGATTGATGGGGCTGGTCGGGATGATCGGTTGAAGTTTGTGTATAGTCATCTGTTGGAGAAGGACTGGGAGGCGGAGGCGTGGTTTGAGCTGGGCACTGCCAGTCGTGACTACGAGGTGTTTCGTACGCGGCCCAAGCTGGACGCGGAGGCCTTGGAGCGAGAGGTGGATTTGGTCAATGAGGATCGGGACTTTGGTGCGTTTCTCAAGCGGATGCGCAAGTTGTTTGTGGATGCGATGAATTAAGAGGGCAGTAGTTTAGCGTTTTCTTGGGTTTTGATGATTATGGAATTGCATGAGTTTTATGCACAATCAGTCATGTCCATGGACTTCGTCAGATGTAGTTGATTCTTCTCAACCCCCAGTTGCCTCCCGGTAGAAAGACAGACTGCGGTTGGCCCCGGCGGTTGCAAATCCTTCGGTTTTTCCTGTCTTGGGGAGCCACTTGACGCTCCAGAGTGCTTTTTCGGTCTCGGAGTGTGTAGCCACACATAACTTGGTGTCGATTGACCAGACCTTGACTTTTCCATCAAACGATCTGGAATAGATGTCAGTCCATGGCCAGAAATGAAGAAGGCATTGGGGACGAACCCGCTGAGAAGATATTCGCCGGTGTGACTCCAGGCTAGAGACATGATCCACGCGGAGTGGCCGGAGAGGTTGGCAACTTGTTCGCCGGACGATGTATCATACAGCACGATGACTTTGGAATCACCAGCTGCCGCTAGCAGCTTGCCACCGGGCGAAAAGGACACCGCTCGGACGGGCTTCACCAGACCTGCATCGGGTTAGATCATTGCATGTCCTCTCGGTGAAGTCCGGGGCATACCTGATAGAGAAAACGGCATGCGGCCGGTTTCCGTGCTGAAAATGTAGACGGCACCATTTTCGTGCCCGCTAGCAATGAACCGGCCATCCGAAGACTGCATGAACGAGTCAATGGAAGAGAACCATGGATAAGGTGGAGTGCACAACGTACCAGGTCGATACATGTACCGAAACTCCCTTTGGTTTCATGGTCGCGTATTTGAGTCCCCTCGGCATTCAAGTCCCATACCTTGATGTGTCCGTCCTGCGTGGCACCGGCCAGGTACTGTCCGTCCTGGGACAAGGCAATCGCCCAGGCGTCCGCCGCCGTCAGACTGGCTGTGATGGCACTGTCCGCGGACCAATTGCCCTCCTGATAGCACCAAATCTTTATGTCCCCCGCAAAGCCAGCACTGGCCGCCCGTTGCCCCTTGGCGTCGGTTACAATATGGTGGCAGCCCACTTTGTGGGCATCGTCGATGGACTGCACGAGCGGGAAATCGGTGTCGGTGGTGGAGTGAACCTTGAGCGATGACGCGCCCGAGGCTGAAAGGATATGCTTGTCAGTCACGGCCAGGGAGAAGATGTCGATTGGGTGCGCTGGACGAAGTCAGTCATGAACCGGCACCGAGAGTTGACTGTCTCCCCACCATTGTCTGCCGAGCCCCACGACAGATATTGTTTCGACTGTCGCGATCAGCTGTGGGCGCATGCGCGCTTAGGGTCTAGTCACTCTTACCATGTTGTGTTCCACCCGAGTCGGGAGGAAGAAGAAGAAGAGGAGGAGGAGGAGGAAGTGGTGAGGTGGGCGGAGTGATGTTGGCGGGCCAGTTTCCGCCTTGAGGTGTACATTTACAAAGGTATTCAATGGAAGCATAGTACAATCAAACCAATATTTTGGGGGTTGGTCGTTATTCCCCGACAGAACCAGACGCCAGATGCCATGCAGCAGTATATATCCACAACCCAATTCTAGAAGTACAGTATTCTCTCCAACCCGCGGTCGTGCGAACCGCTCCATCCAAGCCAAAGTACGAGTCGTATTTTATTTCCCCAGTGGGATTCACATCTTAGGCGGCTTGTTTCCACGACTGCTTGATCTCTGCACGAGGAATGGATCAGTATTGACGCTTTTCTGCGCGTGGAGCGAGCACAGATGCATACCCTTGACGCAGTGAGGACACAGGAGGTGGGCGCGTTTGATCGAACCACAGCCCGGGCAGGTGTTCAAGCTCTTGACATCCTTCAAGGCCTTCCCCGCCATTTGCCGGTGACGTTTCTTCATGTGGGATGTCTTCTTCTTCGGCACCGCGCGGAGGACGGAGTCCCAGATGTCGGCCAGCGAGGGGATCTGGAGCGAGATGGGCTGCAGCAGTGCGGCGGGCAGGATGCGCCAGGGCCCGAGCGAAGCGGACAGTGCTCGCAGCGGCGCAGCGACCGAGAGCATGCGGGCGGACATGTCGACACGGCGGAGTGGGGAGGGAGAGGAGTGGAAGGGACAGAAGGAAAGATCGAAAGATGGAGAGTCTGGGTTTGTCGGGTGCTGGTCTGACTAACCCCGGTCGGGCCTAGCGCGTGCCCCCCCTGAGCCCCCCGAACTGTTTGTGCTTCCAGGGGGAAATAATCATCCTCTCCTCCATTCTCCTTTACATACCTCCAACCTCACCGCACCTCTCTTCTCTACCCGTCCCGTCATGGCCGCCGCGATGAGTGCCGCTTCGGCTAACCAGCCCACCGTCTTCCCCCACAGCCATGTCGGTTTCGACAGCATCACCTCCCAGATCGAGCGCAAGCTGCTCAAGCGCGGCTTCCAATTCAACGTGATGTGTGTCGGTATGTACCCTCCAATGCTTCCATCCACTTATCCTTCTCCAACTCACCGATCTCCTCCTCCCAACAGGCCAGACGGGTCTGGGCAAATCCACTCTTGTCAACACCATCTTCGCCTCTCACCTCATTGACTCCAAGGGCCGCTTGACCCCCAACGAGCCCGTTCGCTCCACCACCGAGATCCAGACCGTGTCGCATAGTATGTACCGATGGGAACCAGAACTGGGCAATGGATCTAACGGATTATCTAGTCATTGAGGAGAACGGCGTCCGTCTGAGGCTGAACATTGTGGACACCCCCGGATACGGTGACCAGGTCAACAACGACCGATGGTATGCATTATTCTTCTCGCATTGAAACTCGGGAACTACCCAACTAACTATGGAGCCAGCTGGGACCCCATCGTCAAGTACATCAAGGATCAGCACTCCGCCTACCTGCGGAAGGAGCTCACGGCTCAGCGGGAGCGCTACATCCAAGATACCCGTATCCACTGCTGCTTGTTCTTCATCCAGCCCTCGGGCCATGCGTGAGTGCCCCAGTTTCCCAAAGTCTGCACAGCCGACTAATCGTCTCGACTGTGTAGCCTCAAGCCGATTGATATTGTCGTTCTGAAGAAGCTCTCTGATGTGGTCAACGTCGTCCCCGTGATCGCCAAGGCTGACTCCCTGACCCTGGAGGAGCGCCAGGCCTTCAAGGAGCGGATCAAGGAGGAGTTTTCCTTCCACAACCTGAAGATGTACCCTTACGATAACGACGAGCTCGACGACGAGGAGCGTGCGATCAATGCCCAGATCAAGGTGCGATCTGTTCCTCCATTCGAACTGGAATCGTGCTGACTCGACCGCAGGACATCATTCCCTTCTCGGTGGTTGGTAGCGAGAAGACCATCGTCGTCGACGGCAAGCAGGTCCGCGGCCGCCAGAACCGCTGGGGTGTCATCAACGTCGAAGACGAGACCCACTGCGAATTTGTGTACCTGCGCAACTTCCTGACCCGGACTCACCTCCAGGACCTGGTCGAGACCACCAGCCAGATCCACTACGAGACCTTCCGTGCTAAGCAACTGCTAGCCCTGAAGGAGAGCAGCGCCGCGGGGGTCACACCAGTGGCAGCCGACCCATCAGCCCGTCGGCCGAGCGCGAGCTCAGCCGCAACTCCCAGCGGGGCGCCATGAACGGATACTGAGTTCTGCCTTTTGAGTGGTGCTCGGTGAATCGGTAGTCCGGCGGTCTTCCAGGCTCTATTCTTTCTTCTGTCTTCCTCGAAAACTTCCTGTCCTCTTTGACGCCAGCAGGCCCTTGCAGATATCCCTTTTTTCGTCTCCTGTGTTTTTCTCCCAAGTTTTTTGTATCCTCTCATTCCGGTCCTTTCTGACCGGACCTGTCTCTTATTGTCTAGGATTTGTGTTGACTGCCAGAATTTCCCAAAAAAAGTGAGCCTGGCATCTGGCGGTTTTCCATGTACTTAGTTTCCTTTAATTATCCACTCATGAGAAGAACCTCTCATTCTTAATCTCGGCCTGATCTATACAAAGTGCAATTGTCTACTCAGATGCACCAAACCGTCCCCCGTCTACGACCCAATCCCTCAGATCCGTGTACGCCGTCTCCAAATCATCATTCACCACGATCTTGTCATGCGCCCCGGGCTGCTGCGCATATTCGAGCTCGTTCCGCGCCTGCGCCAGCCGCTGCCCCAAGCTATCCTCGGACTCCGTGCCCCGGCCACGCAGTCGTCGCTCCAGCTCCTCCAGGGATGGCGGCGAGAGGAATAAGAATCTCGCGTTGAGATCGGTGCGCTTGACTTGTTTCACGCCCTGCAACAGAACACCATATCAGCAAACCTTTCCTGCCAGAGCCATTGGGGTTGTGTATACCTCCATCTCGATGTCGAGAATGCAGATCCTGCTTTTATCTGCCACATCCTTCACAGCTTGTACACTGGTGCCGTAGTAATTCCCTCCAAACTGAGCGTTCTCGATGAACCCGTTCTGCGCCACGAGGTCCAGGAAGGCTTCCTTGGTCGTGAAATTGTACTCGCGTCCATCTTGTTCGCCTGATAGGGGGATCAATCAACCAATCAATCAAACTTCATTTTCCCGGTGTAGCTAACCTGGTCGGGGGGATCGGGTTGTGTCTGTTAGGGTTAGTGGATTTCGTGGGAGGGCCAGCAGAGAGAGCAGAGGACGCACGCGAGACGGAAAACCCGAACTTGTCAGGATACTCGGCAAAAAGGCGTTTCAGCAGTGTCGATTTACCCGTGCCTGAGGGGCCTGAGATCACCACCGGGCGAAATTTCTGGACTGTTTGTGCACTAGGTCAGTTTTTGCTTTTTGGCCGGTGGTTCGAGACGAGAAAGGTACCAGTAGCGGGAGCCATTGTGGATGTAAAGCGAGTCGCGCAAAACACAGGGGAAGAAGAGAAGCAGGAAATTACAGCACGCCGAGTCCAGCGCATGAAGGAGGGTGAGAGAGTGACTCCCGACGGTAGCGGAAACCAACCCAGGGACGAAAACAGCCGGCAGAATAATAAAGGCGGTGTGCACCTTGAAGATCTATATCCAGTACATTCGTGTTACCCTCGTACCGGATGGATATCCTCTGCCATTTCTTTGCTTCCTCTTTTCGACATCCCTCACCGATATATGTTCCCTGAGTGGAGCTGAGCACATCCCTTGATTAACTAAATGGTTTAGTTACCAAATAAAGCAATCAACCACTGAGTGACACACATCGCCGAGTGTGAGTATACACGGGGTGTAAACATCAACTAGGTCCGGCAGTTGAGGACCGCCTGACACCAGCTGACTAGTCTATTTTTCTTCCGTGATCCCGCTCGAATCGTTCATACTACGGTTAGATAACCCATCCCAATAAAGCGCAGTCCCACCAGCTCTTTTCACTCGAAGCCCTCATAAAACTTCACAGGGATCTAAACATATTTGTTTATCTGTTTCGCAAATAAACAGTAGGTCTTCCCGAGATTTCGTTCTATCATCCCAGATTAGATTCTTGGACTTATTTTTCATATAGTATCATTATTCCTACATTTTGTAGCCTTCATACTACTACTCGGGATTGCCATGCTCGCCATGCTTGGGATTGTGTCTCACCCGACCCGCGGCTTAATTCTTCGTCCCGTTTGGCCCTAAATTGATACCCTGCGTGATCATTATAGAATATCAAGCCCAGCAGCGCCCTTGAGCTATTAGCCTTGCCACGGACGTAGACCTGGGACATTTGTTAAATTTTCTTTTTGATCGTGCGCTCTCATTCTCGCAATTCGCTAGTGCTGGAATTTTATAGTTACTTATTTTTTCCCTTTTGTCTGAGCGAGTCTTTTCATCCCGATTTAAGTCCAGTTTGTAAAAATATTGTTATCGTAGCTTTTTCGAGGTCTTATTTTCCTGAGACAGACCTTTTGGAAGATAAGTAGCAGCACCATGCAAGATTTTCGGGATTGGCGCCCTGTCGTGAGTGTGCTACAGCTTTCCTTCCTGTCTGAATTTTATTTAGTGGATAAAGAACCCGTAGAAGAGTAAGAGCAGATGGGACTAATCGCGTAATGATTCCATAGTTCCTTCCTAAGTTATCGCCAACCAGAAGGTGGTAAGTGTTGGTGTCCCTTCTAATGGCTTCCTCCATTCTACACTCACCACTATTATCGTCATCATATTTCTCATGTTGCTTTTATACTTCGAATTCAAGGTTTCAAGTAGGTGCGAATGAATCTTTAACTTAAAAGAGTAGGGCAACCGCGCGTGTTGAAGCTGCGATGTGTTTGACCGTTGAATTGGGGGACGTTTGGACTGGGGGCTATGGTGTATTCAAAGTCTTGCGCCGCATTTACATCAATTCCAAGGCAGTAAACCAAAATATAAACTGTCAGTAGATTGAAATAAGCTTTCAATATGGCCACAAGGAATTTTAAACAAATTCTCAGCAAAATTGTAACACGATACACAACAAGTGTAGGCATTGATCGAACTATCAAAACTTGGTTTACGGAAAAACTTCTTGACGCTTGTTTTCTTTAGGTCTAGACTCAGTGAGAGATAGATGTTTCAGATGCCTGTACGTACTAATAAGCCTCAAAGAATTAGTGAGTCGGAGCATGTACTGAAATTTGCTCAGTGAGCCTGACTGTGAGAGCGCTCATAAAAGAAAGTCTCACGAGACAAGAAATATAGTATGTAGAGCGGCCTAGGTACACGTATGTTATGGCCGGGATGGCCCCGGGTGGCTGCCTCGTCGCATCATGTTGAGATCCCCGCCCTGTGCTTCTTGTTCCAAGAAGTTGGACCACAGCTCTGCCAGCGTCTCCTTGCTCGAGGCCCCATTGTCCATGAAATCGGTCGCCAGAGACGGCGTGCTCGGTGTGCGATGCGGAGTACCAGACACGCGCAGCGTCATGGTCGACGTCCCCGGGCGGGCAAGACCGGCCTGCTCACGCTGTTCTGTTAGACTGGTCAGCGGTGGGTGCCGGTGATGATGGAATGGAAACTCACCATCCGTCCAGCCTAGAAGGGCGGCAATGAGCTGCAGGATCTGGAACTTCTTCGGATCAGACCGATCCAGGGCAAGAAAATGTAATAGATGATTGGTGACAATGTGCCTGCACAAAATCAGTCAAAAAAAGCCGATGTGACCAAAAGAAATAAAAAACGCTCACCGGTCGACGTTGTCTTCGGGCTTGCCTTTTTTGAGAAACCGCAAGGCCTTCGTGAGATGATCATTGAGCGTCACGGCTTCGTGCCGCAATTTGCCAATCAGCAAATTTTTCTCCTTCACCTCCTTCTCAAATGGCCGTACCCGCTCCAGTTCTTCCTGTGCGGATTGGAGACCCTTGTCGGCATCGGCAGCTTGCTTTTCAGCATCCCGCAAGGACTTCCGAAGCTCTTCCAGCTGCGCATCGGAGCTTTCCACGAGCTCGCGTAATTCCTGTTTCCGAGCCGTTTGAATCTCCTGCAGCGCCCGCTGCAGGCCATCGACCGTACCTTGCTGACTGTCGCGTTCGCTGGATGCTTTCTCATAGGCATCCCTTAACCCGCCGACCTGCTCCTCTAAATCCGCAACTTTCTCACCGAGATTCTCGCGAATGGAGCGCTCCTCCATTGCCAGAACTTCCCAATTATGCATGGCCTCCTTGGCTTGCTCGAATTCTGACTGGAGATAGGACTCATGCTCAAGAAGCTCGTCTTTCTCCTTGAGCCAGTTCTGCTGGGATAGAGTTGTCCGCTCCCGCAATGTAGCAAGCTCCTTCTCTTTTTCGGCTGCATCCTCGGTCAGTGCAGAAAGTTGTGTTGTCTTATCATCAAGCTGCGTCTTCAGATTTGTATTCTCGTCCTCGAGCTCCTCAATCTGTGATCGGGTCTGGGCCAATTCTTCCTGTAGCATGGTATGAGCCAGATTTTTCCGCCAAGGGGGCAATTCAAACGCACGGCATCCTCTTTGAGGCGCTCCCCCAGTTGGGATTTGATCGTATTCACCCGCTCCAGCAGCTTCTGGAACTGGGTCTCGGCCTGCTCCTTCTTGCTCTCGGCATCATCCAATCTTTGCTGGAGCGTCTCCATCTCGGCGCTGTGCTTGGACTGGATTTCCTCCAGCGACTTGCGCATATCGGTCACTTCGGCGCGTAAGGAATCGCGATCCCGCACGAGTGCGTCAAAGCGGTCTTTGGGCTCGCTGCCATCGGAGGCGAGATTCGGTTGCTCATTGGCCCTGTGAGGAGTCTCATGGTCATGGTTGTTGACGTGCTGGTCGGTCGGGTTGTCCTCTGCTGGGTCGCGCTCGACAGCATCGGGGGGTGCGTCTTCCTCGGGATCCTCGTCCGACTCATTCGGCTTGTCCTGGGGGATAGGGTCAGCGTGGTCAAACATGACAATCCCAAGGGCCATCACGCACAGTGGCATTGGGGACTGCTGAGGCGTCTTGCGTGGCCCTGGCCTTGGCGCTCTTGTTCTTCCTGTTCTTCTTCGGCTTGGGGCCTAATTGGGTCAGAGGGAATCCAGGGTAGAAAAGCAAAGCGCGCACCTGTGGCAGCAGCAGAGTCGGCCATTGCTGAGTGGGGTGGGCAAAGGTATGGAAGGAAAGGAACACGGCACCCCGTCGAGCTGTCACGACACTTAGTTAGCGTGGCCCTTTCCCGCCGATGATTAATCGCATCTACTAAGCTAGTTAGTTAACCAACTAACTAAACATCCAGCACAAACTACGCTGCACAGCCATGAAAAATAATATATCCGATTGATGAATTGCAAAGATGGTCACATGAAATCGTCCAGAAAGTCCGCATCGCGATCCTGGTTGCTGCTGGCCTCCATGTTTTCCTCGCTGAACATATCGTCATACGCATGGTCCTTCTGCCACTTCAGCTGCTCGCGCTCTCGCTTCTCCTGTTTTTCTCGAGCCTTCTGCTCTTCTCTTATTTTCCGCTCATCGTGCTGCTTCTTCTTCGACCACTCCTCCTTTTCGGCACGGAGGTCCGGGAATTTCTCGACCCGGGTCTTGTTGAGCCGGTTGACGATGGGATTCTCGCGCATCCGGACCAACACCTTTTTCACTAATTTAGGGTTGTGGAACGAGACCTGGCCGGTGGCCATTGACCCATCCTTCTTAAGGTTCGACCACGGCGTGTAGATGACGGTAATGTTGTCCTTTTTATTTCCTGTACCACTGATGAGCCCTTCCGGAACACCCTTATCCGTCGGAGATGACTGACCCTCAATGGAGTTTGCCTTGGTAAGCTGCGCGCAGTCCTCCAGAAGCGGCTCGGGGATATTATCCCACGTTTCGCCGTCGCGTAGGCGTACGTAGACGTGCGCACTCGACAGGTTATCGACGTGGAACTGCGAGGCGCCGTATCAGAGCGATTAGGTCATTAGACGAAGAGGAGAAAGAACAAACCCTATTGTGACAGGTCAGCTATACACTTCAGGCCAAGGTAGGGAAAGCAGATCGCACCAGACATCGCTTTCCAAGCCGAACTTTATGAGACCCTCATCTGGCAGGACCGTTAGAAGACCAGATCTGAAGCGAAGGACTAGGCGGCATACTTTCGAATTTGTCCTTGCCGACGTAGATAAACGCAGCTGGGCTGACCACGTTCGAGGTGAAGTAGTAGACCATGGCGGAGTGTCGAGGGAATTGAGAACGACGCCGCGGTGGGGATCTCGAGTCTCCGGTGGAGCTTAGTCATCGTATAGATCATGCCGGGTCGATGATTTACGATTATTCTCGGCGGGAGCAGCTATCTGGAAAATAGATATAGATGAACGTCGTCGAGTTGGCATCTTGAGCACAAGGGCAAGCTCAATCACGTGGACTCCTTCCATGTTCCCAGTAACGAAGTAGAGACTCGGAGGTTGGGGTCAATATCATCATCTTCGGAACATCCCATTCTAAAAATGATCAGGAAGATTGTAACGAGCCACGTTTCCATACCCCGTTCATCTCGGGCCAATTCTCCTTTTCGGTCGGGTTCGCCGAATTGTCCAGCATATGTCGTCTCCCTTATTCGGAAGTTCTTTCTAGTCCACGATTAATTTGTCCCAGTCGAGGTTAATCGCTGAAGGATTAAAAGAACCGTCCCATGCAGCCGTGGTGTCCGACTCGTCATTTAAGGGCGATCCCGAGACTGGTGGACCGGTCTTGCAATGCTCCATCTGAACACCAATAGACGCTAGGGTGCCCGGGCAGGTTCCGATGATTTAGAGTTGCGGGTGGTCTCGCTGGTGGAGCTTCCATGATTCAGGCACTGCAGCCTTTTCTTCGTTTCGTCTTATTCCTTTCAGGGGCCGTCTTTTGCTGGTTTCTTTGGATGCCGCAGACACCCAGCTCTCACCTTGCTTTCTCGGCCAACATGTCCGAGACCTAGAGAATGACGATGCCCGGCCAGGCAGGCGCCTCAGTTCGATGCGAGACCTTCTGACCGTCCACCCGGCACTATCTCGTTACACACAAACCTGCGCGAACGGCAGTACATCATCTCAGACATTGCAACTGCCCGACATGACGACTCTCGACAAGAACGAAGCGGATGAGCCAGAGGTGTGCCCGAGAGGGTTGCTGCAAAATCTCTTGGGGCGGAGCCACGACCGGCCAGACACAGTATTATGAGACCTGGAGGACTTGAAAGATATAGGGCATCCGCACAACTCATTCTCAAAACAAATCGACTCCTGTGCGTGGTCCACATCCGACGACATGAGGGCCCCTTCCGCACACACGGTCGGCACATTTAGGTGTCAGCATGATCAAAAAGCCCTCTGGAAAGAGAAAACCTCCGATAACAGATTTGATGCACAAAGAGAACCGGTTCTCTGGATGGAATCCTTGATCCCAACTCTGTGCACCTTCCACTCTGAGACTGGGCTTCGGTGAGTGACTCGCGATGATTCGATGGGACCGAAGTCACTGATCGATCTGATGCGGTGCGAATGGCCCCAGTCGTCCCTCTTGGACAAGGAAATAAAGCCGCTGACGTTTGTGTTAGTTGCACCAAAAGAACTGCAATGCACCCGCGGCGGCTATTGAGGCTAGGATGGATGCATTCCGGGAATGCTCTGCCGGACGGAAATGATAGCACTCTCCGGGGAGCCTCAACAGCCTAGCCAGAAACCGTCCCCACTTAAGTCACACACCGGGCTGGTTGGTAGCATGCATTCCTCCCGCTCCGAGTGCACGAGGGCACCATGAGCCCTGCAATTTTCGAGCCTAGTGCCGTTAAGCGACCTGCCGTCTGATCCTAGGGGACAGCTCCTGCACTAATCATGTCCCGGCCTGGTCTGAATCCTTGCCGACTTAGTCTCTCGCCGCAGCGCTTGTCATTTGTCCAAGAAAAACCGTTGCGCCAAAAGCAAGCGTACAATGGGCTCCTACAGCAGACGGCCCCGTCAGAGAACAACACTGCATCCCACCATTCCTATGCCCTAAAGCTCCCTAGTTCTGGGGTCGATCCCATGTTCCTTTTTGGGGGATACGCTCTAGTCTGCGCAGCTCGCCTGGCCATTGAGAATGTGGCCCCAATATTGACGGCTTTCCTACCGCCCCGGCACACATCCCGGCCTCGCGCCTTAAATCCGATGCGTACCTGACTTTGTGCAACGGACCAGGGTTTGGGCGGAGCGAAGGGTCTCTATCGGATGTCACTCGAGAGGATTCCCGACTACTGGCCCGGCTCCCTTGCCCCCTCCCTCCCCCTGCTCCACACCGGGCTCCATTTAATTGAAAGAACTCGGAATTCCCAGCGCTTAGTCTCATGCAGGATTTGATTTATTCTACGCCCGCGGCCCGTTCTGATTCTTCTCCCTCTTTTATCAGACCCGCGGGTGCGCATTGTGCGCATTGTCAATCTCCGCTGTCGACACGTCCGCGAGAATCCCTTCTCTTAGCGTACTACATCGTCGCCGACGCGCGCGCGCCGTGGACGGCCCGTAATGTCTGATCCCAACCCCTCCACAAACCAAACTCGGATCCGGCAAGCCCTAGAGCGAGCCCGGAATTCCGAAGATGGCCCCGTCGACCCGCAGACGGCCGCTGTTCTTGAATCTGCCATCAACGAGTTGTGGCGACGCATTCAAGCCCAGCCGGATAGCTACGTCCTCACCCGCGACGAATTCGCTCTCTTCAATTACTTCCTCGACCGATTCCGTGGTCAGCCTGTCGCTCAAAGGGCGGTGGCGCGCTTTTGGGATAATTACCAACGCACCACACCGGAGGCGGATGGCTGTCGGAAATAACCTGGGGGACATGGTGCGGGCATGTGGATTTGGAGCATATCTGCCAGCTCATTAGAAATTACGCTTCAAATCCGATGTTATATATGGGTTCGTCTTGACTGATGTTCGATAAACGGTTGCATCCGTGGGCGCATCAAAGTCTTCTGTCCGTGGCAGCCCAAGGAAGGGGGAGCTACATGGACTGAACTGGACCACGTCAAGTCTCCAGGATGATACTTACTCACCTCTCGTGTTATCCAGTTGAAGGCAATTCTGCGCTCCTGAATGTCTGTCTGGGCAATGTGCAGGAGCCAGGGGCGTTGTTTGGTCATGCTTGATCCACTGCATCTGTACCACAAGATAGACAGGCGTCGGAAGTGCCGTCCCATGACGTCTGTGTTCCGTGTCGGGTGGGCGGGGGAGGAGTGAGAAGAGCTTGTGTTGCGACAGCCGTTTCTCCATCTGCCAGGGTGACATGCATGTCGCAGGGAGCGGAAGGCAATCAAACGGTGCGGGTTTGTGGCTGCCCAACCGAACCGTCTCGGTTGGAGAGGTCGGATGGGGTGACTGCTCGCCTGCACGCCGGGGTCGGCACTCATTTATGTTTTTTAGAGTATACATTAGGTGGTCCTACATTATTGTGCAGAACGATACTTCCGAATGGGGCCTCGGTGGGGTGATCTATAGCTTGGCATGAATGTGATTGTCTCTCCAACGGAAAGAAGTGCGTGGCCGCAGCCTTTCGTCCTAGTCACTAACTGGGTGTTTCTAAATTGGCTAAATTCTCCGACTGGAGGAGTCAGGGGATGGAGGCCAGGGGGCCAACATGACTCGCGTGGGTAAGAGGTACTCCGGTACCACAGTATAATCTAATTCCCGTTGGTTCTAAAATAATAATACACTCGACCATGCCAGTCTGCTAAACATGAAGGCCCATTCCTCTCCCTCTCTAGTACAGCGAGTTGTCTTCACATGAAAAGCACCCACCCCCAATTCCCCCTTGCAGATTCCGGAAAATAGACCGAACCGATGAATACACTCCAACGATACGCTAGAGGACGATTAGCATAAGCCAATATGCAGCCAGAGCTACACGTACAATGCTGAATCCGAGGCAAACCAGGAAGGTGTTGATACCAAACAAACACAGTTGCTTCCAGGTGATGAACAAGCGATAGCGGTTCAAATGAAGCCAAAATAGGCCCGGCAGGCCAAATGAAAACCAGCTAGCAAACAGCGAACTCTGTGCTATCGATCAGCTCCAGGATGATGTTCCACATATCGACCGTACTCACCGCAAGGCCTAAGACCTCGTTGAAGACCGGAATGCTCTCAGCGATGACCCACGAGAAGACCCAAAGCACAGCACAAATGGCCGCCCACAAAGCTCTGGCTGTGTATGAACGGGTGTACATCAAGTCAGTACCTCGGCCGGTGCGGACATAGATGGACTTGACCGCCACATGAGCGTTCACTACACCCCCAATGACGATCTGATATTCAGGATTAGTGATCTCCCTTGGTTCAATGCATTACACCAATACGTACAGTTGGAATGGCGATTCCGTAGGAGATTCTTCGAAATAACCTTGCCGCCGAATTTAGAGCAGGCGATGTAACAGTTGGTCCAACAAAGGCGTAGATGACGATTGCAGTCACCGTGTATAAAACCATCTCGCTCACTTGCAGGAGCGCCAACGCTTTGGGGTAGTCGTTGATCTCCTTCAGCTCGGAGAAAAAGGTGAAGAAGGCAACATGTCCGGCGTATGCGAAGACAATATTCGCTATGGCAAGACATGCATCGTGCACCGAGGGTGTGGGAGAGAAAAGAGGCAACTGGACCGGAACCAGAGGGCTCACGGAAACACCAATCATGCTTGTCAGCACTGCTCCAATAATACTGATGAAGCTCACAGTGGAGATGTGAGACAGATCCTCGAGTCGCCGCGGAAGAGTCAACACAAACGAGACGACCAAGCCCAGCACGGAAAACACGATGGTACAGGTAAAATGTTCAGTCAAGACGTTCATCATGATAGAAAAGGTCAGGACATGACCACCCATGACAAAAACGAAGAAAATAAGCTGTGCTGAACCTAGTATTCTGTGGCCTCGGCTCCCATAAAGGATATCTCCGGCGTCTGCCATGCTGTGAATCTGTACATAACGGCGTTTCAGCTGCCCGATGGTGTATCCTGTATATGTCGAGATGATTCCGATTCCCAGTATTGCGAGAATCCCCCTGGGAAGAAACGTCAGTTCGGGCAAGCCTGGCGACCAGAACAGGATGGTCGCTGCATACGGCAGGAGCCCTAATGTCGACAACGCTTTGGGGAGGGCCAGAATCCCCAGGGATATCGTCTCCGCGATCATCACTGGCGGTGTAAGGCTGAAATACCGGAAAAAACGTTCTGGAAGGTCGACTTACCCATCCCGGCTTGCCTAGTCGGGACGAGTATCAGCTCCATCAACCATCACGGGTTATCAAAAATGGAAAATCTCACCACCACGCCATTGTTTTGTACTTCACGCTAGCATTGGTCTCGTCTCCGAATGGATCTTGTTTCTCAGGGCATCCTTCCCTGGCTGACAGGGTTGTCTTGTCATCCTGTGATGCGTTCGTCTTGCGCACCACGGGAGAGGTCGAATTCGGAGTTTTCTGTGGTCGAGCCATGGTGGGCGTTGGGAGATGAAAGGCATGCAGAGGTGAAAGAGAACAACGGCGAAGGGTCGAATGGTTTACAGCATGAGAGGATGCGCCTTCCCTGGGGTGTCTTCCCGTCTGGGAAACTGCGAGACATGAGGCAGAGAGAAGGAGGAAGTAGACAACAAATTCTATTTTACATAACCTGGCTCTATATTAACAAAACAAATCTATTTGTTGGTCGACTGAGTGTCAGTCTCCAGCATGTCCGCCGGGGGTTCTAAGAGAAGAGTCAGAGAAAAAAAAAAGCACTGTGCATGGAGTGAAGTTACATACCAATCCGGGTGGATAGTTTGCGGTCCGCATCATCGAGCTCCTTCACCCGACCTCCTTGCACCTCCTGTCTGGATAGACCGAGGAGGCCCTGGGGAAGGCCCATGGAGCGCAGGTAGGCCACAGATTCCTTCCATTCGAGATCCTTGCGCGCGTTGCTCCACTTCAACTCCTCGCCCATCAGGTCAATGACGTTGGGGAGTGCTTCAAGCGCCGCCTCAGCATTCAAAAAGGCCAAGCGAGTTCGGCGCCCAATCACGTCGGTTGCGGTCTGAGCGTACTCATGGCGAATAGCGTAACGGACCTCGCCATCGATGAAGGGGTAGAGGGCCGAGAGACGGCAGCCTCGTACGGGGAAGCGGGCATTCGTGGGAGAGGACAAGGCGGCAACCTGCCACGCGCGGTCACCATAGGCCGTTGTAAGGTGCTGGGCCACGTCGGTTTCCAGACCATAGTGTTGGATGAGGTTGATGAAGAGTGTCTTGGAGTAGCCGTGAGCACCGATCAGCCGCACCTGGTGAGTCTGGCAGCTACCGTCCAGCACGGCACCATCGGAAACCAACCCGCTGCCACCCACGCCGCTGATGTCCGGCACGGAAGTCACTTCGCGAGGCTTCAGATTAAAGGAGCTGATGGCCTCATCCACGGCCTCCTCGGCCATCTGGCGGTAGGTGGTCCATTTGCCACCGGCACAGGTCAACAGGCCGGACTGAGAAACAGAGATGAGGTGGTTGCGAACCAGCGCTTCGGAACTCTTCACCTTTGGGTCGCGGACCAGGGGACGGATGCCTGACCACGCAGCAAGGACATCGCCTCGGTCGACTTTGATATCAGGGGCAATGTATCTGCGCACCTCCGACAGGATCCAGTTGATGTCCGTCTCCGACGGCTCGGGCTGCGTGGAAATCTCCGAAGGTTGATCGGTGGTACCAGCGATGGTGTTGCCCTGCCACGGCAAGAAGAAGATCACACGTCCATCAGAGGTAGACGGGTCAATCAAGCCCATGTTGGAAGGGCTGTAGTAGCCCGGAAGAATAATGTGGACACCGGAACTAGGAGCCACGATCTCCTTGGTTTCAGGCTCGTCCATCTTGCGAATCGAGTCCGTGAAGGGGCCAGTGGCGTTGATGATACCCTTGGCTCGGATGGTGAACTGCGGCGAGTCCTGGCCGTTCTTCTGGGGGATGACATCCCTGACATGCGCGCCGTTGAGCTTGCCCGATTCATCCTTGGTTAGTCCGGTGACCTCCAGGTGGTTCACCACGGTACTCCCGTACAGCGCAGCGGTCATGGCCAGCGAGACATTCATGCGCGAATCGTTGTGAGCGCCGTCATAGTACACCATGGCCCCAATTACCGAGTCCCGCTTCAGCATGGGGAATGCATCGATCGCCTTACTCTTGGTCAGGAAGTAGGAGCTCTCGATACCTTCGGAGCCGGCCAAGAAATCATAGGCCTTGGTACCCGCCCAGAAATAGGGGGCTTGCCACCATTTCTGTAGCGGCACCATGATCGGCAGCCACTGGGAGAGGTGCGGCGCTGTGTTCAGGAAGTACTTGCGCTCGCGGAGCGCCTCCTTCACGAGCTTATACTGGTTGTAGTCCAACTCCCAAACGGCCTTTTCCAAATAGCGGACACCACCGTGGACCAGTTTGGTACTCTTGCTGCTGGTTCCGGCACTGAAATCGTCTCTCTCCACCACGGCGACCCTCAATCCTCGAGTGGCGGCATCGAGCGCGATGCCCGATCCCGTGGCACCACCGCCGATCACCAGCAGATCGTAGGGCTCATCCTCCTGGCTGCGCTTCAGATCCTGAATCTGCTCGCTGCGCGACTTGATCGGCGGGAAACTCGGAGGTACCAGCTTGCCCTCGCGATATCCTGGTGGGGGAACTGCAGGCGCCTCGAGACCGGGAATATTGCGGGGGCGATAAGAGATGTACAGGACACCGGCGCCCGTGGCCGCAGCGGCCGAGGTATAGAGCAGAGGTCGCAGAAACTTGCGCGAATGACGAGCGGCCATTATCCGAATGCGACAGCAGCTGGTCTTCCCGGGAAGTTGTCTGGTTCAATTGCCCTTCGATTCTGGGGAGTGGGGGCCGAGGAATTGAAGCTGGAAGAGACCAGGTAAACCAAGAGAGATTGCGTGCAGGGGTGTGTGTCGAGAGATAAATAATTTCCCGAGGGGGTGGGAAGGGAAAAACAGGGAGGGAGAGAGGAGAGGCGAACGGGGGCAGGTGACGCAGTCAAATAGTAGCTTTGCACGGGAGACCAGGAAGGGCAGGAATAGCGAGGCTGTGGTACCCAGTACTCCATCGCTACCCCTTCCCTGGCAGAGAGCAGCACGGGGGCCAGCGGTACTGGGGCGGTACTGGGTACCCCCGGCCGCCTATGATTGGCGGAGGGACACAGCCCACCAATCAGGGACTCGGCAGCCGGGCCAGTGGGACCCGGCCAGGTGATGCGCAGAGATTTAAGCTGGCGATTTGAGTGAGTTATGTCATAGCCCGAAGTGTAGATATCAATATCCATACGTAGTTTGGAGCATGCTGAGCGGAGATGACGTCGGCACAGCTCAACCGGCCAGTCAGGGTGATATATGTAGGGCAGACCCTGAAACCACATGGGAGGAGTGAGATTAACAAGGCAATGCGGACTGTTCTTAACTACGGGACACAACAGTAAGGCGCTGCATTTCCGGTGTCGCGGTGCGGTGCGGCCCAATTCCGGCTGCGGAATGCCTGCTCACCCTCCTCGCTGGACGTCCATAGGGAAGAAGTGTGGGGTAAAAGAGACCGAGGACCAACCCGGAAATGTTCCATACGGTCTGAACTGATACATAACCCGGGGGGTTCTCGAAACTCGATGTTCAGTCCAAATCCCAACTCGGATACTCAACAACCATGGCCATTGCCGCAGCGCTGTCGACCCTGCAAGATCGGGCCCTCGAGTCCCCACTGCGCGCCCTGGCCGTGGCGGCGCTCCTCGTCCCATTTATTTACGTCATCATCAATGAGTTCATTCGTGCATCGGCGCGCGTGCAGGGCATGAAAGGCCCCCGGGGCTTGCCGCTGATTGGGAACCTGGCTCAGATCCGAACCAATGCAGCGGAGCAATATCGGTTGTGGTCGAAGAAGCATGGAGCTGTCTATCAGATTCAGCTGGGCAACATCCCCGTCGTCGTGGTCAATTCGGCCGCAGCGGCCAAAGTACTTTTTGGACAAAACGCGCAGGCCCTGAGCTCTCGTCCTGAGTTTTATACTTTCCACAAGGTACGTCCATGTATGTGATTGATGGGTTGCGTCAACTCATTGGCTGTAGATCGTGTCCAATACTGCCGGCACCACCATTGGAACATCACCGTACAGTGATTCGCTGAAACGACGCCGAAAGGGCGCGGCCTCGGCGCTCAACCGTCCATCCGTGGAAACGTACGTGACCCACCTGGATGTCGAGTCCAAGGCCTTTGTAGCCGAGCTGTATAAATATGGCATGGGCGGCCAGAGCCCCGTTGACCCGATGCCGATGATCCAACGGCTGAGCTTGAGCCTGGCCTTGACCCTGAACTGGGGCACGAGGATTGCATCCCAAGAGGAGGAACTGTTCGATGAGATCACCCATGTCGAAGAAGAAATCAGCAAGTTCCGCAGCACCACGGGCAACCTGCAGGACTATGTCCCTCTGCTCCGCCTGAACCCATTTAGTTCCAACTCGAAAAAAGCGGCCGAGATGCGGATCCGTCGGGACAAGTACCTGAGCGGGCTCAACCGCGACCTAGATGATCGCATGGAGAAGGGTATACACAAGCCATGTATCCAAGCCAACGTCATCCTCGACAAGGAAGCCAAGCTGAACAGCGAGGAGCTCACGTCGATTAGCTTGACCATGCTCTCGGGTGGACTGGACACCGTTACCACCCTCGTCGCATGGAGTATCTGTCTGCTCTCTCAGCGCCCGGATGTCCAGGACAAGGCGGCCAAAGCGATCGGCGAGATGTACGGCCCGAATGAGCCGATGTGTGCGGCCGATGATGACCAGAAGTGTGCTTATGTGGCGGCTCTCGTCAAGGAGTGCCTTCGGTAGGCCATGTTGCCCTTACCACTTAAAAGGAGTCCTGCTGACCATCTTCATAGATATTTTACCGTCCTCCGGCTGGCATTGCCACGCACCTCAATTCGGGACGTTACGTACAACGGCATCGTGCTACCCAAAGGCACAGTCTTTTTCTTGAACGCATGGGCCTGCAACATGGGTAAGATTCCTTATCAACGACCCACTAGGGGCCACTTAAGAGACTGACGGATGCTGCAGATCCCGAGGTGTGGACCGATCCGGACGAGTTTCGCCCCGAGCGATGGTTGGAGCAGCCGGATGCACCCTTGTTCACGTACGGCATGGGTTATCGCATGTGTGCAGGCTCGTTGTTGGCCAACCGCGAGCTCTACCTGGTGTTCATGCGCATGTTGAACAGCTTCCGCATCGAGCCGTCTGACAAGGCCGACTGGCACCCCGTCCGGGGCAACTCGGACCCGACCAGCTTGGTGGCCATTCCGCAGCGATACAAGGTCCGCTTTGTGCCGAGAGATGAGAAGGCGCTGGGCGAGGTGTTGGAGGACCAGTCCTAAGAGACAGGGTATGCTTCGTGGAGTATTTGATTCGGATTATAATCAAGTAATTTACAATCTGCGACATTTGCAACATGGAGCCAAAACGAACATACGAGAGAAATTCCAGGATGTGTCGTGCCTTTTCTGTCATGACACTATTAGACCAACACCATCCAGCCAAATGCTTTGCAACTCCGTCCAATGATCCATCAATATGTGTATAGTCTGAGGGGGTATAGGTTCGTGAACATGGCAATGAGATGAGTGAGATCCACCAAAAAGCACCAAAAAAAAAAGAGTCTTTTTTCCTGTAGTACCGACGCCGGGAAACCATTCTGAGATGCAAAAAGAGACATAGTGTTTCAGGACGAGCAAGATAAAAATGAGGTTGCTGCCGTGGGAGGGTGTGGAGGTTGTTTAGGAGGTCATCCGGCGTTTGAGGTCTCGGACTGGGTCGAAGGAACTGGCATAGTCCCGCAGCTCATCCTGGAGGTGGTTGGACAGCATAGACGGGTCGGAGGGATGGCTCTTCAGTGATGACAAAGAGGTTTGTGAGGATGAGGCCGATAGCAATTGCCGAAGCGAGTCTGGGGTTTCTGAACTGGGGGTGGTTTCTGACGAGGAGGCAGAGTGAGCCAGAGTCGGGTCGTCAGACGACAGCTCGGCGAGCCGGCAGGACTGGGAGCAGTAGGGACTGCCTAGGGTCTGGCGGTCGCAGACCAGGCAGAAATCGAGAGACCATTCGGCAGACATAATAAGGATGGTAGCGAGAGTGAGTGATATAGTAGTGGTAGTAGTCGTGAGAGGGAACAGTGAGAGTAAAATGAGGAGACGCTATTCTGTATATGTACTTGACGCAGTCCTGCGAGTTTCCCGACTGGATTGCGGGGGAACCAAGTTCTTCATGCATTTTTTCCATGGCTCGGGCGCTTGAGAAAATTGCTGATTGGTTCCCACCGGCCCCCCTGCAGCGTGCAGGCGCCCCAAACAGGCAGGCAGCCCCACATAGCGGCGTCCATACGGTACCTTACGTGCTTGGCGGCGAATGGTAGTGCTGGATTGGCAGGAACTACCAACAAGTACATGTAAGTTATAGGTCCGAGGCCACAGGTACTACGCAAGAGGTGTTGGGTACATGCACATACTTCTGGATCGACGGGACCACGTGTGCCCGACTCGTCATTTGCGGCGTTGGGAAAAGAGTTCCCTCATCATTTATCATCATCATCATCATCATCAGCGAGCATTCTTATTCGCCCGTCCGCTCACTCGGCTCGGCGGGTATGCGCACGAGCGTCGCAGGCAGGCGATCATCCGCCTTGGGCGCTTCTGCCTCGCTCTCGGCATGTTCGTGGAGTCCACTGGCCTTCTCTGTATGTATCAAGCATGAGTCCGGTTGCAGATCGGAGGTGTACGGAGGTGATAACACGTACGAGAGGCAATACTGATGGCCCGCAGGACATTCTCCCAATTGGCGAGTACGCAAGCGACGGCTAGGCCACGTCAACCACACGCGGTAGGGATTCTGATTGGGGTTGGACGAACCTTCTGTGCCATCTTTGAGGGTCGACACCTTGGTCTCCAACGCTTGCATCTGCATGGCCAGCGTTCCGCTCAGGTCGCGGAGTTGTCGCAGATTGTCCAGTTCGGCCTTTTTCGCGGCGATGCGCGTCGACAGCGCAGAGGACTGCTGCTGCGCGCTCGCTTGGGAGCTGCTGGGCTGACGGAGAGCGGGGGGGCCAGGCACCCCGGGCGGGAGCATGGACGCTGGGCGAGACGAGTAGGCCATGGGCGACAACAACAACAATGACGATGGTGATGATGAAATGTAGAGAATGCCGGACGGGAGAGGGCAGCGGGAGAGGGCACGCACCGCGTCTGAGTCATCAAAGCGCTAGTCCAGATGCGGGCAAACGTCAACATCGCCCGGGCATTCCCAGTGTTTACCTTCGTAACCTAACCTTGTTCCCATCACACCTCCCACGCCCTCTAGTCGTGTTGACAGATGCTGCGCCCGGTTTCCCAATTATGGCGCGGCTAAATGAGATCCCCGCTCCGATGGAGTCGATCGATGCTTGTGAGTCCGCCCGTCGGTGCGCCCGCCATCCCCCTCGACAGCAGTTTGCGCTGACGCGTGACTCTCTCGCCAATATAGTAAAACGACGATTTGTGCGGCAGAACCGGGAGATTGCGCGTGTGAATTCCATGCAATCGCTGCGTATCCGCAGTCTCGAGTCCGAGGTGACGCATCTGTTATCCGAGAACGTGTCTCTGCGCGAGCAGGTCATCACTCTTAGTCAGGACATCGAAAGGCTGGAGTCGGCCAAAACCCTGCGTGATGGGGTGTATGAGATAAAATCCAAGCTGGATGCAAAGCTGGCAGAGCTGAGCGCCTTGACCACGGACCTGGGGATGCTACCGCGCAAAGTGGGCAAGTTGTGCGACGAACGACCGGAGTCGACCAATATGGACCGACCAAAGTCAACCGCTCCAGAGACAAAACCACGGGTGATGGAGCCCGAGGAACAGGGAGGCTGCGATGACCGAAAGCTCCCCGCCATCTTGGAGGACAAATACTACCCGCGGCGGACGTTAGAGTAAGTGGCCAGAAACGAACATCTTGGACAGGTGCTAAATTAGGGACAGGCTACAGGAACTTCGTGATCTTGTGGATGGCAATTCCAGCATTACTGAATGGCCTCGCGAGAGCACCGCGACACCAGCTCAGCGGGATGCAGAAGAGGAACCCCCCAGCGTCGAATTACCAGAACTCTCGCCTGATGAGAGTCAAATCGACCAAGATACAGCGGATGACTCTGATCCATTCCTCCCTCCCATACTTGAGACCAGGAAGAAGAAAAAGAAGTCAGAATCATCCATTGCTCGTCAACAGCCGAGTCCAAGTGGCGAACCGACACCCACCTTGAAGTCAGGGGCAAAGCGCAAGTTCAGTCCGGAACAGGATGGCGGATTCACACCTGGTAATGTTTCAGAGGATGATGAATTCCAGTTCAGCCGGTCCAGTCGTAGCCCTCAAAAACAGATTGAACCGTTGCACTCCTCCCCTACACAACGGCCGGTTCAGATGAAGACAGCTCCCGCAAACCTCGGGAGGCGGAAGGTTCTTGAGCCAAGTACGGACAACACTGCTCCTGGTTATGAACACTTGTACTGACAAATCCGATAGAAAGCGCCAACACCAATCTCGGCTCACCTCGAAAAGCCCGGCCGTCCCCTCTAACATCTAAGCCAAAGAGACGCGAGGAGAATGAGAACAGCAAGCCCTCCATGAAAGGAAAGGAGCTCGAGACCAAGGACTTGAATCCCAAGGCGCATGGATATCGAAGTGGGCATGTTCCAACGAAGGAGAAACACACCATCGGCGTTGCCGGGACACAAGGACCCATTCAGATACAACCAGCGCCACCCCAAGAGTCGACAGAGATAACTCTCGACGAAGAATCGATCACCGCACTTGGAGAGCCAACAGCCGGTTCCCGGTCTTCACGACGTCGGGGAGCGGTGGTCAGCTATGCGGAGCCCAACCTGAGAGACAAGATGCGGCGCCCCACCAGTGAATTGATCGATGCCGTTGGAGGAAAGGGGAATCGCAGATCATCCGCGTTCCAGGCTGGCCGAGAAAGCTTGAGTGAGGAAGGGGAATGGCATTCTGCGCGCACCCTTCCGGCCGATCTCGCGCTCGCGGACCAAGACCCCTCCGCAGAACAGTTGTTGGCAATGGTGTCCCGACGGAAACGCAAGGTGTCATCGACGAAACAGCAAGACGACCCGTTTGATATGGGCGACAGCCTCGCAGATCTCTCTACCAAAGGGTCTAAAGAAGCGCTGGCTGCGGCAAGGCAGACCCGGCGGCACTCTTCCAACCCGAAGACAACGGGCCTCGCTGTGTCGCCTGGGGATGTAAATGTCAAGTCTTCTTTGTGGGCACAATCTGCTGCCAGTCGAACTGGGGGGATGTCTCCGGCGTCAACATACAGCTCGTTGGATGAGGATGGGGACACAATGAATATGAAACAGGTCCGACGTGGGCATCGCGTTGCAGCTCGGCGGAAAAGCATGATGCTCTGATGGTCGACTCTAATTTTTGCATGCGCAACTAAACAATCATGTATTTACTTTCCCTATAGACCGGGCTTGTTGCAGTTGAAGCACATATACCCTCGCGCGCGTCGGGTCTTGGAATTGAGTGTCTGTCTCTTCTTACTCTGTTCATGTAGATTGTCCAGCTAGAAGACCATCTTGTTATGCCCTGTGGTACATTCGCGCATACAATTCGCCCAATGCATGCAGTGTCCTAGTCTCCCCAACACCAAAGAAAGTCCTTGATGGTAGCCTGATCTGGATCACCAGGGTTGGAGGACAAGATCCAACTGGGTGGCATGATGTGTCACAGCTCTCAGCCAGAAATCCTAGGCGCTATCAAAGCGACTGATACCGGAAACCTCCCGGTGTAGGATATGAACAAGCCGAAACCATGTGTTTTGGGGGGTAAATCCAGCAGCCAAGCCGCTTGAGACTCATTTAGTTTCCTTCCCTTCAGGCTCAGGTGCCATGCGAATGGCTTTTAGACGGTTTAGGCATTTTCTCGTACGCATTTGGGCTCGGCTTCCTCTTCTTGCTTTTCTGTTTGTGATGTTCTGGACAACAAGCGTCGCGACCCTGACCCGAGGACCCTTCTGATGGCCGTCCAGGTGCTGGTCCTCGCCCGCGAGGGAGTGAGTGGCGCGCATGGTTTGCCCGGTTCATGCGAGGACCCAGGTCGTTGTCGCTGTCCGAATCCGACGAGCTGGAATCCGAGGACTCCGATTCGGAGCTACTCTCGCCCACGGGTCTGGATTTGTGGTAGATACAGCACACTGACACAAAGTGTTAGACTTGATTGTGACCGGGGATATGAGAGGAAAGAATTCACCCTTCGAGCTTTTCTTCCCCATCCCTTCATTATCAACGACATCCTCACTCCATCGGATGTGGCGAGCGGGAGAGGGCTCGGCGCTAGTCGACGAGGCGTCCTCGCCTCTTAGTCGGAGAGTCCCCGAAACACGAAGAGTGGAAGAATCGCGGGTTTCCGTTGTCGTCTGGGGCAGGGATCGGGAAGACAGAGGCTGGCGTGTTCGAGACATGGTAGGCGATGAAAGGGAAAGAGGAAGACAGGATGAGCTTCCGCCGGGGGGGGGCAAATATAGGGCCACACCGCCTACTGCACTGGAGGGTTCTACGGAGTGGCGATTCACAACAGTCCTACCTCTGTTAATTCTCTTGCGCTGAAAGCTTCAAAGTACATCATGCCAGGAAAACGGGAGATTGTCCTCGCTGGTATATTCTGCATGCCCAAGTCTCAAAGTACAGCAATTACGCCCGCCCTGGCTCGTGGCCTAAACCTCGTAGAGAGACCAGCCATCGAGACAGTCGTTTGCCGACACCAATCTCGCATCCCTTGCTCGTTCAGGGGAGCCAGCCGAGGCAGCGGGTGGCAACTCAGTGCGCAATTCCTGATCGAGTCATAGTTCATCCTCCTGGTCCATCTCCGAAGGCTTAAGCAAGCCCCCAACCTTCATTGCTCGGTCCCGTTCAGCTGCTTGAGCATCACGCACAGCCTGCTCGCGCTCTTCAGCGTAGAGCTCGGCATTGTCACCCGAGAACTCTTTCAGAGAGATCAAAAAGTCACGCAGGTGGGTCTTGAATTTGTTTAGGTCATCGGTAAATGTAAACAGCCCGACCACAAATTGCTTGATTTGTACGCTGTGTCATGTTTTAGCATCAGTAACTCGACTGGGGAGGGGAGAATCATACTCTTGGAGGTTCTTGAACGCATTCTGCAACAGATTTGCAACATACTCCTGCAAGAAATCTTTGTTTGAGGTTCCAGCAGGAGCTTGGTCAGGGCTGTAGATCGGTTCCTGGATCTTGCCAGATTCAACAAAGTAGAACATGCGTGACAAGAGCATGGCCTGGGGTTTAAATCCTAAAATAAATACACGGTGAGCAACGCATCTTGTCTGATGGCAAAGAACAATACATACCAGCCTTGTGGTCGCTATCGGTAACGACAAAGAAGACATCCTGGAGGATCGGAATGTAGAATTGTCGGAAGAAGATGCCCGAGGTCTGCATATCAGTCTCCGCCATGTTGTTCATCAGCTCCAGACACATGGTAAGACCAGTATTCTCCACTTCGCGGTTGTCATGTTTACTGGCCCACATGCAAGAATCGATCACAAATTTGAACTGTGTGGCATCAAGCTTCAAGAGCGCTGGGAAGCAGTACAGATTAATGGCCTGAAGCAGCTTGAAGAACTGGACACGATGTTCAGGGTATTCATGGAAATCTTTGTTGATCATCTGCAACGTGCAGTCAAAGATGCTTTCCATGATGGCTGGGACCTTGTCCTCCATGAGATTCTAGATGAAGATGTCAGAGAGCAACTGGCCCACTTGAGGTTAGGGAAACTTACGTGAAGCTTGTGGATGATCGTGGTCATGGCATTCAACACCTCTGCCTCGCGAGCGTCCGGGACGTTTTGGTTGTAGTCCACAAGGACGGCTTCAAGAAGCGGTGGAACCATGTTGTTATTGACCATTTCGAGATCGTCCGACTTCTCGACATAGGTGTCGATGAGTTTCAAGATCTCCTTTTTGATGGTTCGAAGCCCGCGAACCTTAGGGGTTTTCGGCGCAATGCTGCCTTTAAAACATGTCAGTCCCGAACCTCACAATGGGGTTGGAGCGAATTACCATCATGCGCAACAGCATCGTTGATGAGTTGGCTGGCGGCACGATACATGTTCAACATGTCGTGATAAATGCGGCCAATCTGCGAGTAGAAGTAGGTGCCAATGGAAGAACAAGCGGCGACGTTGGTCTTCATGATGTTACCAATGATCTTGATCGTGTCCCCATCCTGGAGAATCGTCGAGTCCTGCTTCGCTTGGGCGATGATAGCATCCCATGCCGAATTGGGCAGCGCCATCAAATTTTCGATCAGACGATCTTGGAGACCCTTTTGGCCCTGGGCAGAGATCATGTAGCCGCAGGCCTCGTAGAAGGTATGGATCTGCTGGGGGGAAAGATCGCAGGTGATCTTTCTCATGTTGCGAACAATTTCCTCAATGAAGGCTTCATTTTCACCAGGCTGGAGCGCCACGAAGTGGCGTCGGCATTTGTTGGCGATCTTGATGAAAGTATCGCACGCCATGTCCTGAACACCTACATGAGGGGGTCAGCAAAGAGGAGTCACTGTTTCTGGGAACAAATATACAAACCTTCGTGTGTTTCGTGCATGAATTCGAAGAGCTTGTTGACGACAGTCTTCAAGAACTTCCAGTGGGCTTTCAAAAACCGTGGATACTGACCCACGATGTACATGATGTTGCTTGCCACGACGGCCTTGTTGTCCTTGCCGCGCTTCTGTTCGGTCAGACCAAGGAGGTCCTTAATCACGGTCACCAGGAATCGTTTCTCGGTTTCTTCATTCATGGCACCGGAGATTGAGCCAATCGCCCAGCAAAGCGTGTTACAGTTCGCCCATGACCATTCGCTGCCATCAACTTGCTTCGCCAATTTGTCGATCATGATATTCTCGGTATCCACCACGTCCAGATGAGTGAGATAGACCAAGCACTCGCGGATCGTCTTGTAGAGCTGGATCGTGTCACTCTCCTTGACGAATTCACGCACAATCTCACCCTCGTCGTTCTCGACAATCAGAACTTCCTCAGGGCGAACCATTTTTTCAATCATGACCGTGCGCAAGTTTGATAGCACAGATTCGTACTTGTGCTTGCGAAGGGGATAGTTCGCCAGGGTGCTGGGATGGGGTGCGCCGCCATTGGAAAGACCGCTGACGCCCATGGTCACCAAGGGGTTGAGGTCGGTGATGGGAAGTTGCTGCATCTCTTCGTAGAGCTCTTGGACAAGTCGCGTCCAGTAATCGAGACAGATCTTGAAAACCTCTCGATCATCGATCTGGCTAATGCGGATGAGGTACAAATGCGCGTGTGTCAGGTAATCCTGATTCGGCAATCTCTCAATGAGCTAGAAACAGAGCGTCAGCATGATGAAGAATCAAGGTACTAGTGGACAGGTCATAACGTACATCCAAGTGGGCGCTGAAAAAGCTCGACAGGAAAAGCGCCAGGTTCGACACAAACTCTTGATCCCTCGAATTGCTCCTCGAATAGGTTTGCTTCAGGTCCATGGACAGTGGAATGACATTGGACACGGTGGTCAGGGTTTCCGTGAACATGTGCACCAATCGTTCGTCGTAGTTGTAGGGCGGCCCGATTTGCAAACCACCAATTTCCGTCAGGCACTTGAGCGTGACATTTCGGAAGTCGGGAACGTCCAAGAACCGTGTCAAGAGGGTGTTGATGATGGGGGTCTCGAAAATGTAACCCAGCGGAATCCAGTTCAAAAAGCGCAAGAGGGTTTCCAGGGTGGCCTTGACCAGGGACGGTTGGTTGGCCGTGTTGAGGACCTCGGAACACAGTTGGAAGATGGACGCAAATTCCTGGGTCATGGATGTCTTCAAATTCCTTGCCTTGGCGGACGTCATCTGGTCCTGCGAGAAGTCAAACACTTCCTCGGACAGCAACCGTAGGATGGCCATGTTGTTTTCGCAGATGGAGAGGCTGGCATGGCAGGAAGAAATGATCTCGTTGATGAACGTCGGCCAGTTGTGGGGCCATTCTTGCTTCAGAATGGAAACGAGGACCAGGTTAAGCTTGTTCAGAAAGGCGCGTTCGGTGCGCAGCTTCTCTTCCGAGTTGGAGTTTTCGATGATGAAATTGACGATGAAATTGCGGATCCCTTTTAGACGGTCAGCTTTCAGCACGTCGGACCATCACGAGGTGTGTCCATTGTTACCTTGGCATTGATCTCGGGGCAGGACCTTCCATCGGGTCATAATCACATCGTCGAGGACTTGGAGGGCGAGGTCTAATGGCGTTAGCAAATCTCTTTCTCCACCGGGGTGGTTGCGTCGGGACGTCAACAACACACATTTCGTCTGAGGATACGTCGCCTCCTCGAGAATGTTCCCCACGGTGACCCAGGCATCGGGGTTTTGTTTGAACTAGAAGGGATTAGGATCACGTCGTGTGGTGGCGGGCGGGCGCCACACTTACCTCAGTCAGAGTCTGCTGGGCTTGTTTTTGCTACCGCCATTGAGTGTCAGCATCCAATCTCGAGGAAGCATCCAAAAAAACAGTAGTGCCCGGAGAAACTGAACACAGCAGGGGACTTACGACATCTCCCTTGCCCTCATAGAAGGCTCGGACCGTGTTGTCCAGCTCTTGGATCGAAACAGACATCCCGCCGCAGTGAATGGCGCAGTCGCCTTGGATGCGAAACGACCTTCAGGACAGCGAGGCAGGTGACGAACGACAGAGGGGGGTGATGTTGAAGGAGCTGCAGCAGCGCGTTCTCCGTCGAGCGGGAAGGGATGGAAGGGGTTGGTGGTGGGAATAGGAAGGTGAGAGTGAGAAGAAGCACAGTGGGGTAGGGCGATCGGGATTGGAGGGGCTTTCGTGGGCAGCGCGGGAACCGGCAGGGAGAGGCCGAGGATGGACCGTTTTCCAGGCGGCTGCTCAGACGAAGACACGAAGGGCGGTTGATGGGGGGTTGGAGGGAAAGAAGAAATGGGGGAAGCTCTGGCGGTGAAGAGAAACGCGTTCCGGTTGTTGAAGGGCAGCAGGCCATCTCGGGGTGATGTATGGGGCTGAGTCAGCAGGTCCCGTCTGGCGCTGCACCGTAACCACGACCTGAGTACGTATCGTAGGACCATTCGGGGATCCATGGCCAGGCCGGGGAAGGTCATCTCGGATCCGATGTCATCTGCCTGCTTGCCGGGGACGGCTCTCTCCTCGTCCCCTCCATCACCTCTGCTCCCCTCGTCCGTCCGGCCCGCTCACGCCGCAGCGGCTACGGGTCGTTAGGCGAGCGCAGCATCACTCCCTAACCGCCCAATGCGCGAGGTGGGCGCCAACCCGGCCACCACCCGCGATTTGTCAGCGCTCACCCACAGACCGGGTCGCGCGCGGCCAGCTGAACCGCCGCTATTCTCGTGCGGCGTCTGATTGGCCGCGCGGAAGACGCCGGCGCTGCTGATCGCGCGCGCCACCCCCTTTCTCGCCCGCCCTCATATGATATGATTATTTTTATTCTTAGTTAGTGTGTAGGCACAGTACCTAGCTGCTGAGCACTCGTACGGTAGTACTACCACTTCCCCCCCTCCCCTCTTTCCCTTTCCTTTCCTTTCCTTTCCTTCCCTTCCCTTCCCTTCCCTTCCTTTCCTTCCTTCCTTCCCCCATCCCATCCATCCGCCCCCCCCAAAGGATGTGACTCTACCCTCGTACCCTCTCTATCTCTCTCTTTCTTTCTCTTCCTTCTTCTTCCCATTCCCCCTTAGCCTTTCCCTCTCTAAACTGGCTCGCGCTTCCCCGTCTGTTTTGCCGCGCTCTCATACACCATCACAATCTCATCTCCGGCTCAACAAGCTCGTGAGCCCCACTTGAGCCGGCGATCCAACGTACATCACTCGCCCAGAGAGTCCACGATAGAGCAAGAAATAAACCCCAAAGACCTCGAGTCGAATCGCCGACTCCCGGGCAATTGGTCTCCCAATCGGGTCTCCGTGGAGTGCAGCAGTGACCCGCCCCCGGCTCAGCGCCTTATTTCCAGCGCTCATCGCGGCTGTGAGGCGGCCAGAATCATTGACGGCGAGGGAGACGGCTCTGAATGTGGATCGCGCCCGCTCACGGAGGAGAATCAGTCCCGCGACGAATCCTGAGTCGCCGTTGTGAGCGTCTCGCCCCGTGCCAAACGTGATAGGAGCGGTCAGCCCTCGAGATGAACAGCAACCACGACTCCGGAACCGAGACAGGGACGGACCATAGTCCCTCCCGCTTTACAGCTGTCAATGGCAGGGACTCGATTGGGTCTGGCGCGACCCCGGCCGTTCCCAGTTCGAGCGGCCCGAACAACACCGGGCCCAAGCAGCCTGGGCTCCGTGATCAATGGGCGAAAAGCAACCATGAATCTGGAAATCGACCCGGTCATGACCAGGATGAGAGATTGTCCCCCAAGTCCTCCTCCCAAGGCGCCCCCCTCGAGAACAGAAACAAACGCAAGCGGTCAGAGTCGAGGGAGAGGTCCCTGCACAATGCAGAGGGACCCGATTCCTCAAAAAGTCCAATCCATCGTGCGGGAGACGACTGCAACTCCCACCCCAACGGGCCTCTGTCCGGCCCAGATCAGGAAGTTCGCCGCCCATCCACCGCACCCAGCCAAACGTCGGATACCAATGAGGGCCCTCCGGCGCCGTCTGCCAATGGTCCATGGCAGGAGTATGATTCTCACTTGGTCCACCAGGCACAGCGCGCCCAGCAGATTGATGCCTCCGAGGCGCAACTCGTCGATGCGCTGCAACGGGAGAATCACGGTCCGGAGTCTTCTCAGCGGAGCGTCAGCACCAGTCACTCCTTGCCAGGCTCGACGCCCAGTGTTCCGCCGGCCCCATCCAACGTCTATCCCCCAGAGCGGTCGACCGCCAGCTCCCAAGTCGCTCCGAAGAGGAAGCGAGTCTTCAGTAACCGAACCAAAACGGGCTGTATGACCTGCCGCCGGAGAAAGAAGAAATGTGACGAGCAGCATCCCGCATGTAAGTTCCCCATCCTTCCGCTGGACCATCCCGTTTCTCGGCTCCGGGGGCACGTGTGATTGAACATGTCTAATAACCGCAATCCAGGTAACAATTGCATTCGTGGTGGCTTCCTATGTGAGGGATATTCGTCGCGGAGTACCTGGCAAAAGCCTTCCACTTCAAAAACGCCCGTTCCGCTGCAGTCCAAAGAAGGCTATCCCGAAATTGGTGGTCAATATTTACCAGAATCCATTCCTCACCATGACCGACAACCTGGAATGACAGAGCAGGTCGAAGCGGGCAAGATGAGAACACTCGGCCTTGACGGCAGTGACCGATCTATCCCGCAGTACAACACCAGCCCGACCGGTGTAGGGTCCAGTCACGGGCCCTGGTCGAAACAAGGATGGCCAGCAACAGGGCATCCGGCTTATGTATCGGAGCATATGGCCAAAGCGGAATATCGAGAGGTTCCACCGATCCATGAATTGTCACGAGAAGGCCCACCCAAGTCGGACTATCCAGTGGTCCCGTCCATTCGAGACCTCTCGCATGGACGGCATCCCAAATCGAATATGCCCCTCTTCCAGGGTGGCATGGAGCAGCGACCAATGCCCGCGGCGACGATGAACCCTAACAGCCCGCAGGCTCAAGCCCGAATGGCTCTCAGCATCGAGCATCAACTGTCCGGGCACGCTTTGCCAAGTGACGACACGCAGAAAGCAATGATGATTCGGGGGGAGCGCTACCGACCATTCGACGTTCAGTTGGTAGAGGAGAGAGACCGGTGCAAGGCAGCATTATTCAAATTCAATAATGCCTGCAATCCGCTCAACGGGATCAGCTCCAAGGAGCAGAATCGTCTTCTCAAGGAGATTTTCGTTCCCCCATCAAGCTCCGTTGTCAACTCGCCCCCGGGCGCATCGCGTTCTGCAGGCTCCCTCGGAACGGGTGTCGTCGTGGAGGCCCCCTTTAAATGCCACTACGGTTACAACATTCACATTGGAGAAGATGTGATGATCTCGGAGAATTGCTTGTTGGTGGATGACTGTCCCATCCGAATTGGTGCTCATACCTGGATCGGTCCGAATGTTCAAATCCTCAGTTCCATGGCTGTGGTCCAGATGCAGGAGCGCAAGGGCCCCCAGAGTGCGTATATGGGACGTCCGGTCACGATCGAGGAAGACTGCTACATCGGGGCCGGGGCCATTATCTTCCCCGGGGTGCGCCTCGGTCGGGGCGCATATGTTGGGCCTGGGGAACTGGTCGCGTCCAACATTGACCCTTATCGATTCCAGGGAATGAAGCCACACTACATGTGATTCTTGTGATTCAAGTTCTTTTTACATGATCATGATCCATTATTATCTTTGCTGCGACTTTTTGTTATGTGTGTGTTCATAGCTTTTTTTTGCCACGGTGGTTCGTCATGCTGCATGTATATAGGTAATGTTTCCACCTGGCGAATCTACACGGAGGCGGCGTTCTGAATACTTTTCTCCATTCTTCTCTCTTCTTTTTCCCCCTTTGGGAATACCAAAAAGACACAATATGACACAAACGAATCTGAGACTGGGCTAGAGCCAATCCAAGAACTCTGGCACGAAGTAACTGAACACAATCCCTGCCCCTGCTCGCAGGATTCCCTCGGTGCTTTCGAAGGCCATTGCTTTGAGGTCAAACACTCCAGCTTTGGCACCCGCATGAATCATGGCAAATTCGCCACTGACCTGGTATGCCGCGACCGGGAGATCCTTGGCCATGTCCTTGGCATCCCGGATGATGTCCAAGTAGCTGCTTGCTGGCTTCACCATGATAATGTCGGCGCCTTCCGCAATATCTCTCTGAATTGCCCGTCGAGCAAGACCCCGGCCCCCGGGGGCAGCTGGTAGCACCGACGATCGCCGAATGATGGAACAGACCCCGCTGCATCCCGGAATGGGCCATACAGACAGCCGCTAAATTTTGCACTATACGACATCAAGAGCACGCGGTGCGCTACTCCAGCTTCGATCAGTTTGAGCTTAATGGCCCGCACCCTACCATCGTTCATGTCTGAGGGCGCAACGCAGTGTGCTCCCGCTGCTGCATAAGCCATGGCGACGTCGGAAATACGGTCGACCGATTGCGCATTGTCAAGGGTGCCGTCTTCACGAAGGATTCCGCAGTGGCCGTGGGATGTATATTCGCAAAGGCACACGTCGGTCACAATGTAGAGATGCGGGAAATGAGATCGAAGAAGACGGATGGCCTGGATGACAGGGCCTTCTGGGTCATCTGCGGCGGTCCCCAGCGCGTCTTTAGCGGATGGATGCAGTGGAACTCCGAATAGAATCACGGACCGCAGGCCTTTCCGGACAAGCGGGGTTAAGAAAGGAACCAGGCGGTTGATTCCCCAGCGGCATTGGTTCGGAAGGGACGGAATGGGGGTCGCCTCGTCGGGATTGTCGGTGATGAATAACGGGTATATGAGCATGTCCTACATTCCCCTCGAAGCATTAGCGGGGTGCTTGGGGGATCGAGTACAACGCAACAGGCGACGCACCTTTGTTAATTGTCTTTCGGCTTGCCAGGATCTGCTCAACGGATGGCTGTAGCCCGAGTGTAATTGACTCGAAATATCGCCGGATATGCTGACACTGGTTGCTGTCGTGCTGGTGTAGGATCGAGCGGTGGGTTGGGAGCGAGCCCGGGAGATTTGCGAGCTGCGATCATCGACATTGGAGTCCCGAAAGGCGATATCGGAGACGAGGTTAGAGAAGGACATGACGGAGGTGAATAATGTCTTGGTCTTGTGTAACCTTGGCGGGGGTGGAAGAAGAAGGAGAAGAAAACGAAGAATGGGGAAGTTCCTACGTAGTTACCGAGGGATCACTAAGGCGGAATCGGATCTGCCGTGATTGGCTCAGCGATGCCGTGCAAACATGACTGTACTTATTGTAGTTGAGGAGGAATGATATTATTTACACACCCCAATACACTCCGATCGCAGTAACAATACCCATCAAGCCCTCAAAGGGCGCCACCCTCGCCCATCCCCCACCGCTGCGACGAAAAACGATGGCCGCCAGCAACCGCCCCGGCACAGAGGCGATCATCATCGGGATGTTGTTCTGGTACGATGCAATGGCGTAGAAGGTCCCCAGGGACAGTGAGGTCAGGCTGTGGCTAGTGAGCATCAATCCTATCTGACATAGACCTGGAACAAACCTCATTGCCTGGATGGTGCCAGGACTCACCCCCTTCAAGGGTGAATTCGGGAGGCCGGCAGCTGCGGCGGGCCATAGCAGACTGTAGACGCCGCTGGCCAGGAGAGGGGCCGCTTGGAGGCCGAAGATATATTGAGAGAGGTGGTTTTCATGTTGCGATGTCATTTTTTCGGGTTCTCTGGATGGAGATCAATTCAATCAATGTTGGTTGCTGACTGCTCGAGCTTCCAACGGCTAAATTGGTTGGGGTTGGGGTTGTCAGCTGACGGGGGGCCTCGATTTTTCGACGAGTGATTCTGGGGATAGATAGATGGATTATCTGGCTATGTCAGCCTGGGTGGAATCCTTATATATGTAGAGGTGTGAGCGCCCTGGTGGATTGAGAATTCGGATATGAGATGTACCTATATATGGACCACTAGGCAACCTAATCCTTTGGTCTTCGAATCCGAACGGATTTCTTGACTCAAAACTTAGGACCACCGCGGCCGAGAGTATGCTGAGCTAGCAGAGGTGTGATCGGTAGATACGAGCTACCCATCGCATCGCCATGATCAACAACAATGCTAGGAAAGACCATTTGCTTCCTACTGGGAAGCTAGGATGACCGCCCGCGGGCGATTTATAACTGCATGGCCAAGCCAGAGTACCAGATGTTTCCACATGTTCCGATATGGTGAGATAGTAGGTTGGCTTGGCCACGTATACCTTAACCGTGTCAATGGCGAACAGGTGTTAATTGGCCTCGTTGTTTGACCTAGGATGACCGTATAAGTACACCTTCCGAGCGAACTCTGGCGGATCCAAGAGATCCGAGTGACCAAGGTCGTAAGGTTCCTAAAGATCTTACAAAAAGCATTGATCACTATTATATACGTTTCACTGGATATTAAATCACTCCAGGGGTTCACATCCTAAATCCCAAGGATGCAGCCTAGTAGCTGGTGTACCCATTTCAGCAAACTACTATGACATTACTTTTGTTTCGGGGGGAAACCCAAGGTCGGAGATCACCTCATAAAGATCCCCCTGTTGAAGTTAGAGTCATAAGTGAGAATGTGCGAGGTAATATGTAGCACTCACTCATCCCCATCTTTACTGTTGAGGAAATGAGTACCCAAAACGTATCATGTGACCTTCCTAACTGGACACTGCTCCGGATTTCAAGACTCGGGAGAGGCAAAACGCGCCAGCAAGGATTCTGGCTATAACCTTAAATACTATGTATCTTTGAATGAGATAATGCGAGGTTTCATAAGCTCTACGTTATATGAGAGTAGTTTGAAAAGCACAGGATGTAATAAAGTATCTGTACTCCCCTTATCTGAATCTAATTAAGCCCCGGTTAAAGACTTTTATTTTTGAAAATCTATAAACTATATCATGAATTGATTAATATAGGTTAATCGGAGGCTTAAGAGGACTTCTTTCCGGGCTGTGTTATATGTATGACGCATAGTATACATCAGACTTGGGGGAGATTAATAACCCTAATCCGGTTATTTCCATACGGAGTCGTATCTATACACTATATATAGGCTTTTGTACGGGTATTGGTGTCAGGATAGGTAGGGAAGGAGATATTCAAATAATGCACGGAGTTCGGAATAAAAATATTACTCGAGGGTTCAGATATATATTTTTTCAAAATATGTAGGCGGAATGGGTGCATTTTATACATTCTGACCACAACCAAACACAGTCACTATAATCCATTGGTTATAAATATCCTAGGAAAATCCAGGCTAGAACAACGCCAAAATACTACTAATAAACCCATAATTACCCATAAGCTTAAATCCTCCCTAAGGGGTACTTTAGCCTAAGACCCTGGATCACCGAGTATCAAGGATATAGACCCTCCCACTACTAAATAGTAGTAGGCTCCGTATACTATTACCGACCTAGAAAATTTAACTGTACTAGAACAGCAATTTGAGAAGGAACTCAAAAATTTAACCTATAGAACAACTCCACGAATCCCCCTCAAAGACGCTATTGGGATAGTAGCGCAAAGTTACTGTTCAAGAGAGAGATCAAGTTGAAGGATTTTTCTTAATTTATACTCCTGTATAACCGCTAAAAGTGCGAAGAGTAGCTCCCCAATCTTTATCATCTATTCAAGGGAGCCTAATATCTAATTAGGTATGAAAGTAGTAGAAAAAGATTCCTACTATAGTTACATAGATAATCCTTATAGGCAGAGATTATACAATATTCATTACAATAAGACAGTTTAAGAACTCCCCTAATAGTGCACTATGTTAGACCTATAGTTAGGAGGTTCATATATTAATATTAGAAAACTACTTTCTATAAAAGAACTAGGAGAGGAGAGCCTTAGCCTTCTTCATTAAGCTTTATATGCTGGGGATATATGCTTAACTTAATAACAGACGAAAATTATACAGAAAAATCTCTCTATCTTAAAAGGACAATCATAATCTCCCCTCCACTGCAGTGAGTCCTAATATTTCACTTAAACCCCCATACTTAGAAAGTATTAGATGGGATAGGAACTGACCCTATTATTCCAGGTAAATATAGTAAACTAGAGGTAATAATATAATTGTTTATATTTTTGTAGTCAACTAACGGAATATAAACTAGGGCTAAAATAAAAACCAGGAAAAGCCAAGTGGTAGACTAGAATATAATCCTAGATATATATACTTAACTATACTAACTAACCTCTTACTTGTTCTCTGTAAGGTCAAAGACGCCATAAATAACATTCTATTGTAAAGTAGTTCTAACTAACGCGGTAGGGAAAGTCAAGTGTTCTAACGCCTCCCTAAACCTTTAAAATTTGGTGTAAAACCACATAAGTACAGGATAGACGCCAAGAGACTATAGTAATGAAGGAGTTTTATAACCTACATACTAAGTAGTATCTATAATAAGGTTAACGAAATAGGCTGTTCAACTTCCTAGGGAAAATCCTAGAACGTTATTACCAAGTAATCGCCCCCTAAAGTCAGACCCCCAACGCTGCCCCGTTGTGGGTCCTCCTCAGTCTAATGAATTTTCAGTCTAATGAATATTTTTCTTCCACCCACCAACTTTTGAAGCTATTTACAAATACCACCCACGTCTATCGCTAGTATAAAGTGGCTGGCCGTCGTCTCCATTGACCCATTCAAGCTCTGCCTCTCTTCTCTGGTTTTCCTGCTCCCTGATTTGAGCTTGGCGGCTGATTTCATCGCGCTTCTGTTTAGCCTCACGTTCCCACTTCCGCCTTTGTTTCTCAGCCTCCTGGATATCCCGCGATTGTATGAGGGTATTCGAGTCCCTGACAGTAAGAATACCACCTTTACCTACCTGGCGCTTAGATTTAGGGGCGTTGGCCGCCTCCTGGTTGGTAAGAAGGCGTGATATATCAGCGGAGGACTAGGCAGCCAATTCCGCTTGGGTAAGACTCCCTTCATAAATCGCCTCTAAACGGCGCTTTATTTTCGCCAAATCAGGGGTAGTATTAGCTGAGAAGCTCTTTCTGACCTTAGCAATATTTTTCCGTAGTTTTGTGACTGTTGTTGGCGGAGAATTGATAGTAGAACTTGAGGCTGGTGGTAGAGTTGGAGTCCGTGGTTGGGATGCATCCAATATATCCTCATCTTCCCCCCTATCGTACTCTCTAAGCTCGTATTCTTTCCCTCTGTCATAGACTACTAGATCTGGTCGTTTATCGTCTCCACGAAGCTCTTCACAAATAACCTCTGGATCGAATGGCCAAATCCCACAATCTTTGAATGAATGTCGGACGGTTGAGCTTGTGAAGGTCTATACCCGAATTTTGTGGATAGAGCGAAGAAAGTCTGCTTTCTCTATAACTGAAGCGCCCCATTTATTTGCCTAGTTATTGTGCTTACGATAATAGTGCTTGTATGTGATGACGGTCGTGGCTCAGGGGGAGTCGGAGACCGGCATGGCAAAGACCTGGAATCGGGGATCACTAGGAAGAGCAGAAGAAGAAGCGGAGAGAGATGATGATGGTATTCCTAGATTCCCAGAAGGGAAAGGTCTATCTACAACGGCGGTGGGCGCTGACACCTCAGGCACCCACTCACCTTCATCAGTATGCGAGGAATGGGTGTGAATCAAGTAGTTGAAGTCGGTATGTAAGCTTTCATAGGAAGCATAGTGGAATAATCCTATTCTAGTCATAGAAATTAACAAAATCGCACGCCTTGTGGGATTTATGACCGTCAAAAATAAGAAGCCTATAGTCCGTACGGTGTAGAAGTCGTGGCTTAGTATGTTCGTCAAAATATTGAAGCTATTGGTAGGCGCGTACCTATATTAAAAATTGACAATTATTAGCCCTCTCTCCCCCTACCCCCTAAATAATTAATAGAGCACTTACTTCATTATTCCACCCTGTCTCTGACGTACCAATAATATAATCATCTAGTAAATCTGGCTGGTTCCGGAACTAGTTCTCAAGATGGACTATGCCTGCGAATAGGATCATTGGGGGCATTAACCACCCATCTGCTGCAATGCATTCGACTGTAGTCACTGTTTCTGCAATTCCACCTGTTGGTATAGGCATCGTACG